CTTTTTTCTCTCGGATCATTGTCGGAGTCCTCGACTTTCTTTTCATGTGAGTCTTTTTTGACAAAACCGGATAAACCCGGTCTCTGCCAAAGCAGCCATTGTTCTCCTAGGAGTCATTATACTGTAGCAAGTAGCACCTCCAACTATAAGTAGTAGGGGGTTTAGTATAGGAATACCTCAGTCGTTTCTATAGCCTCTTGGGCAGCGGCTGAGGTATGTTACATTACATTTATTAGAGATCACCTTAAACTAACATCTATTGTAGTTTCACTTAGGTAAATAATAAAGTCGTTTCTATAGCCTCTCGGGCAGCGGCTGAGTTTCACTTAGTTTTATTAAGTTTTATTAGTTTCCTTGACATGTTGAGGAGGATGTTGAGTTAAAGGTGGCTATCATAGCTGTGTTTTCCGTTTTGGAGTTTGCGCTCAATTTCTTGGAGGAAATTGTGAGGTGATCGTATTCCTGGAGAAGGTACGTGATTAAAGTCTCTGGATCTACTGTCTTTCTGTTCATATGAGCGGCGGCAGATAATGAGGATACGAATGAAGTGTATGCTGGGGGTAAGGACCTCATGACAATTGAGGACTTCTCTTTGTCGCTCAGGTGTACGCCCGCAGAACTTAGCTGTTCCCACATGTCCCTGATCTTATCAATGTGGGTGCGCATGTCCCCCTTTTTGGGGCAACGTATTGCGGCTAACTGATCTCGCAGATCAGCTTGAACCAGCTCGGTTTTATTCTTGTTTTCTTGACAGATCAATTTCCACATTTCAGCAACCGTGCTTTTGTGGAGAATCTTTCGCAGCGTAGAGTCTGGGATCGTTCAGCCCAAAATGTTTCTCGCGCAGAATTCCTTCTTTGTCCAGGCGGTTAGTGTCTCATGCTGGACTTGGGTCAATGTCGGCGCTGTTCCACCAGGCGACGATGGGGGTGACGATGGTTTGGGTGCAGTACCCAGTAAGTGCTTGACGCACTCTCTGTCCGCCAAGGCCCATTCTAACCTTGTCTTATGTTGGAAGAATAAGAGAGAGAGACAAGCCTCGTACGGCGTAGTACGAAGGCAAGTAGTGGCGCAGGCGCCAAACTGGGAAGGTCCAGTAGTTGGGGTGGCCCGTGCACCTAATATACCGCATCATTTTTTTGGTTCCGTCTTCACTTATATACGCTGTCGTTGTCAAGCAGACACCTCAGATCTTCTGTCGAAGTCTGAGGTGAGACACTTTTATGATTAAACCTACGAGTACTTAGCTTATGCCTCATTTCCAGTTTACTTACTAGGTACATTCTTTTGAATATATATCAGATCTTCTGTCGAAGTCTGAGTTTACTTACTAGATCAAACCCGAACGATTTCATCTTATACATAGACCAGTTCGAGCCATCTGGCTCGAGCTTCGGTACTCCCAGTGATTCTTTGTTGTCGACGTTGTTGGCAGGGCTCATAACCTCAAATTGTTTGGGAGCTATGATTAAAGAAAGGACTAAATCATAGTAAGCTAAGTATTCGAAAGGGGGAAAAAGGAAAAGGGGGTCTCACCTCAGATCTCGTAGAAGAGTCTGAGGTGGTACATGGTAACTAGGCCTCCTTTATAGGTAAGTTAGAGAACGGAATCAAAAAATTTCTGATGGTATATATTGGTGCACGGGCCACTCATACTTACACGCCTTCCTTTCTAGGCGCTTCGTATCGGCTTGCTTCCTCTCTCAATATTCTCAATCCAACACAGCGTAGAGAAGCTAACCTGTCTCTCAGGTCTGACTGAACAAGTTCGGTCTTGTTCTCGTTTTCTGTGGTGATTAAGGTCCACATGTCAGCCACTGTGGTTTTGTGGAGAATCTTGCGCAGCGTCGAGTCCGGGATCGTACGTCCCAGGATGTTTTGCGCGCAATTTTCCTTCTTGGACCAGGCCGCCAGAGTCTCTCGCTCTGCTGCCGTCGTTGGGGCTACTGGGGGTGTTGGTGTCGTACCAAGTAAGTGTTCTAAACACTCCTTATCCGCCAGTGCCCAAGCTAATCTTGTTTTGTATATAGACCAGTTCGAGCCATCTCTCTTCGTACGACGCTTGTTTCTCTATCTCCAACATGAAAGGCACTGAGGGTTGATTGGGGTGGTGATTACTTGGCCAGATGTTGAGGATGAGCCACAAAGCATGAGCATATTGTGAGGGGAGGAGTCCAGAGCGTGTCGAGGGATGAATATGGAGTCTTTTAGGTATGAGAAAAGTTAATGGGGTCAGGGGTGATAGGAGTGTAGATTGAGAAGGTAATGACGGTCGCGAAGAGTGAGAGGGAGGATGGAGCGGTGGTGAGCAGGCGCGTGGCAAGCTTTCATCCTCGGTGGCCCTAGATAAAGACATTGGAACGAGTGGCAAGTGTAGAATCTGCTTTATGCGTTGTTGCAGTTGAGGACCTGTGGAGGGAGAGGGGGACGGAATGGAAGGAGCAGAAGATGGGTGGAGACCTGGGGAGTGGAGACAATATTAGCTGAAGCTTTGCTAGATAAAGGGTGGATGACATGACCTTACACACTCGCCATAATGTGGGGCAGATACAGGAAAGAAAGATACAGCCGTAACTGTTTTGCAGTCACCACACCTGCAGGCATGTGAAGAATCAGAGGTTTTGGAGATTTCAGCCGAAAGGTATGATCTCTCATACACTCACCGCGACGAATGTGAGTGAAAGTGCCATTGTGTCATTTTTTGGGAGGAAGGAGAGCCTATATGAGCGAATTTGGGCAATCTATTTCGAAAATTTCAAGTAGGATTAGCGGCAAACAATGTGGATGAAGGTAAGAGCGTTACTGATTGTATGATTGAAATTTTGGGAACAAATAGGATTTTAAGCCAAACGTAGCGGGATAAATGTCGCGGTAGGGCACTCTGTGTAACTTCAGTCTTACCTTTTGCCAGTGATTATATACGTGAGAGGCCCCTTCAATTTCAAAGATGAAATCAGGGGCTCGGGGGCTTGTGAAGAATAAATGATCTGGATATTAGGAATGAGTGATCGGGATATGAGGAATGAGTGATCGGGATCTTGGGAATAAGTAATTAGGAATGGGTGAAAGCAGTGTTTCATTGTTCCATTTATATGAACTTTTATAGGCTAATATCAGACATAAGTGGATAGGTAGATCTGTCAAGGGATCTGATCCGTCTCGATTGAGTCCCCCATAAAGATAACAAGCAACCAAAATGGACGTACAGTTGCTTTCAAATGAAAATATCAACCGCTCATACTAGCCGTTTATACTTGTAGCTAATGTATAGAAAACCCGAAATAAACAGGTCTCATTGTCAAGTTCATACTGCTTTAAGTTGGACCTGTAGCCTGAGGACGTTAATTCCTGGTAAAGGACTATTGATCGCTGTGAGAAGATATTAGAAATATGCAAATCAACCATTATGCAGATACGGCCATGTCAGCATTCAAACACGGTCCTTTCTCTCATCTCTATGTTTCTGGTATGTGTCTCGGGTCACCTCCTACCTCGGCGAGAATTCCCTAAGACGGTTGGGTTCGTTCAAGTGTGACCAGGCTGGTGTGAGGTGTGAGGCAGCTCACAAGGCTTGATTTTTGTGATACACGACCTAATTGATCAAATGAGAATGAATGACATATGGAAACTTCTGCGAGCTGGCTGTGAGGGAAATAAAGACGAATAAGATTGTTTCGACGAGTTTAGTTTAGTTCGCACTGGGTTTAGGCGAGCCGGAACTTCATAACTTGATAAAGTCATGCGCGTGAAAACAGAGACGAAGTTGGTCACTGGATGCCAGCGAAATCGGTTGGATACGATGCAGATGCTATACGCAAATTGGAGGTATTCTGTCCATGAAGAAAGTTGATTACAAAGGATGTACATGTCAAGATATAACTTGTAGAATTTTTGGGCATTCAGTTCCTTCTTTGACAGGCTTCACTTTGCTGTACCGCTTTCGACCTGCCCTCTGTCTGAACCTAAACCAAAAGACAGAAAATATTAAGGCAAGAAAATTATCACCCACTGGTGACTTGCCGCATTGCAGTTCTCGGAGAGCTCGTTTCGTTGTGCCTGAGTTCGGATAAATCAAACATTCACCGGCCTGGCCGTCATCTCCATCAACGTAGTCCATGAGAGATAAATATCACTTACGTAGTCGTGGCCCAGTTATAATGCCATATTATACATTGATTAGAGTCCTGACCAAATCAAAATACTGCCGATGAATCATGTACTTGATATCGCAGGTCAAAGGTGAAAGTGGAGTGCAGTAGCTAGGCGGTGATTCAGTCAGTAAAGTTAACGCAACTACACGGAAAGAAAGACGACGAGCTCACAATATTAATTTGAACGAACAGATCCAGATCTTTATAGATAATTAATACCTTCGAAAGTAGCTGCGATAGTGTCAAATATCACTCGCTAAGAGACAACCACGTCCCGTCAGCGCCAATGGCAAACTAAGACTTGACTGAATGCCATGTCAATACACTAGTGAACATTCAGTTGAAGGACGCTGGTGAGGGCCGCGAAGGGCCAAGACGCCGATTGAAGCAAAATAAGGTCAAGCTCGGACAATATCTGGGGTATAAGTCAGTTCACCTTCCTTGCTGGAATTCTTTGAGTAAAATATTTCCTATAATGAAATGTCCACTTTAGGGATTGTATCATAGGATTCTGTACGCAATAACGCTGGGATATCTGGATCCCACCCCTTTCATCCTAGAACACGATGAGCTTCATCCTTAGGAATATCAAACTGATAGACTCAAATCCACGGGGGAAAAAATATCGCACAAAAACTTAGTGGTCCGACGATCATCGAGTATCTGCTATTTGCTTATGTTAGATCCACAAGTTTCAGATATACAAGTACAAGCACCCACATGCCATCTGTAACACGAACTAAAAAAACATTCTTGAGCAAGAAGGCATGAATCAGTTTAGTACCAAGATATGCGCAAACAAGACGCCGAACTAGTGTAAATTCCTTCCATCCACTAGGAGCGTAAGGTAGTACGAATGTACTGACTAACATTCCTCTGTCCTGAGCTGTAAAGCGTGATAATGTAATGCAATCCCAGGGAAGCAGTAAGCTTACATTAGAAAAAATACATCATTTTCAGCCCAAACACTGCGAAAGTCCTTCTCTTGTAAGGATATGAAAACATGACTTATTCCGAAACGTCCGAAACGTAACTTCAGTATAGCAAATCAAGAGACCCTGGTCTCTCTGGAATATAACAAATAAGCGATGAATGAAGGGGGGAGTGTGAAGTGTGAAGAAATATGTGTGGACATGAAGGGACGTGTAGAACACGGAAAACCAGATCACAATAGACAAATCTGCTATTTACGCCGGCTTGTTCCAAGCGGTTAAGAGAAAACCAGTGTGGTTCGGTAGAGGGCCATAAAACACTGGTGTGGGGATCTCAGACAGACTGGGTTGAACATCATCTTGCAAATTCAGTACAACTGAGGGAAACGCTACGGAAGCATGATCCCCATGCGCAGGGGGGCATGATCGAGAGCGAAAGCGACTTCGACGTGCCTGTTGTTGTGCTACACAAGCTAAATATAAATGAGTAAATTCTTTGATCTATGAGACGGGTGACATACGTATATGTACGAGAGTCCGTTGATCGTCATTTACAGAAATCGGGCGATGACAATTTTCAGTGGTACCGCCCAGAGAATGGTTGGGAGCCAGAGTAGCCATACGATTGCGCAGCCGACCAGATCCATACAACCTTTTCCTTTCTTCTTCTGAAGTGGTCTGATTAATGGAGCATTGATTATCACTCCTTGTACAAAATAACGAAGAGAATACCCACCAACACGGAAGATCGTAATTTTGCAACATTGGCATGTACAATAGATATGGTGCGTGATAGTCCTCGCGCCATTTCAATATATTCTTGAAATATAGAATTTGTACATAGTGCCCGCGTGCGAAGATCCGCCGTTTGGTTGCGGTAGCTGATAAATATTCATGTAAGGCGGTATATAAAAGCTTGAAAAAAAAAAGCTGAGTTTACTAGAATAGTTCGTCTTCCACTTGTGTGACAAATCGAGGGTTGACGAAAAGGCCGTCTTCAGTGGCATTATGGAAAAGGTCCTGCGTCTCTTGAATGATGGCGTCTAAACTCTTCAATTTCGTCGTTGGAAGCTGTGAATGCAGTACGCTGTATATCAGGCCAATGATCCCCAAGCCCCCTGCGATGTACCCAAAGATGTCAATAGACATGGTCCGAAAGAAGCTATAGTTAAGGGAAGCGATATAAGAAAGACGCTATGTATGATCCTGATGTTATATCTGACTGACCAAAGAGAATTGGATGGCAAAAAAAGAAAAATCTCAGGTTGAGCTTGAGTCGAGAAATCCGAGAAAAAGGAATTGAATTGATCATAAAGGGCATTGCTTTTATGCAGCAGCAGTGAAGACTGCAGAGTGTTGTGGGTCCAATGTGCATTTTAAGCCGTCCACACGCTGGACACTCATGTTGCTTCAAGTATGTAGCCAAGCAGAGTAGTACTTATTGCTGAGTCTTAAATATTACCGAATTGCCTATTCGGGGTACACCTCGTTTTTACTGCACAGGTTTCACTTACAGCTGTCAAAAAACACCGACACGGTCGCACCTTGGCTGGACTGTACATTAACTGTATGTAGGCAGTCAACTCCAGATGAACGAAGATCGTTCTCAGTGGCCCTCTTTCACAAGGCTACCCCCCGCTGTCGTTGCTCGCTATGAGGAGGCTACCAGGAATGGTCAGTACGATCTGAATAGATCCGAACAGGTCTGGCGCGACCTACAACCGACGATCAAAGAACAAGGGTACCAATTGCGTCCCCGCTACCAACCTGATTGGATCCCCTCCTGGCTAGGTACGAACCTCGATCCTATGTTTTGTGAAGATGCAATAAGACCAATAGTGCGTTTATCCTATGTTTACAATACTTTTCAGTAGCATGCGACGCTGATTCAACCTGTGGTAGGTACCCCATGTTATCGACGCGAATCGCACGGATGGGCTGGTTGTCTCCATTAAGCGCGTTTCAAAGACTTCCAACGAAATCACCATTGGGCAGTCGCTCTCGTCCATGGATCTTTTGTGGAATCCTCTCAATCACTGTGTCCCCATACTGGACGTTTTTGCTGACCCAATAGAACAAGATACATCATATATCGTGATGCCGCACCTTCGACCCTTTGACGATCCTGAGTTTTGTTTCATCGGAGAAATCATTGATTTCGTTGGTCAGACCTTACAGGTGTGTCGGTCATCTCTTAATATTTCCAAAACAGACTCGAGCTGTTCCCAGGGGATATTTTTTATTCATAGCAACAGAGTTGCCCATCGGTATGGGTGTCTTTCTGTGCCGATGTCAACAGCCACTAAAGTGTTATAGGGATTGCACTGGACTGAATATCATGATGGATGGAGCACCTTTATATCCCGAAGGGTTTCATCCAATTCGGATGAACTACTCCACTGATGGGGTGTTCGAGTTAAAACCTCTTCCTCGAATCGATCACCCTGTCCGCTATTATTTTATTGACTTCGGCTTATCGACCCAATTTGCGCCTGGTGACCCCCCCTTTGTGGTTGGTGCCAAGGGTAGGGATCAAGATGTCCCTGAACTTTCTTGCGACGTTCCATACAATGCTTATAAGGTAGATATATTCACTTTGGGTAATCTGTACCGGAAAGAGCTTTTTGAAGTATGTTTCCCGAAGTCAACTAGCTCATTGTCAAGTGAATCATAACGTCTTCATCAGAAATATTACAACCTTGATTTTCTTGTGCCGCTCATCGAAATAATGACTCAAGAGGACCCCAATTTACGACCTTCCGCTTCCGTTGCTATGGCTGCATTTCGTCGAATTCACTCCAAGCTGGACAACAATATGTCGAACTGGCGTCTACGATCTAGGAATGAAAGCATTTCTGAACGTGTGTTTCACGGGACCGTGGCCGTAGCCAAAGGAGGCATCAACAGTCTGATTCGCTTTGTGGGTCAATAAAAATAATTCTTGTCGGTGCGTCAACCTTCGCTTGTTTATCCTTGGTAACTGAATCCCTTCTAAGAGCATATACATGTAACGTCTTATCAATCATAAGGGCGGGAAATTGTTGTTGTATTCTGGATTAACTTATAAGCATAGTTTCGTGCGTTTTCACTCCTTTTCACTTCCTAATATATATTTTTACTGAGCCTTCGCAGTTAGAATCCATAGTTTGAATGTTACGATAGAAAGCATCTAATCCCTGTAATATATTCCTTGACATAAAAGAAGTCGAGACCTTGAAGGAGCGCATTCAGCCATCAACCTCAACATATACAAATGAATCAAGGGGCGACAACCGTGAGGGTCCCTGTACATTGTACGACAATTATCTGAAGAATTGTCTTTTATAATCTTTGTTAAATGCGTTGTAGCCCCTTTCATCGGACTTCTGACTACCAAGGAATTTGGTGCAAGGAAGGTATAAGTATTCCAAGGTCCCATTTCACTGTACATCGCGTGATAAACTTCAAATGTGCTTCAGAGTAACCCCCAACCCCCTATACAAAAATAATAAACTAGGTCTTTCTATTCTATTTGCTCGTATCAGGCTAGTGTCCTGATATACTCCGGATTTACTCCTACACTCTCACAAGCGAACTGATGATGATGAACATAATATAAAGGAATGGGCGTCAGCACAGTAGAATTTCGTGTGGAAAGACCTGTGTTGCACCCACCTCCATGCTACAGCTTGGAGGTGGACTGAAGCGTATTGCGACTGTGCCTCAAGGTCTCGCTGATGTGATGATCAAGCTATCTGTTTTATGAGGATAATTCAAATTAGCTGGAGATGCTTGGGGAATGCCTTGCTTTTTCTAGCGGCACCTATACGTGTAACTTGTATAAGCTGCCTTCCGTTATGCTTGATCGTGATCACAGCGTGGCCGCGCCTACAAACCGACGGGAATTCCTCATCCGGTCCAGAAAGCTATTTTTTTTGTCTGCTGCGTGTCAATTTCCATTCGTAACTGCAGCCAGTCCTCGAGGCCTGAATGCATACGTACCGGTCAAGCGGGTCCAGACTCGGAATTGCAGCTTGAAGCGCCATGGTTTACGCATACACACCTAAGACCTTGGAGTTTTGATTACATACAGCTTCGGACACTCTGGTAGGCTGGATGAGTTATTTCGTATTGGCAGAGTCAGTGAGATATTTTTGCCATACACTACTAGATACATTTGGTATGATGCTCAAGAGTTGAAAGTATAGATACATTAATGCAGATCCTGCCCCCTATTTCATAAAGGAAAAAAAGTGTGTTAATTTGCCATTGACGTAACGTGTACTGGAAACCCACCAATGTGTAGTATTGATAAGTTATGCTGGTAGTAATAATACTGGTCGATCAGCATCGGAGATCTCAAATGTAATCTATGAAGAATTGTATAGACTCAAAGGAGGCTCATACTGGAGTGAAATGACCAACATACTAGTGACGACTTTTATTGCCCTACAAACCGCTTCAGCGTGCTGATCCCCTCTTTTGCGGCCGCAAGTGTCCCTAACTATTCGCTCCGAAACCGTCTCGTAACGTGGTCTCAAGCGTAACCGGATGAGCTCGCTGTCCAAATTATTGTGAATGCGACGGAATAGTGGTAAAGCAACCGTAGCAGACGGTCGGTGGTCCGGCTCTTCTTCTGTCATAGCATCGATAAGAGGAATAAGAAAATCCATCCCTTGGTATTTCTGGTAATTGTTAACAGATTACTACCAGCTTCAAAGTCATAACCAGACTGCAGTGCGTACTTCAAAGAACTCTTTGCGGTATAGATTTCCAAGGGTATAGATATCAACTTCGTATGCATTGTAGGGAACATCCCGCGAGAGCTCAGGAACATCTTGATCCCTGCCCTTAGCACCAACGACATAGGGGGATGCTCCGGTAGCAAATTTGGTTGACATCCCAAAATCAATGAAGTAGTAGCGAACTGAGTTGTCGATGCGAGGGAGCGGTTCGACCTTGAAGACTCCATCCCTGGAGTAGTTCATGCGAATAGGATGGAATCCATCTGGATAGAGAGCGGCCCCATCCATCATAATGTTAAGATCTGTACAATCCCTGCGACAAAACTGAAGCTGTGCAATCGAAGACATTGACCTATCTTACCTGTGAGCGACATTGTGGCCATGCATAAACGACATTCCCTAGATAAAATTTTTGTAAAAGATTGCTGAACAGGAAAGATTTCGCGCACATACCTGTAATGTTTGGCCAATAAATCAATTACTTCGCCCAGGTAACAAAATTCAGGATCATTCAAGGGGCGTAAATGAGGCATGACCATATAGGATATATCTTGAGATATAGGGTCAGAAAAAAGGTCCAGAATCGGCATGCAATGATTCATGGGATTCCAAATCAGCTCTGAAGACGAAAGGAACTGTCCGATTTCAATCTCAGTGGAAGTACTGCTGACGCGCTTTAGGCCGTCTTTACGAGTGGCATCAATTACATGAAGCACCTAGTGAAGGCAAATACAGGACGCGCGATAGAAAGAAGGAGACACACAATAGGCCTTATCGAATCTTCACAAAAGACGGGAGATATGTTGGTGCCCGTCCTTCTTCATATCTTGGCCGTAAATTATGGCCTGGGCGTTTCGACGTTATGTGTAAGCCATGCCAGAGAAGTTCTGCTTTAGTAAGATTATAATGTCCATTTTTTGTTAGCTGCGCTAACCGCTGGGCTGAGGCCTCGGGAAGCCTTGTGTACTGAGGCCAATGGACATATCCAATGCTTCGAGGAGCAAATCGTGCTGCAGTTGCAATTTAGATCGTAATCGAACTCCGCTACGGACATATCCGAGTCCTTGCAAGACTGTAAGCGACTGCGAGCGCTGCAAATACTGTGACTTGAATCAATCTCGTGCTGTCTACCTCGTGGCCAGATCTATGAGCAATTCCAGGCATTACGCTCAACCTTCTGGACTGGTATAAAATGGCGCGACAGCATTCTAACTCTACTTTTACTTTTCGCGCGTACTCAAGAGTTGCCGTTGCGCATTGTCTCACTGACAACAGACAATGTCCATCGATATCTTTGGTTACATCACCGGTGCTCTTGGGATCATAGCCTTGCCTACAGTATACTACGGTCTCAACTTCCAACGACAAAAATAAGAGACCTCAAAGCAATAATAAAGGGAGACCTATGATATATTCTCCAGCGCTACGGAGGATGGCCTTCTGACGAATCCGAACTTCATAATACAAGTGGAAGGTGAACTTCTTCTGTAAGATTCCTCATTTTTACGACCATTTATGCGCCACAAAAGCCAGTTATTGAGCTTGTCTTCCAGATACAAAGATGAGGCGGCTGCTTATCGTGCCCAGGCGCTTTCTACTACTTCATTCTATCAAGAATGCATTGAGATGGTAAAAGGTCTCTCAAAAGCGATCTCCATTCTATACGGTGATGTCGCCCAGCTCCGAGCTTCCGTGCTAGTAACTATCCACATATATTGCGTTTCTCTGCCCAGGCGCTCAACTATTGTTAGACTACCAGTGAAAAGGAAAGGCAGCGTCTACATAGCTGCCTGCGGCCTAGAAGTCAGCGTGCAGAGGCTTTACCCGTCCATCGTCTCACAGATCTGTCGATATGCAGTCACGGTCATTCAATCTCTGGTGACTGCAACACTTTAGTTGACGTCCGTAAGTGTGCTAGACTTTGATTTTGTCACTCCATAAAAAGTTTAAATCCTGTCCCATAGCTCCCAGGTCTTGTCGCAAATTGCCACCAGCTCGATCTCGGTCTTGTCCTCTCATTGACGAGGATATCATCTCGTCAGAGTACCCTCCACCCTTTTTAACGGAATTCCGGAAGGGTACGAGTCCCGATTAATACACCTCTATCATCTTCACTGAACTTTTTGAAATATAGCAAAAGAGCAAGCCCCATTCCTTTACGGACCTCTGCCTCGTCCTGCTGGGTTTATGCTACCTTCTATTGATTAATGAACTACTCGCTTCCAGCTATTTTGTTGTCTTTGCTATCACTTTGCTCTCGTTGTTATCGCTCTGCTTTCAATGTATATTTATTATGGAGAAGGAATAGCATTATATTTCTCATCGATTATGTATACCACTGTTATTGAACTCTTTCGAGAAATACCACTGATTATGTAGGAACATGTACTGTCACATATAAATCCTTCTCCTCCATCCTCATATCAACGTAACTAGGAAGAATGACGAGCTCAATGTTCGCTGCCTTGCTTCACGGAGCTATATAGGGTACATATCACTACCTCCTACCACTTCTTTGATCTGGAGTAGAAGTGGGAATAATTCGGTGACATTGACATTACATTACTTATGGTCAGGCTCAACTGCACAAGGTCGGGCCATTGCTCGTAATCAGGCCACCAGGTGGCCTAAGTTGTGCCCTGGCATCAAGAGCTGTATATCAAAAGCAATTCATAGGCTCATCCACCCTATGGCTAATGACTTTGCGCTTTCTCGAACGGCAGCCAATGCGTCGTTGAACACGCGTTCCGGAAACGACTCGTCACGGCGGGCGAGTCTTCGGCGAAGAGTAGCAGTTTCGATTTCATTCCGAACTTCTTGGAAGATGTTCAAGGCAAGTTGTGCACTGGGCCGAACGCTCGGATCGACAGCAGTCATGCTATGTACCAAAGGCACCAGGGCATCTAAACCGTGGAATTTCTGTATAGAAACCACGAGTCAACTCAGTAGTTTCTGAATAGACGCCTCAGCCTGGCACGCACCTCATGAAAATCCGTTTGATATAAATGGCCGAGAATGAAAACATCAACTTTAAACGGGTCGTAGGGTACGACGTTCGAGAGTTCAGGCACATCCTGGTCTCGACCTTTGCCGCCTGTGACGCGTCTCGGCTGACCAGGCTCAAACCGCGTTGCAAGGCCAAAATCGACGAAGAAGTAGCGCACAGGGAAGTCAATTCTAGCACGAGGTTGAAGTTCGTACACGCCGTCTGTGGTGTAGTTACGTCGTACTGGGTGCCACTCTTGAGTGTATAGGGGACGGGCGTCCATCATGATGTTAGGACCTGCACAGTCTCTTCCAATCACGGCGGACGTTTAGGGAAGTGAAGTTATGAAATGTATAGCGGGACATTACCTGTGTGCTACATTTAAGCTGTGCATAAAGGCAATTCCCTGTTGAAAATCAACATTTGTCCATTACTCGTACCCCAAAGCCTCACCTCCAGCGTTTGGTTTATGAAGTCAAGAACCTCGCCAAAGGCACCGAACTCGGGGTCGTCAAAAGGTCGGAGAAGAGGCATAGCGATATAAGTTGTTTCTGGTTCGATTGGATCATGGAATGTGTCTAGTATAGGGACACAGTGATTGCGAGAATCTCGTGGGTTTGATTGTGAGGTTAAATAGCGTGCAATCTCGATTTCGTTGGTTGTACATTTGAGTTTTTTCAGACAGACAACAGTGCCATCATCCTTTCTCGCGTCTAAAATTTGTGGAAGCTGGAATTCAAAGTAAGAAGCGTTGGTGAGAGAGCATTAATCAGCGCTCTTACCAGCTGTTCGATTGAATCCTCACAATACTCGGGATCAACGTTCGTCCCTAGCCAGGAAGGTTTCCAACCTGCATGATACCGAGGTCGGAGCATATACCCTCTCGAAGCCAGATACGGCTGTCTATCCCTCCACCACATCTCCACCGTGTCTAGCTCCCATCCTCCCTTCTCTGTCGCGATAGCATACCGCTCTGCTGTCTCCGGAGATAATCTCGCACATGGGGGCAAGTTTGCAAAATCTGTGGTCATCGATTAGTGAACAGATGCGTAAAAGGTGTCTAATTCAAACGCGAGATGGTTGTCTTGGTGGAAGGTGCAAGTAGAAAGAAGGTAACGTCACTGATAGACATAGATGTAAATGGACCGCTTTCCAGAAAAATCTGGGATGCTAGAGTAGGATAGCTGCACTGTTGTATGGATCCACGCCAAGTTTCTGATGGGTTTATGAATCTAATGTCGTGATATAAGACTTGCTGTGAAGTTCCTGCTGCGGTGGCGGTGGTGTCACTTGGAACTTGACCATATTCTGAGGTGTCAGAGCGTGTTTACCGGGACAAAGTCGCTTTCAGGAAATTTCAGGTCACTCGACATCAAACTTGGGCATCCAAGGTCTTTCCGTGGCTCCAAGCTGTTAGCCGAATCTTGCAACGTTGCGCACCACCATATATATTGTACTACTGCCATGGTAGAACATTCAAGTAGAACACACTTTCGTAATATCAAGAGTAATTCGTTCGCACAGGTGATGCATATTTCATGGTGATGAGTCTGCACTGATTGTTAACGCCGCTCACAATACTGTACGTAGTTGTATGCAAGCAACGTCACAGGTCACAGGGGGTCGGTTGCGTTGCCTAATGTACTAGTCGGTCACCGGTCACAGGGGGCTCGTTGCTATCAACTTTTCAGTCACACTAGGCTGAGGTCAAAATTGTAAAAATCGCAAAAAATCACAAAAAATCGCAAAAAAAATCGCGCAAACAGCAAAAATTTGATTCTAGAGCCCCTAAGTCTAAGGTAGAGTGCTTATGCGAGTACCATCCACATTCCAAGCCCAAATATCATCCCCCTCAGCCAACCCCCGCAAGAAACCACCATCATGGACCGCAGTGTGCTCAGAAGATGCAATACCATGGCCCGCTGCTGAGAAGGGCATGCAACCCAACCCGTTTCCGAGTGCCTCCTGAATAACTGAACCAATCGGGACTTCGGAATCATCCATGTCGGCACCTTCGTTGTTGAAGTCATCTTCGGGGTTGACATGTTCGGAGTCAATGCCATAAACATCGCCAATCTTTGCATCAATCTCGGCTTTGAATGTGGGGTGGTCTTGAAGGTACTTCCGCAAGGCCGCCTTTGTGTCTCGGTGCTGTATGACCTCAGGAGAGAGGCACCACTGTTTTACTTGGCATTTTGACCAAGCCTAAATAAAGTCGTCAGGATGGTATGATACTGATAATGAAATGGAGCTTACCTTGCGAACAAGCTCTGGGCCCTTACCCTGCTTGAACATGTCATAAACATGGACAGCAGGAGCAACTGTGGCATCCCGAAGAACGGGTAGGGAGTGAGTGAATCGGACAGCTTCAGGTTTTAGACCACCGGCTAGCTGTTGACGGTGTGATTCAACTAAAAAGTTGAGAGACTCTTGTTTCAGAGCATGCTTTGTCACGCGCTGCAGTCCGACATCAGCAGGTTGATAGATGCCAGTGCCTAAACAGGATTAGCAATCTAACACAACCCGGTAGAGAATGAGGCTCACAGTTGGCAGGTACATAGATAACAAAGACATTCGGATGGTGGTGGCGGCAGTAGTTCCGAAATTCTTCCCCCGTGTGCACAGGATAGCAGTCAATGAATAAGATTGACTTTTGATCCTCGGGAAGTTCTTCATCGCGGATGATCTTGTTTACATATGGAATGTACACGCACTCCATCCACTACCACAACAAATGATTAGCTGATGTGTTTGAAATTACAGCAAGTCATTAATGACATACCTCGACCATGGTCTTGAAGGTGCTGAAGTGGCTCGTCTTCTTAGGGCTATTGGCAAATGTAAAATGAAAGCCTCTGTCGAGTGCTTCTTCCATACCCTTCGCATTGCCAGTAGGGCAGCTCTTTACTGATGCCCCACTCCACACTTGCTGGAAAGGTAATAGATCGCCAGCACATGAGCTAGCCACCACAAGTGTGTAGGCCCGCTTCTCATCTTTCGAAGCGATGTTGACTTGCTTCGCACCCCTGTCATTAAAAGTGACATTGTTACCCGGAACCAGGTAAACACCTGTTTGATCCATATTGATAAGAAGCTGAAATAATTACATCAGATAACCTCGAAAAAGCAATCATAGAGGGACTTACACTTAATGGAATGTCATACCAATTAGCGAGATGTACAATACGGAAAAATGCCGCCTCGCATAGATCATCGGCATTATCGGGGATATGAGCAGCAGCTCGAGTGCCCTTTCTGACTGACCAGTCAAGTGTACTTTCGAGAAAGTCCCTGACATATGACTGCCAACGCAAACATCAGCTTGAATTAATTTTACTCACTGAAGAGCTGTATAACTGACCTCAGAGCAGAAGAAATCCCCACGATCGAGAAGTTCAGGTTGTCTCTCCTTGATCACCGCTATAAGTATTGATCGCGCAACAAGAATATTAACCGGAACACCGGAAAGTCGAAGGTCCTTAAGCTGGGATGTCACCTCCTCGACAATCTCCCGATGCGGCGAGAGAATCCCAACGCGGCCAGTACGGGCAAGGACACTGCGACGTGCAACATTCTCGACTGTCTTCTTCGACCACTTCTTTCCCTTCTTGGAAATCCACTTAAAAACGGTTCCCCGATGGAGCTTTGCAAAAAGGCTCGGGTGGTCTTTCTGCAGCGTGCTAACAATGAATGTAGGTGACCAGGCGACTCGAGAGGCGACATTGTTGATGTGAACCCAAAGGTATGGATGATACCAGTTTGTGCGCGAGTGCCGATTCTGAATTGTGCCCTTCAACTTCACATTACGACCCTTCTTCCATATCTTGCCAGGCCTTGACAGTTCAGCAAGATCAGAGAGATCGGGGACACCAGCAGCCGGGGTTTCATGGCCGAGAACCATCTGTAACTGTGAGTACAAAAGTCGAAATGTGTTTGGCAGGGACTGACCTTTTTCATGATTTTCCCCGCTGAGTTCCTCTTACCACTCCGTATCTCTTTCGCTTTCTTGCTGAATCGGCTTTTCCTCTTCCTCTCTCGTGCACCCTCGCGCTTCTGGGTCTCTCTCAGATTCCGGACCATGGCTTCTCTAACTCGCTCATCCTCTGCCTCCTGTCTCGTCTCTGCCATCTCTCTCCTATTCTGTTCATCAGCCTCAGCCTTGCTCAGCTTCTTGAACCCAGAAAATGCGAAAAGGGTGGACTGTCTCTTCCGCACTGGCTTGGGCAATTCACCATCATCAACATCATCTCCATCATGTTCATCATCGCTGTCATCCAGTGCAACCAGCCTCGGCATCTTGGGCTTGGCAGTTTCTCTCGCGCGCAGAGGCTCGGAATGGACGCGAGGGGCCGTTGTCTCGGTGTCGGATGATGTGTCTGTGTCGTCGACGATGGTGATGGGTGTTACAGCTGTCCCTTTGACAGGCAACCTATCTCGTGCCTTCCGCGTTGGCCCTCTCTTCTTTAGCGCGGTTTTGATGGCAGGCTGTGCTGCTGACCCTTCATCCGATGATGAAAAGGCCATCTTTCTCCTGAGATATGTTGTTTAACTTTCGGGTGACTGTTTGCTGACAATGGCCAACTCACTTTGATGTCTGCTTTACATTCTTAGCCCCGGACACCATAGCTGCGGCAATCAACCTCTCGACCCAATTCATTATCAACTCGGCATCCCCTGGAGCCTCTCGCATCCCGTCTTGCAGCATCTTCAACAGTGTATCCAGGCTCTTCCCACGCTCAGTGATCTTCAGTGGTTCACCTCGGAGACTGTGGGCCTGGAAGCAAATTTCCAGGTTGTGATTGAGAGCATACCAGTGGCCATTTTCTTCAAGTTCCTCGCCGTCCAAGCCAAATCTGTACCGAGAGCTAGCGGGGTTCAGAGGGAGATCATCGGGTAAGCTTTTGAACAGTTTTGAGAGGTATTTTATGCGTGAAATGTTGTCAGAAGTATTACTTTTCAGCTCCATAGTGTCAGTGAAGTTGTTGTAGCAGTGCAAACGAGTCAAAATTCATTGTAAATTGGTATAAATTTCCTGGTACCTTAGCGGAGTTAAAGGCCACGAGGCTGGTTCATTGACCGATGCGAGCCCTTACCGACCGATGCAAGGCCTTTACCAGCCGTTACCGACTGTTCTCGGCCTCGGCGTTGCCAATCTCAGAAGTGTCACAGGTCACATTGACCTCGTTGCTAACTCTGGGGCAAACTCGGAGGTCACACCCTGGCGGCCGTTGCTTGCATACAACTACGTACAGTAAGCAGCATGTCAGAATCTTCGGGTTCTGATATCTTTGGTTATATCGCTGGAGCTAGTTTTCTCATTGCCTTGGGAGGAAGCCTCGTGGAGTCTCATCTTCCCAATGCTAGAATGAGGCTACTTGAAGAAGTTTTCAAAGACACTGAAGCAATTTTGCACTCACTGGGCCGCCAATGGTGGAACAAGGCTTTCTACCTGACGCACACTTCTCCCAGAAATTGGAACAGCGTCTCCGCGCGAGTGTCCCTTGTTTCATTGTTTAACATCCCTGAACTCATTGACCTACCCTACCATAGTCTACAGGTAAAGTCGTCCGAGCTACGTGTGAGGACGGTTTGTGCCACTACTCCTTGGAAGGAGTATACAGAGTTCTGTAGCGGTCTCTCTCGATCAATAGGTACCTGTTTACAGCAAGTTAAAGAACTCCGAGCGCTTGTTGTTGTACGTCGCCTACGAGTCACGAATGTTTTGAGCATTTGTTCTGACAGTCATGTATTTTACAGTCAACGACTGAAGCTGAGCGTCGGCGTTTATACAACGAGCAGCGTGGAAGCGGAGGCTCCCCGACTACTGCTGCAAGTGGGCCAACAGAAGTCACCGGCGAGATATCATCAGATTCGTCTCAGGGTTCTTCAGAAAATGGAAACATTACAGGTGCATCGTGCGTTCATATACCTTTTCCTTTCTTGCTCAACCGCTTCAAAATGTTATGGTCACGGGTTTTGATGCAGTTTCTGGTGCCTCGTCTGAAGAGCGCCACTATCCTCCAAAAGTGTGTCCCTACTGGCAAACTTTGAATATACCGGACCCTAACCTAGTGCTATAGCCTGTAGCTCCAAGCCCGGTAACCATCTGATATGGCATCTCCCCCTCGGTTTCTCCATCAAGCCCTTGCTGTACTGCTATGAAATTTCTGCTTACTATTGGAATTCGTTACGCTTATGTTTAGTTCTGTCAGGTTGTTATCATGTCCTTGTAAAGCAAGTTGTATGTACGGCTGTATGTCGTTAAGTGTACGGTGTGTTGTATGATTAATTGTTCGCTGCGTTTTTGAAAGAGAGCAGCTGTCGATCGATCGACGAGGACATAAAACGTGGAAGCAAATCGGACTGTCGGACCGCTTCATCGCAATGATCGCCCATAATGAAAACATGGACAAATAGAGCAATGATCAAATTTCGATCAAACTTGAATATTTGAATCGTTTACTGGCAACGGATGTGGCTTGTAAAGAGACTGCTAAACTTGACTGTAAGCCGTTATTTGGTCAGTAATAGTGAGTTTGATAAACTGTATTGTCTACTTGATGCTTACTAGAGCATAGGTTGAGATCCCCGGGTCAATACGGATGCCACTACAGCAGAACGGTCACCTGCCATCATACAAACTTAATAACTGTGCACCTGGTGACGAAAACTATAATGAGTCGCTTTAGATGAGTGATCTATGGTCTCTGATTCTCTCGACAGGCAGGCATTGACAGCACCCTCACGCACCATTATCGATATTGCAGTGTCACTTTCTCAAAGTTGGGCAAATTAGTGTGGTATGTACGAATGGCATGATCTTCTCAGTTCAGTACCAACACTACACTGGACTTCCACTTTCAAAAATTCTCCGTGACGCCACTGAATTACAACGGGAAAGTGAGTACAACGCGCTCAAAGAAACTTCGGATCTCACTCCCGAACACAGCTGAGTACTCGCGCCTTTCTCACAGAGGCTGTCCATACTAGCGTATCTAGTATCTAGATCATGAACCAATCCACAAACCTTGCCTCTCGCTACTTGCTATTATTCCCAGACCGCTATCTGCAGTAGCTATTATAAATTCTACCACGAATATTGCCGTTGCCCCAAGTTGTACCGTGGCTGCAAGCTGTGAAGCCTTAACACGTTTAGTGGCGGCATGATAGGTAACATCACCCAAATTCGAATATGGAGTATATGACACAGAACTTTCTTTCAACCTATAGTAAATGGATCAACTGGTTTTTGGAGCGAACATGAGGCTGACCCTGTTGTACCTGTCCGACTGTGAACTCGATGGGATCGATCTCTGGAGATAGCCGTATTCACAGACCTCCATCTGTTGGCCATGTCATGTTGATGTCTCATAAAAACCGTGCTTGAGTAAGTGTACGCGTAATCCTCTATGCTACTAAAAACCCCAATCTTTCTAAATATTTACCTTAGGCTTTCAGCATACTCTTAGCAGCAAGATCATCTATTCCACCTCTAGCTTGAAACTATGCCTATTGCGCTGGGTCTTAACGTATATGGAGTTTTCACAGCTACCATCTCTCTAGTTGCCCTCATCGGACACGTTTTACACCGATATCTTCCAAGTGCTAGGATGAAGATACTTGTAGAAGCGTTAGATGACACCGAAGGGATGATATATTCAATGGCGGAGGCGGGCCTTTTACCTCGCTCTCGAGCAGTTCTAGAAATGGAAGAGCGTTTGGCAATGTACGAGTGTTTTGTGACATTTATTGTACCGTTTTCTAACCCCTTTCTCTGGTTCAACCTATTCAGCCTCAGAGCCAAGTCGTCTGAGCTACATGCAAAGGCAGTTTGTGCAACCACCCCTTGGAAAGAATGCAAAGAGCTTTGTAAGGGTCTCTCTGCATCGATAGGGATTTGCTTATGCCAGGTGAAAGAGCTGCGTGCTTCTGCTGTGGTACGTGTTCTATAATCTTTTGCACATATTGAAGTAACTAAATCGTGGAACAGATGATCAGCGAGGCGGAACGTCGACGCCTTCGAGAGCAGAGCCTTAATGGCAGTGTTTCAGTGCGTACTGAGCACAGTTCTGTGGATACTGAAGTTACTAGTGAAGAACCGTCTTCAACGTCAATGTCAAGGCCTTCTGCGTCAGAGAGACCTGAGGGTACAGTTCACTCCATTTGTTCTGCACTATTTGTTGTACTCATTCCCAGAAAGCTTCCGCGCCAAGCCATCTACGCAGTTCCGAGTCTGGGTCTGTATGTGAATTTGATCATAATTGTCCTTTTAGAGACCGATAAAAATTATTGTCCCGGCGTGAGGGCTTTGATTTATGCCAAGAATCAATAGCAGTTATGCTCCTACATTATTTCTCGTCGTCGTATACATTTCCTGGTGTACGCAGAGCTAATTTTCCATCCTAATCATGACAGCCATTTCAGTTGACCAGCATATCTACGATACAACATGCATGCATATATATACATCGCTTTTGCCCTTACTTCCAAGTGCCGTGGGAGCCTGATTGCGTTGGAGCGAGGAAGTCGATGTGAGCTTGATGCAAGCGTTAATGAAGAACGAGCGCCGAGAAAGGAAGGCGAGAAGGATGAAGTAGGAGTGGCAGCCTCCAATATATCAGCACCAGAAATCTTATGCTCCCGTTCTTGTAAGCAATGCGTTGCCAGTACGCACCTCAGAGTTTCCCTCACAACTCTTGAGGTGGGGTAGTCTTATTCTACGATAAACCATACCTGTCAATGGACTCACATGCCGTTGTAGCAGGTACTACAAACCATTTATACACTTAAAATATTCTCTCCAGAATTCTAAGCCCGTTGTTGTGTACTGCTAATAGATTGTCCATTCTAAATAACGATATCCAGCGGTGTGTAGTGTTTGGTGTTTTCAGGCTGATGGCTGTCAGACTGAGATTTTTGGAAATTTTGGCCCTCACTTTGGCCTGCAGAGTATGTCAACACAGGTAGGTATGCAGACGTGGGTGAGCCAACTTCCACGTGTATTTATTTAAACCGTCCGGTCAATAGTTAACATCGTTATAGTGTTCGAAGATGAGATGACGAACAAAACGTGTATGCGTGCCAGGTAAAATCTCCAACGATGTATGATGTATGATCTACCTATTGAAATACGAGACTCTGTCAAATGCTCCCCTAGTAATATTTGATATCTATTTTCATACCGTCTCTTTTTTCTTCAATGAAGTGGAGACCAGGGCCTCAAAGAGGTGGAGAACAATTTAGGCGGTCGAAAATGCCTTGATATGCAGGCAAGATGGTTATGGGACGATGAGTTATACAGCAAGGTCGCTGACTGCTGCATAGATGATCACTTTGCCTTGAAGTAAGAAAATCATGTTGGAGCTGGGGTCGTTCCTAACATGATGAGAGACATTTCAAAGGTAGACCCCTTGATCACCAGACATAGGGAAACCCTGCGCTCCTAGGTAATAATTTCATCTGCTTCTGAGGGTAGGTGGTGAGACGATGGGGCCTGAACACACCAAGAGCGATAGAATCTGTGAAGTGGCTCAGGCAATGAAGCTCGTGACATGAAGCCGCGCCAGCACTAAGAAATAAGGACACCAAGACAGAAAGGAAAAGATCTCGTAATATCGAGATATGACATGTCAAATCCTGGGATTCACACCTCCTCAGTACCCATTCTCTCAGTTGATACAGTCGCTTTTTGTGCTTTGCTTTCACGCTTAGGCTTCGTACTGGGTCCTTCGCCCTGCTGGTCTTCACCGAAGGGGTGATGAGTTTCTCTTCCGTGCGATTCCCGACTCGTCTGGTTCTCCTGCTCGCACGCTCGCTTCTCTCGCTCTCGCATGTGCTGTTCCATTTCATGTGCACGTTGTGCGTGCACTCTGTAAGTCTCAGATGGGAGCAGTATTCCAAGCTTTTTCTGTTGTTCTTCGTCCCCCCGTCCCATACTACCTTCTGATCGTCGCTTAGTGATCCCAGGGCCTGTAAGTAAATCCCTGTGATTCTCCTCAAGCGCTGCCTTATCTCCTCCTAGTATCCACTCCCTTTGTTCGCCCTTCCTTGTTCTCTCACCTCCTACTCTCCCTCCTAAAAGCAACCTGCCGATCCGCGCCACACCCCGTGCGACAAGCCTCGCAGTCACCCACTGGACTAGAGAAACTCCGGGGACAAGTCCGATGACGTCTTTAACGTCCCAGATATCTCGGTGGTATGTGATAAGTCCCGATTCGTTGAACGAGAGCCGGGTGTGGATGGGAAGACGGAGATGAAATGGAGAGGGGATGGAGAGTGCTGTATATGGTATTGGGAGTGAAGGGAAGGAAGTGGATGTAGAGGACAGGGAAAGGGACGAATAAGATGAGGAGGGGTGCGCGACAAGTGAGCGAGGGGTTAAGGGAGAGTGTGGAGCAGATGACGCCGAGAGGGTGGGAGACGAACATGTGGAAGATGTAGCGGGACCTAAGATATGATTGGGGTTCTGTGCTTGACAAGAACCATTGTGGATTCCTGGGAGAAATAGTATGTTGAGAGTATGCTCAACAATCGACTTACGTTGACCGTCTGGGTATTTAATGATGAGGACGTCGTATGAGATAGTCCTAGTGTTTACTCACCGAAACTTTCGCTCTCGCTAACTTCGCCGACCTCATTCCACACTTTGATAGCATGGAACCAAACTCCATCGCCAGAGACGTTGTCCATATTAGGTAGACGAAGTCGAAGAAGGGTGTAGAGCATGGCAAGGGGCCGAGGAACGTCTACGGTGGAGAACTGACGAGAAAGGGCGTATATGTCGGATATGATGGACCGGGAAGTGGCAGTTATAAATGGATTTTCGTACCTGCACGTCGCATTCACGATAACAAACTTCAGTCTAACTTACCAACAGTTTTTGTAACGCACTCACACTAAAACGTGCGAGAATGGTGAGCATAGATCAACTAACGAATATGATTACAATGAGTTCATGTACTCACTTGCATTTGCCTCATAGAAAAGCTCTGCAGCGTCGAGAAAACTTGGCTCGTGTGAATTTCCATACACAAAGTCGCATACCTCGAGTGCAGTAGCATGCCGTGAAACGACAGACATGTCAATGGAATGGGCGGGTGTGGGTCGGTCAACAGAGATATCGTTGAGCGATGCAAAATTTCTGCCCGACGCAGGGCCAATGGACGAAGCGGGCGACGGTTTGTGAGGGAAGGCTATTGTCGAAGTCATCGTCGTCGTCGCTGTCGGTGACAAGAGCAGAAAGATAGCGGAAGGGCTGAGATAGCTTAAGCGAGACGTGTCACGGCTCAGCTCCATAAACAGCCACTTCGACGTCACCTGACCTTGAGCCTCACATTATCCACCAACGTAAGGTAAGATACACGAGTCTCTAAAAAGAATCGCTGGATTCGTGACATAATAATATACAAACTACAAAGTTCTCGAGTTCGTTTCGCTAAAATCAGTCAATCGTCTGGAATTTTCACTTCTGTGTATCAAGTCCTCGCCATCCAGTCACATGAAGGTCAAAACCTGTTCGTTGAGGTCTTTTCTGACGGATCCTATAACAAAGTAGATCGGCGGGTAAATGGGCAAAGTCAAGGTGACCGGTCTCGGCACTTGCGCTGACAATGAGATATTTTCCGTTGTCGATGGACATTGTGATCAGAGTAAATTCGAGTGGTGAGGTTTGGGTTCAGGGAGTTGGGGGGTATGTTGGCCTGGTTAAATAGAGTGGACATCCGTCATTGATGTCACAATTATTCGCGTCCTAATGACTTTGGATGGCTCCAATGAATGGAATATGTTCATGATTGCACCATTCGGGACTCGCGAATGATGGATATCACTAAGATTCTAGTCTCCTTCAGAAGTGACGGAGTCGCGAGTGAGCGGGACATGTCAGTCACGTATAGATGTAAAGAGGCGACGACGTCAGCTATTCACTTTGTGTTATATAGAGCCGAATACCTTGAAGTCATTTGACTCTACTACGTATCCATGGGAGTAGTTATACGCTGAAGAACGTTCGAATGGGTAGTATTAGTACTGACGGCGTAGACAAATACTGACAGCACATACGGTATTACTTCAAACGTTTGACTTTGCAATGCAATGTTTATCATCAAAGCTTTAGATGTCGAGGCTAATAAAAAAGGATCAGTGTACTAGATAAAGGCATGGTTGTATAACATCCATCGGATACTCGAATGAATGCCATACTTGCATCTGAATCTGTGGGATACTTATTTTCTGATATCCGCACATTTTTAGATTTAGACTTCAATGTGATTCGGAGAAAAACTCATTCAAAAGCTACACAGACACGACTTAAAAGTCTTGTATACAGTCACTGGTATGCGCCTCAATATGGATGTAGTAGATTTATGCGTGGTTCAAGTTTTGACGTCGAAGGTCATCAGTTATACGCCAACGATCCATAAGCTACTGAAGACGGAGAGCAAATAATCAGTCAAATTTTGCCATGGTCTTCCAGCATTGAACCATACCAAGTTTCTAATCACTACAACGCCAGGTAGTCCCTCACTTCTTCTTCGCTCAACTTCCTGAAAGTCGGCTTTGGTCGGCCAGTCTCTCCGCCTATCTTTCCTTCTTCCAGTTCCGCCAGAGTAGGCACCGTCACAACACCGATCTCGATCGTCTTTTCTGTCATTTCTCCCTCAAACCCTTCCTTCAACGTTAGTAGGGCGGTGTGAATGGCATCTTCCAAGCTTATGTCGTCGTTGTATCTGCAGGTTTGAGTCACAAAGAGCGAGAGTTGTAGTTATGTGCGAGGATCGATCAGGTGAGAAGATATGAAGGAGGAACAGAAGAATGTGGCGCACCGTTTCTCTAAGAATGTCTTCGCGTTTGTCATGTTCTTGCCAATAGCACTGGCTTTCCAGGCCCAGAATGAGCCAGATGGATCTACTTGGTACAGACTAGGCCCCCGGTTGTTATCCCATCCTGCTACCAACAGCGATACACCAAACGGTCGCACACCTCTAAATCACACACGAACATCGGTCAACATTAAGAACCAAAGCGATCAAGGTCAAAACACACCCGGATTGCGTCGCCTGCTGCATGACGGTAGCAATTTCCTGAGTCAATACCTTCGTAGGTGGGTATTCGCCGTATAACTTCCAGTATGCCTGTGCACTCTTACGAGCTTTGGTCAACAAGACACGGAAGTCAGGACCCATTCCAGAGTATACTAGGCCGATATTTGGGCAAACGATGGCCACTTTGTCGATGACTGAGTCGTCTACGAGGATGGATGATGATTTCTTTTCCGTTGCGATCACGATGCCGTTCGAAGCTGGACGAGATCGATGTCAAGATATGTACGGGTCAGTAGTAAGACTTGACATACCTTTGATACCAAGACTAGTAGTCCCTTGCGAGACGGCTGCCAGTGCATGCTCTATCTGTACCAACTTCCCGCTTGGGGAGAAGACAGTGAGGGAATAACTGTAAAAGGCGATGAGCGATGCAGATGGTTATTCTTTGATCTCATTAAGTACCTGTATGCACCACCGTCAGCACTTGCCATGATGAATGTCTGTTGTAAAAGGTAAAAGGTGAGGCTAGGAAATATACAGATGACGTTGGCGCGAGGTCCTATAACAGACGCGGACGCGTTGCCTTCCTGCCAGTGGCAGTGCCACTTATGGCCAAACTTGTTTGGTTCACTTCTACCGTTGCTCTTTTGACGCAGACTTTCACGAACATCAAAAGCGTCGACATTCCATTCAATCTGTTACCAACATAATCTAAACTTCGCTTTGAATTCAGTATCACGAGGGGTCCTTACTAAAAAGTTGCAACATTCGTCAAGTGTGTACTATTACTTCCTCTTCAACTGGCACATTTAATGGGGCCTCCGAACGAGACAATAATCCGAGGGTTCTCAAAGCATTGAGGTAGCACGATATACTGTACGTAGTTGTATGCAAGCAACGGCCGCCAGGGTGTGACCTCCGAGTTTGCCCCAGAGTTAGCAACGAGGTCAATGTGACCTGTGACACTTCTGAGATTGGCAACGCCGAGGCCGAGAACAGTCGGTAACGGCTGGTAAAGGCCTTGCATCGGTCGGTAAGGGCTCGCATCGGTCAATGAACCAGCCTCGTGGCCTTTAACTCCGCTAAGGTACCAGGAAATTTATACCAATTTACAATGAATTTTGACTCGTTTGCACTGCTACAACAACTTCACTGACACTATGGAGCTGAAAAGTAATACTTCTGACAACATTTCACGCATAAAATACCTCTCAAAACTGTTCAAAAGCTTACCCGATGATCTCCCTCTGAACCCCGCTAGCTCTCGGTACAGATTTGGCTTGGACGGCGAGGAACTTGAAGAAAATGGCCACTGGTATGCTCTCAATCACAACCTGGAAATTTGCTTCCAGGCCCACAGTCTCCGAGGTGAACCACTGAAGATCACTGAGCGTGGGAAGAGCCTGGATACACTGTTGAAGATGCTGCAAGACGGGATGCGAGAGGCTCCAGGGGATGCCGAGTTGATAATGAATTGGGTCGAGAGGTTGATTGCCGCAGCTATGGTGTCCGGGGCTAAGAATGTAAAGCAGACATCAAAGTGAGTTGGCCATTGTCAGCAAACAGTCACCCGAAAGTTAAACAACATATCTCAGGAGAAAGATGGCCTTTTCATCATCGGATGAAGGGTCAGCAGCACAGCCTGCCATCAAAACCGCGCTAAAGAAGAGAGGGCCAACGCGGAAGGCACGAGATAGGTTGCCTGTCAAAGGGACAGCTGTAACACCCATCACCATCGTCGACGACACAGACACATCATCCGACACCGAGACAACGGCCCCTCGCGTCCATTCCGAGCCTCTGCGCGCGAGAGAAACTGCCAAGCCCAAGATGCCGAGGCTGGTTGCACTGGATGACAGCGATGATGAACATGATGGAGATGATGTTGATGATGGTGAATTGCCCAAGCCAGTGCGGAAGAGACAGTCCACCCTTTTCGCATTTTCTGGGTTCAAGAAGCTGAGCAAGGCTGAGGCTGATGAACAGAATAGGAGAGAGATGGCAGAGACGAGACAGGAGGCAGAGGATGAGCGAGTTAGAGAAGCCATGGTCCGGAATCTGAGAGAGACCCAGAAGCGCGAGGGTGCACGAGAGAGGAAGAGGAAAAGCCGATTCAGCAAGAAAGCGAAAGAGATACGGAGTGGTAAGAGGAACTCAGCGGGGAAAATCATGAAAAAGGTCAGTCCCTGCCAAACACATTTCGACTTTTGTACTCACAGTTACAGATGGTTCTCGGCCATGAAACCCCGGCTGCTGGTGTCCCCGATCTCTCTGATCTTGCTGAACTGTCAAGGCCTGGCAAGATATGGAAGAAGGGTCGTAATGTGAAGTTGAAGGGCACAATTCAGAATCGGCACTCGCGCACAAACTGGTATCATCCATACCTTTGGGTTCACATCAACAATGTCGCCTCTCGAGTCGCCTGGTCACCTACATTCATTGTTAGCACGCTGCAGAAAGACCACCCGAGCCTTTTTGCAAAGCTCCATCGGGGAACCGTTTCTTGCTGTAATTTCAAACACATCAGCTAATCATTTGTTGTGGTAGTGGATGGAGTGCGTGTACATTCCATATGTAAACAAGATCATCCGCGATGAAGAACTTCCCGAGGATCAAAAGTCAATCTTATTCATTGACTGCTATCCTGTGCACACGGGGGAAGAATTTCGGAACTACTGCCGCCACCACCATCCGAATGTCTTTGTTATCTATGTACCTGCCAACTGTGAGCCTCATTCTCTACCGGGTTGTGTTAGATTGCTAATCCTGTTTAGGCACTGGCATCTATCAACCTGCTGATGTCGGACTGCAGCGCGTGACAAAGCATGCTCTGAAACAAGAGTCTCTCAACTTTTTAGTTGAATCACACCGTCAACAGCTAGCCGGTGGTCTAAAACCTGAAGCTGTCCGATTCACTCACTCCCTACCCGTTCTTCGGGATGCCACAGTTGCTCCTGCTGTCCATGTTTATGACATGTTCAAGCAGGGTAAGGGCCCAGAGCTTGTTCGCAAGGTAAGCTCCATTTCATTATCAGTATCATACCATCCTGACGACTTTATTTAGGCTTGGTCAAAATGCCAAGTAAAACAGTGGTGCCTCTCTCCTGAGGTCATACAGCACCGAGACACAAAGGCGGCCTTGCGGAAGTACCTTCAAGACCACCCCACATTCAAAGCCGAGATTGATGCAAAGATTGGCGATGTTTATGGCATTGACTCCGAACATGTCAACCCCGAAGATGACTTCAACAACGAAGGTGCCGACATGGATGATTCCGAAGTCCCGATTGGTTCAGTTATTCAGGAGGCACTCGGAAACGGGTTGGGTTGCATGCCCTTCTCAGCAGCGGGCCATGGTATTGCATCTTCTGAGCACACTGCGGTCCATGATGGTGGTTTCTTGCGGGGGTTGGCTGAGGGGGATGATATTTGGGCTTGGAATGTGGATGGTACTCGCATAAGCACTCTACCTTAGACTTAGGGGCTCTAGAATCAAATTTTTGCTGTTTGCGCGATTTTTTTTGCGATTTTTTGTGATTTTTTGCGATTTTTACAATTTTGACCTCAGCCTAGTGTGACTGAAAAGTTGATAGCAACGAGCCCCCTGTGACCGGTGACCGACTAGTACATTAGGCAACGCAACCGACCCCCTGTGACCTGTGACGTTGCTTGCATACAACTACGTACAGTATTCAACGTGTATTGATTTACGTTAAATTATGCTCATATCTTTGCCCTCGCCGAAATGACAATTAGCTCAACCTGACCGTGTTGTTGCATGTGCTTTCTATAAAGCTTCACTATCAGTGTCCCATGTCACCACCATCCAGGACGGTTAACCATCGTTCTATTATCGATGTCTGAGGCTAGTGATTCAGTGATTTTTACGACAAGAGTTTGTTCAAATAAAGTATGATAAAACCATGACTATCGTGATCGTAATTGTGCTAGTAACTAATTTTATAATTTGAATAATGAATCCATAGCTGTACTCAAGCAGAAGTTTTGATTTACCGTTTGGAATCAGATATTGTTGCTTCTCTGAAAAATCGTGAAGATGTTGCATGCGTGTGTCGAGGGAACTTGCATACAGACTCGGAGAAAACGAAATTCCCCCATACTTCTCCAGGAGACTCGCTCACTCCAGAATCTTCGTCCCTCCTCCATCTTCATGCACCCAGACCCACTCTGTTCGAAACAACTACTGTTCCTTCCCCCGAACAAAAAAGAAGGAACCACAAGGGAGCGAAGAATATAAACCATCGCTCACGCCAGTCCCCACACCCCAGCTCTTCTCACACCATCGACAAGCGCATCGACGTTCCCAAGGAGCGTACCCAGTATCGCTTTCTTCTCCTCTATAGTCCTCGTCTGTGCGTTTGAGCTAGGCTGAGACGAAGTATTTAAAGTGGACTGCGATAAGTTGGAATTAGACGATGAGGTGCGCTGATAGGATGACGACTCGTTGAAAGCAGACGACTGAATGGAGGAAGATGAACTATCCCCGACGACGTATGTAGAACCGTCCGAATCCACGTATGAGCTCGCGCGCGATCGCGATCGCACGTAAGGGGATGGAGTGAGGACACGTCTTGTTCTGTCCTTCCTGGGACTAATCGGCGTGGCATTACCCATGGACGTACTCTCTTCTCCTATACCCGATCCGGTAGCTGAAGGCTTCTTGGGGCTAAGAGGAACATAGTCCAAGTCTCTGTGAAGCATCAGCAGGGAGCGCTGCAATGGTTGAGGTTTCGCTGCCCTCTGATTCGAAGAATCTAGTCCTTTCTTATCTGCAGCAACAGGAGTGGATGGCACTCCTTGGTGAAGAGAGACAGAAGAAGCAGAGTAAGACTTTTTGACCGGGGATGGCGTTTTTGCAGTTATCGACGCTGACGTCGAAGTAGATGTAAAAGAAGTAGACGAGCCTGTGGATCTATTGGATCCTGAAGAGGATGTCGAAGACCCTGATCCAGATGACGTAGAACAGCCCGATCGTAAACCCGGAGGAGGTCTAGGGAATATTCGAGGTTTGGTGTTCGGTTTAGGTGTGTTGGGAGCAGTGGTAGCTGTAGACATTGCAGTGAGAGATGGTGTCACTGGTGGCGCGGTGGTGTGAGAGGCTGATGTTGGAGATGTAGGAACGGAATGTGACTTGTGTTCAGAATCATATACCAGGGATCCATGTGCACCTGAAGGGCTCTCGTCCATGAGGTAGAAGTATAGGAATTCCAGACATTTCATTCTGTGAAATCGCGTAATAGTATCAGCGGCTCTACCCTTCTAGGATGACAACACAACAACACAATCACAAGACATCAAATTGGAGACATACCTGACTTCTCTTGGTGTTCCTGCGCGTTTTAGAATCTTAACCACTGCCTGTACACCATTTGCATCTTCAAATATGCGCAGAGATGGGGGATGGTCTACAAGGATACATAGTAGGGTGTCCAGGAGGGTAGAAGAAAGATGGGGTTGAATAACTTGTGGCGGTGTAGACTTCGACGGAGACGTTGACTTGGATGGTGGTGTGGATGGTGGATTTATGTTCTCTGTGCTACTGACTTGCGGGGGTGGTGCTAAAGGTAGGTGTCGTGAAGCGAATAGTAAGTCGATAAGGATCTGGAATGGGATATATGGTCAAACTACTGTATATCGTGCATTATGTGAGCTGACCTCGAGACCATATCTGCGTCCCAGGAAGTGTTTACTAGGCTGATGGTTAAGAACGACGCCTTGTATGATAGAAAGCGATTGAGATATATGGCCAGAGAGGAAAGAGATATCCTTCTCTCGGTCCTCTACATCATCAAGCAATGAGTAGAGGCACACCAGAGGAATGAAGAAGACGCACTATCGATTTGCCCTTTATTCGTCAGAGATTCCAACCGTGGGATGGTGCTCGATAACCAGGCTATGAGGCGTGAAGGGACTATTTGATTGGTCAGAAAGATGGCAGGTGTGAACGAAGATAGTGCCCACTATTGGATTCAAATATATCCTGTGACAAGAGAAACGTGTCCAGTGTGTCGTCAGATGTCGTTGAAACGCAAGCAAGCGCGAGCTGCTGTTCCAGTGCTGCAAGAGCGCGAGTTCGCCGTGCTGATGAGGACCTACTAGAACAGAACTTAATCCAAGGTTAGTGCAATAATCCGGTGAAGCTAGTTGGCATACAAGTGGTTGCTTACATCGTCCAGAGCATCCTGTAATGACATCTGCATTGAGCCTCCCTTATATTCCATTGTGGTTGCTTGTCTCGATTTTCCCAATTTCTTGACTATTTGTTGGTGGTGAATGTTGAAGATGCCAGCCACGAACCGCAAGGCCAATTATGGGCGTCTGTGGGCGCAAAAACGGCTAAAAGTGCCGCACACGCGTCTGATCACGTGTCCGAGGAACGTGACACGGAATCTCGGGAGAGCGCATTTACGATCAAAACGTGAAGGCAACAACTGAAAAACTGGATAAAGAGAAGCTAAACATATACACGGACGGATATAAGATAACGCTGCACATCACTAGCCATGTTCCCCACGACCTGTACTCACACTCCCTCACCATCATGGCTCCCATAAAAACAGTGAGCACGCTGTCTGGCATAGTGACCTCGTAGATTGACAGACAACACACAGCAATGGACAAGGCTAATTCGATTCGTGGCTGTCGAGACTGGCATGGTTCATATTGGACAACCGGTTAACGGTAACCTTGATAGTACGCCCCATTCATTTCCGTCCCCACCTCGTTCTTAATTTCCTACAGTTGGACTCGCATTCCACTTCAAAGAAACCATCAAGGCTTATGAAATCCTCGGTTCATACCTCGACCCGGCTGCCCAACTCAGCAACAACATTCTCACTGTCAAAGAACTCCTCGCACCTTTGTCGAGGGAGGAAATGAAAACAGTAAGATGTTTGGGTCTCAACTACTCTGATCATGCCGCGGAGGCTGGCCTTGCAAAGCCTGCGTAAGTGTGCCATGCATTTCTATTTGGTTCTCCATATCTAATCAATTAGTCTCTCTCTTCTGCAGTGCGCCAATTCTCTTCTATAAACCTCTTGCTTCTATGATTGGTCCATCTGTCCCAGTAGTTATCCCACTCGCTGCTCAACCTCCAGCGCTCCACCTCCCTGACTACGAGGTAGAGCTGACCATAGTCATCGGGAAAGCCGCGAAAGATGTCAAAGAAGAGGACGCGCTCGACTATGTCTTGGCCTATACCGCTGCAAATGATGTGAGTTACTGCCTTACTCTTTCGAAGTTTCACGTAGGGTCTTTTGTTCTAGTGGATTTGGAGTAGTATCGATGAATGTATGCTAATAATTCCTTACAATCATTATTAGGTCTCCTTCCGCAAACACCAAATGACAACATCGCAGTGGGGCTTCTCCAAGGGCTTCGGTACGTTCGCCCCGCAATCACTTTTATATACCATTGTTGCTTACCCAACAATGCAGATCAAACAACCCCAATCGGCCCATGTCTCGTCTCTAATAATGCTATCCCAGACCCGCAAATTGTTCCTCTCAAATGTATACTCAATGGAGAGGTAGTTCAGGATGGATTAACTGAGTGAGCTATCCAGTACATTTCTCCCCGCTTACTCATTATTAACCTTCACATAGCACCCAACTGTTCAACGTCCGCCAAACCATCGCTTTCCTCTCCCAGGGTACCACGCTCGAACCAGGATCTGTCATCCTCACAGGAACTCCAAAAGGTGTTGGTTTCGTTCGCAAGCCGCCTATTTACTTGAAAGACGGAGATGACGTGAGAGTGTGGATTGGAGGTGGAGTGGGAACGTTGATAAATTCTGTCGTGGAGGAAGGAAGGGGCCTGAGAGCCAAGCTTTAAAGGACGACTGTAAAAACATGCGAGGCAAGGGGCAAAGGTTGTCTTAGTGCTTCTTTTTGGGCCGAGAACCTTCGTCTGCTCAGTCTTCAAATCTTGTCAGTACTCCTACTTTGATAAAAAGCATCCTTATGTACTACTAAGCGGTTTCATGTCCGCCTCCGCCCAATCTCATATTTCCACCTATGATATATGATCAGACGGACTGATGTCTCAATAGGTTTAAACTGACGCATGTCAAGATTAATAGTAAGTATCTACCAATATAAAAGATATATGCACACAGGCTCCACACTAAACAAAGTCAAGGAAGCGGCACAATTTTTTTTAGTACACCGTCACTGGTGCCATTAACTCACGCCTTTCCGCCACTCCGCTACACTCACGGAATGAAGGTGGGTAAGACTGAGAAATAAGAATAAAGAACTTTAGCGTATAGCTATAGGTGAACTCTGAGCATCGCAGTCCTCCGCAGTTCACCGTATTCAGCTATGTAGCACCGAGAGTTTGAGCACAGACTCAGATTCCTTGTAACGGCCAGGAGAAAACATCGGAGCGTCAATCGAGCAGTCAAACTGATTGCTCAATGGACCCTTGGTCGCCTGAGCCTGGTAGTGTCTAATATTCAAACTGATCACAGTTCATATCAGTTTCAAGCGGAGAGGTTTAGGGACGGTAGGTAATACCTGGTTAAGAACGAGTTTGCGAAAACTGTATAACTCAGGTAAGTGATATCTCGGGGCAAGACTTCAAACACATACAATTCATTTGCACTAAAACCATTCCGAGGTAGTAAAGAGTGTTTGGGATAGTAAGATACTGACGATTTCGCACGTCAGTTGGAGAATATCGATGGAGCATGCTCTACCATCATATACGCACCACTATGAGCTCTGCAAAATCCAATACACTGCACATTGACGTCAGAGATAGTACCAGCCTCGGAAATAAGAGAACATCATCACATTACCAATGCGCCTGCACCTATAGCGTAAATAACCAAATTGTTGATGAGGCGTGTTGTCCTGCAACGCATAAGTATGGTGAAAAGGACCAATCTGAAAGTGGGGAGATACGCACCGGTGTAACCCAGAGGTTGAACGTCTCCTCCGAAGGAAATAAGCGAGGATGAGAGAATTTGCGGTATCAGTCACAATAGCCATCGTAATGGAAACAATAACAATAGACTGTTGAAAGTTATCTAAATAGTACATGCAAAGTGATAAATAGTACTTGCTCTGGCATTCTTCCCAAAAAGTAGCCAGGACGCTTTGTACATCATGCTGCGGTAAAATAGGTAATGAGGCGAAATTTTGGCATGATATGTGTGATGGAGACCGTACCTATAAGAACAAGCTACCAAGGAACAACCTGAGGGGAAACCATGAGCTCCCCGGTGTTAAATATTTTTACATCGAGTGCTGTGTTTTACACACCGAGACGAGCGATGGCAAAAACAACCTGTGTACAGCATCAGTAGGGAACATCACTAGGTAAAATGTGCATTCACCAATGTGGCGGAGATATACCATTGCTTACTAACTACAATGTCTGAGTAATTGTAGTAAAAGCCCTTTCAAATGACTGATAACTTACGGATCCATATTCGCCAGCTGTAATATCTTGTAACATGAATAGATTAGCGCGATTAGGCTTTGTCATGATGTTTATTTCTCACAAGTTAACGATGAGAGTGATGAAAAACTAGATGCAGATAAGAAAACACGTTCAAGTAAGAAGCTAATTGGAGGTCACTTACGCCAATTGTATATGAGACCTGTAACAGATTTTAAATGTGATTGTTTTGTTAGATAAGTCGCCTTGGATTAAGATAGGGCTTCGACTCACTGATATGGTCCTAAGAAGAGAAGGAGATCAGTAGAATATCCGATATCACTGTGATTATGATTTATTTACCAATGGACAGTAAGCATGATTCCCACCTCCGAGAAATTTACGATAAGGTAATAATCCATGGCACCAACTGCCAGCCCCACATGAGCCGTCTCCAAAACCCTATACATCAAAATTTGTAAGAGAGGACCTGGGAATATAATATGAGTAGAACCATATAATGGCAACCTGCAACCACAAAACTCAAAACTGCTTAGAATGAACATGGAAACGTAAATGCAGTATAACTTACGGTCAGCTTGAGGATCCACCTGTCTTCAGAGTAGTTCTGATAGTACAGGAAGGTTTGCATGCAAGTGATGCCATATAGCCTTTGATAAATAATCAGTCTGAGGTGGGCAAACTTGAGATGCTCGCGTTTTTGAACTTACGTCATAGCAAACATGGTGCCCAGCTGAGGCCCTCGCATGAGGAGTTCGGCTTCTAAGGAATCTACATGGGAGGACATTGATGCTTGAGTGAATGAAGAAAGAGTATGAGCGACCGAGTGCTTGCTAGCCGAACCTGTAAGCCAGAAGACCTATAAAGCTGGAAAGTATCCACAGCATTCGTCTATTCATCATGGCAGCTAGCCAAGCTATGCCTATTCTGATTCGGAATCGAGGCCTGCAGCATGATATCAGGATTCTTGCATCACGAACAATCATTATTATGGCTGTGTTTTTGTAACTGTAATTTTAGATCGTTCCTTGCCAAAAAGCACACGCACTATGCACACAAAAAGACGTACTGGATGAGATCCAGACAGGTTGGCATTCAAGCCAGCACCTTGAGACCTTGACAATTGGTCCAGAGTGGATTTAACCTGGGAGACATATATTCCTCAATGAATACGGGAGCGCCACCAGGAAGCAAGATACCAAGACAGGAAACGTCAGTTGACTCGCTGAATCCGGAATTACATCAACAATGACCCGGTCGTTCTTTATTCTGCTCACCGGTACATTTCTATTTGCCAGGATAGCCTGAGTAGCGTAAGTATCAACGAAACCTTGTCAAGTCTTTTCCTTACGCGCATACACTTACTTATCCATGAGGCGACGTTAAATGTGAACGCTAGAACAGTGTATTGGTTCCATGGGTCGACACTGAATTTCGAACTAGGCTAGAGCTGCAAGATGTAGACTTAGTCTGTCCTCCTACAATGTCAATAGACCTATGTTTTCGTCGGAAAGTTACACTGATGCAGAATTAGCATACGAAGAAATGATAAAACATACGTACTTCTCATGAACCTGTTCTCTGCCCAAGTTATACTGGCCTGGTAATGTTTTGCATATTCACCATTCATCATGGGAAGAGAGTAGCTCCTGCACCTTGACAAACGTTTTATTCTACGGTAAGTGGGTTAATCCAGCAGATAAACGGAGCGCCTGCGCCGCTTCTTTCCTTCATACAACGCCGTACGACGCCTGTCTCTCTTTCATACTTTGAACATCATGGTGATGAGATTGCTTGGCAATTTGAACTTTTAAGTTGCAAGTTTTTGATTTAGAGTGGGGCTTTGGGATCGTTGAAATGGCCATGGAGTTCAGTGAAACAGCTTCGAGACAAATGCAAGAGCAACAATCTTGATGAGGGATATACCAGTGACCACTGCTGCAGCATCGTATTCATCATCTGGGTACTGGTCACTGTATGATGAAGCTATAATTTGACCATGACAGAAGTTCCGAACTGTCCGTTCCGGCGCGCGGAGTACATAACAGTAATAGCCGATGTCCAGTCCTTTCACCACAAGTCTTTTGACATGGACGACGGCGACGACGATGCTTCACAAAATGCGCAGGAGTTGGATGAGTTTATAGCGAACCTGATGCTCCAGCCAGAGCGAGAGCAGGTTGCATCAGAACTAGGGGGTGCGGTAGTCTGTCAAGTTCATATTTTGACGCTTTTCACAATGATGACCTTCAACCAGTATAGTTTTGCAGTCTATCTATGGTGATTCAGCTATAAAAGTATGGCATCCGACTCCTGGAAGTAGTCCCGCCCCAGATACTCAAATCGGCGACAAGGACGGATCAGACACAATTCGCTATGTAGCAGCCCTTAAGTGAGTAAGTTGTGCGTGTCTATCGAGTGTCGTCCGATCTAGCTCATAATCTTCGAAACCTCAGCCTGCTCTCACCTCACGAAGATGTATCTCTTCGCATCTTGGTATCAATTCCTCCATCGTACCCAAACTCTTCCCCTCCGCAACTACAGCTTCTCTCACGATATATCGGTGCTTTCGGTGTCGATTCATCGCTCTTTGGTTCCATTTTGCGTACATTCATATCCGTAAATGGCGCTGAGTGGTCCCCAGACAGCGTCTGCGTGTTCGATGGGTTGCAAAATGTCCTTGAAAGATGTAGCGCTTGGTATGAAGATCGACTCAGTGTAGAGAAAGCGGGTGAACTTATGAGAGGGGATGCTCATGCACGCGAAGAGGAGCATGTATCATCATCAATCACAGACCAAAAAATTGACGATGAACACGTTTTGCCACGGGATGTGCCTGCATTGCCTGATGGGATTCGCATCGTAGAGGCTGAGTCCATTGTAGACCGTAGAAGCGTGTTTATTGGAAGGGCGTGCGAGATATCTCATCCGTCACAGGTAAGAATGATAATTTTCTCTCGATATCTAGTACAAGGCTAACTTGTTTAAGGTCCCTCTGATACTGAGCAGCCTCATGGCAGACCGTCGCATATCGCGAGCGGCACATCCGATTATTAATGCATGGCGATGCCAGGTTGGAAATCTGCTGCATCAAGGTTATTCCGAGTCGACAATATCATATTCAAATACTTAAACGATCGAACAGATAACGATGATGACGGTGAGACGGCAGCGGGAAGCCGTCTTGCGCATCTCCTCCAGATACTTGTCAGCAGTTCACCTGTTTATATTTGTAACGAGTGATTCTAATCCGTCATTCTAATCCGTCATACTAGGAGATCAATAATGTCCTTGTCGTCGTGACACGTTATTTTGGTGGAATACATCTTGGGCCTGACCGCTTCAAACATATAAACCAGGCAGCAAGAAACGCGCTCGAGCTCGGAGGCTTTTTGGATCAGGAAGGTGGTACCTCATCGAAGAGTGGAAGAGGCGCAGGGAAAGGGAGAAAGCGGTAAGACATAGAAGGCTGATTGTACTTTCGTAGTGAAGAGTAAAAAGAAATCAGGGGAATCCCCAGGTGCTATCACAAAGATGGCCCAGTTAGTGATCGGCCGCTGTCCGGATATTGATCTTCTATGGCGCCAACGCCTGACAATGAGCATCAATGGTGCTGGCTTGGTCTAGCTTGAGCCAGGTTCTTTGATTCTGGATGACACTAACACTAGTGTTATCATCGCCATACCGTATGTTCATGGCCCGACTCAGGTGTTTTAAATATACGTAAACGGGCACGGGCCTGGTGGGTGCGGTGGCGTGGGAAAGCGTGGTTTATACATGCTGTGGTGCGCTGCAAAGGTGCTATTTGGTGGAAACAGGTTGCGCTCGTCGTCCCACACGATGAACAGCTATGGTTCACTGACGGGGAGAGCGGCATCGACAACATCAAGCTTTAATCTACCACGTCTCCTCATCGCTCTTTCTCTTTCTCTATACTACTCAGGTTTAACACTTGCCCAGCCGGCTACACTCCAATTCTACGACTGTTTCACAGGCAATGCTTCTCAGAAACTGAGTGTCGACACGGTCTATGCCCAGTATCTTCCCAATGAGGTCCTCAACATTACGGTGCTGGGCCAAGCCAGCCAACAAATCCTTGGGACCGCAAATACAACTAGCCTCTGTATGTTTGTTTACTCTTTTTGTGCATTTTCAACGTGTTCATATCATTCCGACGTAATCTAGCGACACTCTTCACAGAGTCAACAACGCTGACTTTCAATAGCTACAGCAACAATTCTTATCTCTGTTCATCTATTCGCCCTCCCTCGCCCCTTCCTTCTCTCAGCCCAAACGAAACCACATACTGTCCAATTCCTGCAGGCCCCTTCGCTTTTTCCACCATTATCCCCTCCTCTCTTAAGTATGCGCTCACTACCCTCAACACTGAACTCCGCGCTGTAGACCCGTTTGGTGTCGAAATACTGTGCCTGGACGTATCCACCACTGTTCTAGAACCAGGTCCGCTGGGTTCACCGTACGGTCGTGCCCATATCATCTTTTGGGCGACCGTCGGATTGGCCATCGCCTATTGGCTGGTCGTGGGTATCGCCCGTATCGTTTCGGCATGGAATCGTGGCATTAGTCGGCCAGGGCCTGGCGTCTGGCACAGGGTAGAAAGCGCTGGGTTTATCCTTGCCAGTGCCATCAGTGGTGAACGTCTGGCGACTTCTCCGGCTCTCATGAGATTTTGTGCGTGCAGAACTTAGCTTTTGCGCTCCAGTCTTGACTTCTTTCTAAGGTTCACCATCTATGCGGGACATTATCTTCCACACCCAATGGTGTGCAGCTCTATCGATGATCGCTGTACAGTGGCCTCCTTTTGTTTGTACGTTATTTTGCTGTGCTCAAAGTAGATGTCACGGTGACTAAGTATACATATTCTCAGATCCGCTCCTAGCACAAACAGGTTGGGCGGCCCTGTCGTACAGTAAGCTTCAGCCACGTTGTATACTCGCCGTACTCATTTCCACGTAGACATCACTCTGACCCAAGGAAATGGAGCAAATGATCATTGGAGTCCTCTGGCTGTGCAACCTTACTCACCGCCTTCAGACTTTGCTGATCAGCTCAACGATTCTACGTCTCCCATTTACATCGATCCCTCAGTTCCCAACAGTCTCTTTCTCCTCCCCCCTAACACCAATCCTGGTATAGAATCATACGCTTACTCTGTCGGTCTTCGTCCGCAGGATCTATTTGGCATATGCGTTGGACTTTTCTTGGCTATTGTAGCTGGGACGATTGTAATTAGCTTCGCCGTCTGGATGATAGACTGGGCCTTTTCTTCCCCACCACCAAATTCAAACACCGGGTTGCCAGCGAAATTAGGTGGGACGCGCAGCCCGCGACTATCAGCTGGTAGCAAGGATATGCTGGAAAATGCCGTAGGAGGGATAGTTCTAGGCTCGCCTGATGAAAATCGTTCATTGAATGGTCATTATATGCTTCGTTCTGCACCGCGTTTCCCTGGTCCCCGGGTTGGACGGTGGAAGCTCCCTCGGCCAGACATCAGCTCATTCCATTTTAGTGTGCTCCTGGGTAATCTTGTGCGCATACTCGTTCTATTCCATCTTCCTGTAACTATCTTTTCCTCGTATCAATTGGCACTGGGTGCAAGACAGGAGATAAGTACGGCGTCTGTGGCTCTCGCTGCTCTATCGTTCGCTATATTATCCGTTTTGCTTCCGGTGTTCCTTCTAATCCGACTGATGCGAACTACGACGAACAAACTTTACGATGAAACACGAACTCTCCTCGTTCTTGGGCCGTTATACAACCATTATCGACACGGATCGCAACTCTTTGCGTGTCTCCTGTTCTGCACGAACCTGATCTTTGGTGTCACTATCGGTGCTGGGCAGGGGAGTGGAACAACCCAAGCCGTCATTATTCTTGTGGTGGAGGTCGTCTCAGCATTGGTCACCAGTGTATGGTTACCGTGGGGCGCGGGTGCAAGTATGGGTTTGATTAGCTTCCTGTTTTGTGTAGCGAGGATCGTTATCGCTGTCTTATTGGTCATTTTAACCCCTACTGTAAGTGTTTGCCCGCCTATTCGCGTACTCCATTAACGATCCGCCCTTCTGAAAAGATTTCTATCGGTGATGGCGCCGGCGGCTGGGTCGCCTATGGTATTCTCTGCGTCCTTTGCCTTGTTTATCTGGCCTTCTTCCTCATGCTAGTCGTAAAACTTATCGAGGCCGCCGTACGTATCGCGGGGAGAATCGGGTTCGACCGTAGCAAACACGCTGTTGACTCGGGGCTTATTGGAGCTTGTGGCTTGATGGGCTGTTGCGGTCCTCGTAAACATCACCGAAGTCGACCTCGTCACCCTTACAAATCAACGACGGATTCATACCGACCCACCGAGCCTTCCCTATCATCCTATTCCCCGCCTACAGCTAACTTTGCGCAGAAAGAATCCTCAGCCTCGCATCACTCTCATCATTCTGGTCCACCTTCTGTACTCAGACCTGAGCACGCGTTAAGACCATACAAAGAAGATAGTGACGATGAAGGTGGTTTCATCATGGGAGCTTGGCAGCCATTCCCACGACCAGGTTATGCAGCCATTGACGAAGCACGCACGTCGATCTCAGCACCACCCACACCGCCAGCATCTGGATTCTCACGTGTTGGGGGAGGTAGGGCGCACTACGATAGCCCATATGCGATTGCGTCTGGCTCGACATTAACGTTCCCGTCTGTGGAGCGGAACAGTGGATCTGCTTCAGGACGTGCCGTCCCCCCCATGTTTGATGAGGGTGAAGAAAATGTGTTAACGCAACCTTCTGCCAGCGTAGCAAGCGTGCAGATACGGATGCAGTCATTACCCCACGGTGCGATGATCCCGCATGTGAGGACAAAGTCGCAGACAGCTATCATCGAGAACGCCGGGATTCCTACGCCGTCGAGCGCAGTAGTTATGAATGGAAGTCCAGGAAAGGTCCCCAGTGATCCGTCTATTCCAGAAAATGTGGACACTGGAAGTGCTTCAAAGAAAAGGCATTGGTTCAACATACGGAGGAATAGGAGACATAGCGAAGGCGATATTCTTGACACACAAGATGAGGAGACAGGATCTAGTACTCCACCTCCCCCTAAGGAGACCGGACGGTCCTTCGTCGTAATAAGAGACCGGAAGCCGCAATCATCATCTCAGCCAGATCAACCAACACAACAGATACAACAAGTAGCCGAAGCAGCTGGGATTGCCACAGGATCTACATCACCCACAGAGAGACCAAAATCGTTTGTAGTTTTGCGGGGTAAGGATTCTTAATTTCTTTTGCGGCCTGCGCTGTTAGCGGTGCACGCCCATAATGATGTAGATATGTCGTGACCATCTCGCATGTGTTCTTTTTGTTTCGCATCCGCCATTTATTACCAAGGGACCTCTTACACTACTTCTGGCATGTATAGTTAGTGCACTTTCAATGCTCTGGACTGTTCAGCGTTCGCTTAAATGCCTAAACTGATTTTGTATTTGATGTTTTATCTATCATGAACGATTGCTTTCCCCTTCGTCCCCCAGTGAATCCTCTCTTCCATCTCCACCGACCCAGAATATTCGCCAATCCTCAAGATCTTTTCGCCACCAACCATAAATTCCTTGCTCAGCTCTTAGTCGAGTTGCTATTTCGTCTGTCTCTAGACTGTCAAATGAAGTAGTTGAGACCACACTCGCAGCCGATAGATTGCGAATGAGGGGAGTGGGATGCATAGGACGATGCCAGTTTCCGCCTGAGGTGAGGAATCCAGCCTCACCAATAAATGCCTGGGCTTGTGGAGGCTCAGCAACTGCTTTACCCTTACCCTTCCCTCGTCCGCCAGCGGACAAAGGAAGGGGAACTTCCTGCACCTCAACACCATCTTCACCCATCCCGATGAGTTGCAAAAATGGAGAGTGCCCACTACCGGGATGGCATATACGTGCGCTGACGCTCCCAGGAGGGGACTTCCACATGATAGTGTGTAATGGTGGGGCCGTTGAGAGCGTAGCGGGAAGTGGGCAGGGTACGATGTGCGTTTGTTTCCCGCGCGTTAGGAAGTACACACTTCGCAGACCGGGACCGCCCGCCGGCCTGCTATTTCCACTCATCAGATTCTGGTACGGTGATTGGGCAAAGGGAAGGTCGGCTTGACTCGGGAGCACCCAAGCTCCTTTGCCTTCCTTCGTGTACCCAAAGTCATACGACGCACGAGACCTGCGGGCAAGCACGACATTTGCGGTTTGTGTAGAGTCGTATAGGTCCACCTCCGTGACTGCGGCGTCGGCAATGCGAATGATTCCTGCCTTCTTCTCAAACACGATGAACAGTGCCGTTTGTGCGCCGTAACTGAGACCGAGCGGGGCGGCGAAGGCAGAGCGAGCACTGTAGAGGCCTGTGGAGGCGTCGCTGCTGACGACACGTGAGTGGCCTGGCGAGCTCCCACTGTAACGCGTAGGACCAACGTCAGAAGGACTGCGATAAATGTCTTGAACGGATTGTTGGACGAAAATTAAGTTGCGCGGCTGGAGAGGCGTATAAAATTCCTAAATGGCGATAACACAAATTTCATTAGCTCTGTGAGAAAAGCTGATATGAAAAGATAACATGCTTACTTTAACGAAATGAAAAGCCCTTTCATTTTTGGGTTTCTCGTATAGGAAGATGTTAGATTTAGTCGCCACCGCCAGTAGCGCCCGACTCCATTGTTGACCCTCCTGCCATAATGCATATGATATTACAGATGCAGAAAGAAGACGTGAGCCAGGGGCAGCAAAGGGGACAAAATCTGTCGCCCAACGAAGTGGCAAGTCGTCAACGACGTCCCATGTCGAATCTGTTGTGGCAGCAGTGGACTGGCTTGATTGTGTGGATTGGCGTGAGGCTTGCGGTGGCTTGAGAGATGGAATGAAGCTTTGGTAAGAGCTTGGTTGTGGTTCTGGTGTATGTCGTGTTGGAGATTCAGCCATTAGGTTTCGGAGACCCTTGGTGAGGCTGCTCGCGTGACGATGTCTCTTTGACGGTGTCTGTTGTGGATTCCCTTCTGACGGTCGTTGTAGATCTAATGGCCGAGCTGACTATCCCCGATTGAGTTACACGTGAGCACCCAGTCAGGTGAGTGAGAACATCCGCACAAAACACACACCTGCTGAGCAATAGTCCATTTCGCAAGGCTCGTGAGACTTGCAAGATTATACATTCTCAATGTTCGAATTGATTCTTTCTCGTGGTTAGTAGACGGTGTATCAGTATCGGGGCCAACGAGTACAAGCACTACCCCTTTTGGAGTACCTTCCCCTGAATCCTCCGATTCGAGCACGGACATCTGGTACACACTATACATCGATTGGAATCAGATGCTAGGAATACTTGGGGCTGGGGTTTAAACCATGCTCACGCTTCGCCTTCCCATATCGGCCTAGCCTGAGCCTCATTGGGGCCTTTCTGCACAAGTCCTCCTGTGTCGACCCATTCGCTGGGAAACATATTAAGCACCGACAGTCCGCTATCATGGCCAATCAACAACAGTCTGTCAGACTGGAGCGGTAGAACACAGCGTATTGGAGAGGTAGAATGTGGGAGGAACCGTGAGCCGAATTGGTGCAGCTTGAGGTGAGTCGGTGAGAGGAGTTCACCCGGAGGCTGTGAGGGGGGTTCAACTGGAGTGGGGCTGGCGTCAACCTGTGGAACGTCAGTTGAGAGCCCATCGTTTATGCGTATTCGTAGAGGTGGAACTGAGGCTGTAGACGGCTCTTTCATAGCTGGAATGGACCGGTCGGATTGCGAGTCTCGCTAACGCAGGCATGAATAAATAAAGGAAATATGTGTAAAACCAAATGACAGACTGATTCGCCCCCCCAGCCCCGTGCACGTCGTCTATCGAGTTCGTCTGGAGTGATGTCTGCATAACGCTCGGCCGCCCTGGTCTCAGCATGCGAGTCAGTCATGCGCATGGCCTGAGAGACTTTGCTGAGCCTCAGACTACCGTACTAGTAGACTCACCTTTTCTCTATCCAACCTCTCCATCTACCGAACCTGGCAATTTCGCGAGAGAAAGTGTCAAACATGAAGTGGTAAGAAACCCAAGTCTCGTGCATGGGTCCACGGTGAACACACCTCGAGTTAGGCCCGCTCTGTGCAGCGAGGTCGTCATATGTTGGTAAATCATCACCGCCTATCTGATCCTGTTCGATGTCATCCTGGATATATCTATCTCTCTTTTCGTCCTGCAAGTTCATGTTTGTTTTGGAGGGAAAGGGCCGTGAAACACCGGTAACCTTGGAGGGGTCTTATACTGCGCAAAGCACGGACATAGATAACCACGTGGGTAACTCAGAGATCCCTTCTTAGATCTAAAGCAGCTCAGCCTGAAACGAGCTCATTCTGCAACAGGCTGATATTGCACGTTGGTTGGGTATATTGATACAAAACAAACATGATTAAGATGAATACAATGGTCGGGCCAAGGAGGCTAAGACTGTGTAATGCAAAGCTGAGACACACGAACAACATCGACACATTAAAGGTAAACAGTATTCTCAAGAAAATGCCAGCCCAGACCATGTTGCAACAGCACCAATCATCACTCCTCCAGCGGCAGCTCTCAATCTTCCCCCATTCTTCTTTTCTTGTTTGGTTTCCTCCTGGAAGCGACGTGCGAGCAACTCCACTGCTTTTTCATCTCTACCAAGGATCAACCAAACCTGATCATCTTGATCACTCGGAAGAACCTCTGAGTAGAATCCAACTTTACGAGCGTTCTGTTGTTCTTCCGCCAAATTGGATCTGGGTACACCAAAGAGCATGGCAGGAGCAATCGTCGATGCTTGCGTAAGTTTTCCCACGAAAGCATTGCGTTCCTCGACGCTCATCGTACGGGCAAGGGCACGAGGAGGTGGAGAAGGAGTGAGAGAAGCAGTATCTTTTGTAAACGTTGAAACGGTTGATTTACTATCAGAGATGTGAACACGGGCATCGATGTCGGAAGCCGTCGATTGGCTTGAAATAGGCTCCGTCGATACCAGACTTGGAGTAGGTGAGATGAGTGTCCCTGGCATGCGAGAAGAGAGTGTAGGAGGCACAGGATCGGGTTTGACTGCCGGTTCATGTGGGATGACCAAAGATTTCTGCCACCTCAAAATACGAGGGTTTCTCTGCTCTGTTTCACCTTCCTCGCTGGAATCATCGCCCATCATACCCGGCTGCAGCAATCGCTCCACAATGTCAGAAGACGTAGAGGACAAGGATGCAAGAGTCTCTCCAGGTGCCAAAGCGAACCTGACAGACAATCTACGTTTATTCTTCTCCCCTCCCTCCTGGGGAGTTTTCAAAATCCCGTGTGTCTGTGCCTCCTGTTCGATATGGAGTGACTGTAGTGCATCCTCGATCGGTTCTGAGGATGCAGATGTCGCTCGAATGGCTGAGGCGGGCTGGGCCTGAGCAGATGGTGATGGCTCATCAGCGTACGGACATCCTGAGCGCGGATGACCTGCGCGAGGGCGCCCACATTTGGTACAATGGGGAATGCGACGCGGTGTAGTTTTTGGCGTTGGTAAGCTCCCTTCTGGTGTGGATTTTTTTGAGGGTGTTGTGGGAGTACTACCAGTTGATCGAAGAGAGGGTGGCATTTCTGTCTAGGTTGCGGTAATGGATGTTGACCAAGGACAGGTAGAAAGGATAATCCGGCTTTATATTCGCTGGTGGCCTCGAGTGGCTTTCTCGGTAGTCAAAGGACAAAGAAAATGAAAGGCAAAATGTGAGAATAAAGATAAGGGGATGGGTGTGAATTGTGTGTTCATCGTCCTTGTCAGCGTTGCTAACGTCGTCTTCAATGGCTTGTATTCCACGGCAGTCACCGAAAGCCCCTACTATCGTTGGACACCGGATGCAACCGGTAAGAGATATGCACTTGGGCCTCCAGAGGCTCGACGATCACTGTACAGGTAGCTAGAAAATTGTCAGATGTAGAATATAGTATAGAGAATATAATTGTGAAAGAATTTAGTGAATAGCTTATCTGTAGCAACAACGACAGACCTGACACTATGCTCTTGAACTCCAGAAGTGTGAATTTTGAGGGAAAGATGGCCAGATTTGACCAGATCTCGTGCTGGGAATATTGCAATATCTTTCTAGAAAACGTCAATAGGTGGGCCCCTACAATGCCAGATACTTACTGAGCTGATTGGGGCCTCAAAGCGTCTGGAGAAACGAAAACAATGATGGAGTCGTGACTAGGCGACCGAAACAGGCAATCACACACCAAGATAATCAATCAAGGACCGCTAGCTCCGCTTCGGTACGAACCGCACATACCACCAGCGTCAGGACTTGGTGTGACCTGGCGGAATTTGACTTGTAAGCTCCGCCTGATTTGGTCTGTGAGTGCCGCTGTGACCCAGTGTGACCAGAAATTGCAGAACCATTCCAAAACATGTGTCGTCTTTTCGGTTTTGTTCCGCTGCTCCAATGCTTCAAGTTCTTGCTCATTTTTCTACATAGGCAGCTAGAAAACTAAAAATTATATCTACTGGTCAAGTTCCGACAGTCTAAAGCTCAACGACTGGTGAGTTATTCAACTTCTCCCCAGACCAATTGCACCTATTGTCCAACGATAGTATGGCGCTGGAATTGAAAGCCGAACTAGTATTACGTCCACCATATCCAAAGCAAGATTCTTATCTTCTATCACTTATATCAGAGACAGACAAGAATTGGCTCGCGCTTGACTGAACTTTCAATTAATGCTTTGGAGATCAAGTACAATATCGGTACAAATACAATCGGTACAATGGTGTTAGACGAAATTTACAAGGAATTGTTGCAATATACAGCGGTATATCTGGGTGAAAATTGAAGAATGTTGGTATAACGAGCGCCACGTCAGAGCTTCAGCGCTCTAGAGAACCGACCCGCCAAATCACTCGCAAAGTCTTCCACCTGGCTAATCCTTGCCGCCCCGCAGACCTCGCTCTCGATATGCTGTATCAATCCTGAAATCAGTGCAAACTGTCTCTTGCATTTCGGACACTTGAACTCGTCGTCATCGTGGGCGGCAGAGTTCAAGTGCGTGTTGAGGGAGCTGAGCGACTTGAAGGAGCGAGGGCAGAGATAGCACTGGAATGCCTTGCCGTTAAACGATTGTTCTGTCGCAGAATAATGAACGATGGTCGGCGGTACGTAAGGGCCCTCGAGGCGGCGCGATACGGAGATCGTTGGGACGATCCCCATAGAATGCACAGCGGCAGTGACCTGATGTCGTGTGATGTGGTGACAAGCACCAGACTCGATGTGATGAGCTGTTCCAGACGGAACTTTGCACATCTTAGTGCAAAAAGGACAACGATGGGTGGGGGCATTGTGAACAGGGGACTTCGAGTGCTACCACGCATTTCGGTTCACTAATGGTAAACAGCGGCGACAAATTTGATGGTGATATAGAATACTTACGTTAAAAAGTGCATTCGCGTTCTTGAAGTCTCGCGAGCAGATAAAGCACCAATTATGAACAGCACTGAATTCAAGGTGCTGATTAAGGCCCACTTTAGTGACAAACGATTTATTGCAAGAGCTGCAGTATAGGTCATCATCGTCACTGCTGTCCGAATCTGATGTATCAGACGATACGTGGAGGGATGATGTGCGCAAGTGCTACAGGGGAACTTATTCAACAACGCGGACATACGCAACAATACGTGCAGTATAATACTTGCCTGATCTAGCGCGGCATCGTGGATGAAAAGGCGTTCACAAGACAAGCAGTATGCATGATCTTGTTTATCACGACAGTGAGCGTGAAGAGCCGAAGATGACCTGAATGTGCTCGAACATCGGGAACATGCGAAAAGGCCCATATCCTTCGTTTATCTCGTAGGTCGAGGGAAGAGAAGGTCCTGGGAGAGGGTGAAAGAGGGTCGTTAGGTTTATATAGGAAAAGGCATGAGAACTCGACGATTTGGTCCCATATTAATGGGGTTGTTTATCTCTCCGAGTCACAGTGTTTACAGATTCTTTTGATCACTTTCCCTAAATGCTCTTTGCACGAGATGGAAGTCGAAGGCACCGATAACATGCGACCGCGAGCGTCTATCAGGATCGTCCCCTTTGAGAGATTACCCCTATACAGCAAGTGCATTAGGCTCTCGGTTTTCAGGGTAATGGTCTCGAAAAAACCGGGTATCATGAATGACGAAACAACGAATACAATCACTGATATCACGGTTTTCCATTCTTCATGCAAGCGGTATGATGCAGCCACAACTTTACTGTAAAGTATGTCCACTTGGAAGAAGCGTCGTAGTCACTTGACACGTTGGTCCGAGTCCAGGTCTGGGTTATCTCGTAACCAGGGCACAATGATGCTGCGAATCAACTGAATAGTGACAGTACAACAGAATGCGTACAAAACGTAGCTATTTCTGCTATGACCACAGCAAAAACGTGAATACGCTGGTTGTAAGTATGGTACTGTGCATATGCACCCAAAAGGCTGACCTTCAAACGTTGATCTCGCGTGAGTTTGTAACCTGGATTTTTGCTCTTGCTAGTTATATTGCTGCATGAACATCGTGTAGATGGAAAATCTTACAAGTAAATCCAAGCATCGTCCAAGTCTGCGACGTCGCTGATCGCCACCCGAAAACTGGTTTTACATGATTTACTCCGCCGCGGGATTGACGCGGAGGCGAAATTTATCATATCCCTGAGTCCCTAACGCAATTTCCGCAAACCCAAGGTCACATACAACTGCAATTTTTGGTGCACAAGAAACACATCAACAATATAAAAAAAAAATCTACGGTATATACATATGTGCACGCTAGCCCGTATCACCATCCTTCGCACCAGTTTCTGATGGTGCAGGCGTACAAGGTGATGGCGAGGCTATTCCCAGACTCGTTGGCCGGAACTTGACCTTGATTTTTTTCGGTGGGTCGTCCCCAGATTTTGCTGACCCAGCACGCCCCCCATTACTGTCATCTTTCTGCCCACCCAAATCAGGTCGCTTTGCCTTGCTCGCGAGCCGCTCCAGCATCTCGTCTTCATCATCGTCTCTCCGTCGTTTCTCTAGTCTAGGCATCGAGAGCTTTGACGGAAGCTTGGGTGACCCCAGTGATGGTGAAGGTGGGCCTGGTTTTAGCGGGCGCACGAGTGATTCCAGTGGATGATTTTCATCTTCATCTGACGAGGAACGTCTCAGGGATGGCCGAGGGGGTGGAATGGTACGATGTGATAATCGGGGGCTGGGCGGTATCTCCACGGAGGGAGACACAGGGATGTTATTAGGAGCGATCGGATCGTTCGGTGACGTGGAATTAGATGCTGCAGCACCGCTTTCATCTGCAGCACCAGAGTCCTCATCATCTTCGCCATAGTCGAGCAAAGATCCAAGTGGGGGAGCACGAGGGAGCGTGAGACTTTGTGGTCGAAAGACCTTCGATGCGGCCATCGCACCACGCCGTTTCCGTTTCAAGCTACCAAATGATGGTGATAACTGTCCACGTATCCGAGGAGAGCTGATAAATGGCGGTGCTACATCGTCTTCGTCGTCATCAGCGTTGAAGTAATCCTCCTCTTCAGTCTCTATTGTTCTACCAATGAGGCGCGGATCCTTAATATTTCTATTGGGGGGGAAAATTAGCTGTGTTCGACGTTGAAAGTTGGCCCAAAAGAACGCACTTATCGGCCCGCTCTTCTTCCTTGGGTGGTGGTTCCATGTTCATCTCCCAGCGGCGTATAAAGGACGAGAACCGAGGACCTCCCAGCTGACTCTCGGCCAGCTTGCGAACCAGTGCTTCATGCTTTGTCATACAATGATGGATTATGTCTTTGATGTTTTCCTATATGGGGATCAGATACATGTGAACCACGACGATACAGTGTATCATCTCACCCTGCGGATATGCTCAAAGAACTCTTGACATGAGGCACTTAACAGACTATCTCGTCTTGATTCGTGAATAGTAAGCTCCAGTATTGGTTTGAAGACATCGAGCTTCATGAGATGGTTCAGGAAATTCCGGTTGTTCATTTTCAGACACACCCGGAAGAACCGGAAGGCAGCTATTCAAGAAGTAAGCATAAAGGTCTTTCCCATGCTAACGACATCATCCTTACCAAGACGCAAGTGTTTATCACGGGCATTCAGCAAAGAAGCCACACGGACAGAGATATTGGAGGAAAGCATGTGAAAATGACTGCGGAAGGCGTGCTGCTGGGCAAAGTTGCATAGAAGGTCGCATAAGTATAGGTAAAGATTAGTTTTCTCCCTCGAAAGCTTTAGCACTGATTCTGTGGGATACGATGTTGGTTTAGTGGCTTTGTGATTACAGTACAAAAACGAACCAGATTGATTTTTGAACTCTGGGATATCACTGAAAGGCTTGAACAAAATGTCAATGCAGTTCTTGTAGAAGTAGTCCAGGAATTTCTCAGTGCCTGGGTCGTCCTTCCCACGTGCAAGCAGTTTCACGCCAGCTCCAGCCTATAAGGGTACAGAAGTGTCAAAGGGCATCACCAACAAAAGTTGATTCGTGCTCACAGGTGGTTCAGGCCCGTCACTTAGTGATATCTCCAACAAGGCCTTCAACGCATCTCCGACTTGGCTCTGAATAGCCAAATCCCGACTCCGCGCCAGCATGCGACATAAAAGCATCAGGATAGTTTCTGCCTTATCCGCACCTTTCTTCCCCGCCTCTTGCTCTCTCTGTATGGCCGCTGTTTGCTTCAAGACGTGCCCCCGCACGCCGTTTAGGTCGTGGTCTAGTAATGCCGCCATTATTTCACCGGCAGCGCTGATCATTGCTCTGGAAGATTCATCTTTCTCTGGAAGAGCCAAGGCCCACTGCGCCGCGAAAAGGATACCTCTATCGACCAGGGTACGGAACAACGCCATTCGAGCGGGCAGCTGTACATTCTTACCCATGACACACAGCTGCTGGATTAAAATGATGACCTCTCGCCGGAGAGCTATCTCTCTGTCAGAGAGATCGTCAGGGGGAGCAAAGGAGAACGTATTTGAGCGAGAAGATTGGCCGTTGACGCCATTAGCTTTCGGCTCTGTGGCTGATTTGGGGTCCACATCCATCTTCTCCTCTTCAGTTTTCTGCTTATCCTCCTCCTTTTTCGCATTCCCTCCCAGAACTTCTTCGCTAACATACAGACCTATTATTTCTCGCAGAAACATTGGGTCCTGCTGCACGTGGTTGATGATGTCAATTTGGTTAAAGATAATGCATGAGTTGAGGACGTTAAAAGTCGAGTCGTCTAAAGCCCGAGCTAGGACAACGTCTTTGAGGAATTGTAAGCGATAGGTGTGGTGTACTTTCTTTTGAATAGCTTCGTCGTGAATGGGAACAGGTTGGTGAAATCGTGATGTTAGGTGAAGAAATTCCCGATAGTTAGCTTTATGCGCGGGGAACTCGGGATCGTCTATTTTCACAGGGGTCAATAATCAACGATCAACTATGAGGAAACATGATACAGACACTCGAGCATTCCCACGACTCCAAAGAACATATCATCTTCGAGAATGTGTTCATATATGCCATGGTCATTTAGCAATACTGTGAAGCGACCAGATCAGAATGCATATATCATACTTCAGAAATAGCGATGATACGCACATATAGTCTGCATGAGACTGCATAGCGCGTGCAGATTCTCGATGCTCTCGAGATCCTCCGCTTGGTTCATGACGTCAATCAAAGCCTTCACGTATTCCTGGTACGACAATATGCGCGATAAGGATCTTGAAAAACAGTATCGGACAAATATACTCACTTCACGCTGGATATATTCGCATATTTTGTCCCTCACTGTCTGGGTACGCGCTAGAGCCTTTATAGCACGCTCCACTTCGGCGATTATACCAAGTTGTGGAGTGGGTAAGTGGCCGGATCGTATGATGCTCGCGGTGGTAACAGAGTGTTCGGAACCAGCAGATGGTGAGGAGAGTCCTATGCCTATATGGTCATCTGTAGAGCATACAACGGTTGAATGTTCCATGCAGGTACAGAGACATTCCAGGAAAGAGACACATGAGCTTGTGTATTTGAGGACAATTGACAGAGGGTTGTGGCGAACACGTGCGCTTACCTCCTGCGTTCAGGTGTCGTTGAACCTCGAGTATAAAATTCCAAACCTCGGCGCAGCCTTCCGGATCTTGAAAGCTTAATGCATAGTCAACGCCGTCTGGTTCAGTCCATACAATAAGGGTGTCTGTTATGCCATGATGAATTTGGTGTGTTTGTGTGAAGGGCCAGAGAGACAGCGCACCTTGCTGCCGTTGGTAGACATCATTTGACCTAATGGCAGTAGAAAGGATGATATCATTGTAGTTCGACTCCGCGCGAGCTATGAGGAATGCTTCATTTGTCTCGTCTTGAAATTGGCCGAAGCAGAATGCAGTGCCTTGATCAACCCATCGTGAGCCTATCAGTTCGTAGACCTTGAGATAGAATGACAACATTCGGTCAGAGTCAGGCCCCCAAAGGTGATACGATCATCACAGGCACAAAGATATTTAGACGGCGAAAAACAATGAGGCTACAGGGTGTTGGCTCAGCTTTTTACGTGCTCTGGTACGCCTGCACCTCGCCGCATTCACATTGCCATAGGGGTGAACAAGTCACGTAAGGATGAAAGCAACTACATACTAAAGGTCGAAATGGATAAGAAGAACTCACTTTAACACGTTTCAACTCGTGATCCGCTTCAGGCAGGTACTCATGGGTCTCCTCATGCGTTGCTGCTGGATCCACTGTCTCCAACATTGACAGTTGCTCTTCCCTAACCTCTACGCCATCATGCTTGATATCTGCATTCACGGTGCCGCCTGTCTCACGAGGGTCGATATGGCTGACTACAGGATTGCTTGCTGAATTCTCTGAGCTAACCAGGGACGCAGGATCCAAAGAGAAAGTTGGTGTATGTGAATCTGGGGGAAGCAAGGAGGACGGAGGCGTGGCTGATAATGAATTTGGCGACTCGGGTTTGTTGATGTTGGTGGGGTCGGGAGAAGTAGCAGAAAAAGATGGGTCTGCAGCGTCAACGCCGCTCATGACAGGAAAGAAACAGCTGCAGGGACCTTGGACTTATTCCGACCAGAAAAAAAAAGAAAACCTGAGCGAATATTGAACGAATATGAAGACGTTTGCCGTATACCGCGCCTCGATGCTTGACGGGTGCGTGGTGAAAACACGTTCGGATGTAGCCGGCCCAAACCGCAGGCAATTCAACCAAAGGGTCGCCCAAGAACGGAAAGTCCTTCTTATCTCTTTTGTCCTTTGCTCGTCGTGTGCACCAGCGAGCTCAAAGAATGTTTGCATTCCTTTCTGCCTGTATCTTTTCTTTATGCTTTGTACTGGCCTCACCCTAGCGCCGTCTACTGCCTTATACATCCTGTGTACCCCTGTCAAGAGGAGCGCTCCATTCAGGCCAGTATGACGACAGTTGTTGCCTTCACATGCGCAGCCAGAGTCTTGTGATTGTCTCCATCAAGCCACAGTACTCCTCAACATTAACTCAAGTCGCTCAAAAATATCTTGTGTCATCTGGCCGCGGACTTGGCAGTCGTACACCACGCCTGTTTCAAAACACGCAAGCTGCATTAATTTTGGCGCGTGCAAAGTCGAGTACAAGTGCTGCATCTTCATAACAAATAATATTCGCAGACCGCTCGGGTTAACAGCCATGGTAATTATTGGTGGTCGATTGGCCGACTTCTCAATTCAGGAGTTTCCCAATGAATTGGTAGCAAATAATCGCCGGCTATCCACATTCATGGTATTCGATGACGAATGGAACTGAACTTCGCTGGCATCTGGTACGCCTGTATTCGTCACTGATGCAATCGTAGGACTGGCGGCAGGCACTAGACTAGTCCAGAAGTTTGATAGGAGACATTATGGCGATTGCCAGTAGAGTTTAACGTGAACCAGTGAAAAAGCTCGGAAACACTCAGCATGCTCACCATCGCCTCCGTTGACCAAATTATCACCTGTATGAGGAGCAAGCCAGTTGTAACTTGTAGCACTAGTCGTATCTCAGTCAAGATAAGTCACAATGGACGAGCCGAGGAGACGCCACACCAGGGCCGAATCGTAATTACATAATAATGCTAAGTCCAAAAATTGAGAGAGGTGACGTTCTTCCTGTCTTCTTCACCAACATGGCCACCACGAGCAGGACATCGACCATCCTCACTGTCGCCACCATCGCAGTCGGTGGCTTAGCCGCCTATGCCATTTACTTCGACTACAAGCGCAGAACTGATGGCAACTTTCGCAGAAAACTCCGTATGTTTTTTTCTCTTTGTCTTTGTCTTTGCCGCAGGGCGCTCTTTTGCAGCTTCTTACGATGTTCATCGATCAGGCAAGGACAAAAAGCGCATAGTCAAAAGCCAGGCATCTTCGGAGACATCTAAGACAGGTGCAGATGAGACTGAGGCCAATGACCTGCGGGGTGCGTTGGAGAAAGTGCGGGCCGAGGAAATGCCAACCAACCCTGAGGAACGGGAAAAATACTTCATGGCTCAGGTCAGCATTGGCGAGCAGCTATGTGCCCAAGGTTTGTCTGAGTGATTCACCATACATCCAATGATCTATAACGTCAGTTTTCGTAGGCCCCGTCTACAACTTGCCCGCTGCCATGTGCTTTTACAGGGCATTCCGTGTATATCCTTCCCCTGTGGAGCTTATTGTTATATATCAAAAGACAGTCCCTGAGCCAGTCTTCAAGGTATGTACAATTTTACTGCAGAAGCTCGAAATCTCATTCATCACTTTCACTAGCTTTTCATGGAAATGACCAATTTGGACGTAAGTCCTTCTTCTTCACCAGAGGGAAGGAGTCAAGCACTCCATGACCTTGACGAGGAGCGTGAGACGAGTCCGTTGAGAGGAGGACCTCCCTCAGAAACGTCTTCACAGGACTGGGACAAGGTCACAGACCCTGGCAGTCAAACTCCTGCGACATGAGTCGCTTATTATTCTGCATGCGCTTTGTACGCTGTAGTCTACTGCAAACACAACACACATCTTCCTCTGTCTATCCACATTTTCATGCATATCTGATTTCATTGCCTTGGTCTAATAAAACTGTTGTTTTTTTATCCATGTTCTATTTCCATTGCCTTGCACCTCTTTTAGGTGAAAGACCGTGTTGAAGGTGAGCATGTTGAGTCAGCCGCGGTTTTCGTGTCAGGCTGAGTGTGAGGAAATTAGGTTACTATAACTTCTTCCCTCCCAAGTCAATGAACGTCGCAGTGGAAAATCTTGATGTTCCTGATGGTACCGGAAGGTTGATGCGCAAGAAAATACTTGTTGCAAATAAGGATATTGCGGCTGGTGAAGTCATCTACAAAGTGAGTATGCTCAATTTTGTTTAATCCCTCTAACAACTATTCGAATCTACAGGAAGGAGCTCTTGTTACTGCCCTCGATCTCGACCTGCAAGGAAAAGGGACTCATTGTTCCCATTGTTTACGGGAAATCGGAGATGGTACGGCCCTACGGCCAGACTCAGATCGTCTCAACTCTGTCTACTGCTCGAATACCTGTCAGCTCGAAGCAAAACTCGAATACCAGAGCTTGCTCTTCACTCTCGAGCCGCCTCTTCCAGTGGGTCTGACACCAGACGTGTCGGACTCAGCCCAAGAAGATCGGGATGCAGCGCAAAAGGCATTCGTAGCATACTTAAACCACTCTGCGAAGGCTAGCCCTGAACTCGTCGCCAAGTTCATTGCACGCCAAGTTTCGATCGAGACTTCCAAGATGGTACCTGGTGGCCAGCCGGTTCCTACACCCGCTTTGGCCGATGGTGGTGACTATACGCTGTACGACCATCTGGAGAGGCTGCGTTTCCTCGAGGTGAAGCCAGGCAAAAACGAAATGAAGCTTCTCGGCGAGGTTTTGCAGACTGCTCTTCCTGGCCTTGAGCAGTTCGTTACCGAGGAGAGACATGGTACATTGCTCGGAAAAATGGCGTACAACTCGTATGGTGTGTTCTTCGGTAACGGTCGTGATGACAAAGTAAGGAGTTTCTTGATCATTTTGCTTCTTGATGACTTAACCTTGTATGCCAGCCCGAACCAAAAGAACGCCCAGAGGATGTCGAAAAAACTCGTACACCCTTGGGAACGGCACGACAAGTTGGTGCAGCCTTCTATGCCGTCTCTTCCTACGTGAGTGTGTTTCCTCTCGAAATCCTACACCCTACTGACCTGATGCCATATTTAGATTTCTCATTCCTGTGCTCCTTCTGCCCGACCTTCGTTCGACGATGGTAACGCCGAGCTCCACCTCATCGCCACCCGCGACCTCAAGAAAGGTGACGAAATCACCGTCTCCTACATTGATGTCGCCCAACACGAGGATGAGACGACCGTCGACGCACGCCGGCGCCGTAGGATGGAGCTTGCCAGGGGATGGCGATTCGCATGCCCTTGTACGCGTTGTGCGGAGGAGGCTGCGGAGTCTGGCCAGACCAGCGAAGAGTCTGCACCCAGGGACGAATCCAAAGTCGAACCCACTGTTTCGAGGGCGGAGGAAAGCGACATTCCCAAACCGTAATAGCTTACACAAGTCGTGGCCCAGTCGTCATCCCTCGATTGACAAATTCCAGTCTTTACATTGCTTTCAATTTCTTTTGCATCTTACCTACATATAGACTGTTTTGTAATTAGACATGCCTATTTTGCTTTCGTTGCCTATTTACTTAGTTTACATTTGCAACACGCCCCATTCTGCGCAGATCTGTGCTCGGAAGTGCGCGACCATTCCGGTGAAAGCCGACAATAAGTCAATGACTTCATTCTAGTTGGACTGGGTAAACGAGCCTATCCTATACCCAACGGTTAACGGACGTTCAACAAAAATGCTGCCACTACTACGACGACCTGTACTTCACCACACAGCCTGTAGAAGGTCTTTCCATGCAGCTCCAACGCTCAGGAATGTCCGGGGTGGCCTCACGAATATGCTGGCGGGAGACGTACCTCCACCTGTACAGGTCAACTCAATAACTCAAGAAGGTATTCAACTGGCGGACGGGCTCGTCCTTTCTTCAGCATGTATATTCTTGGAGGGGAAAGTATTTCTGTGGGAAGTTCCTACGAGTCTTTGGTCAGGTTGGACTAAACAGCATTTGGGTATTTTTGAGGTCGTCGTCCCAAAGCCGGGTTCGTGATTTTTGACTCCTAAAATGACTTTTTGTGATACTCATACAGCACTCTAGAAATTCTGCTATTTGGAACTGGTAAAAGTATGTCGCTACCTCCTCCAGGCCTGCGGACATACTTGAAGCAGCTTGGGATACAGATGGATGTCATGGACACAGTACGTCTCATTTTCCCTGTTATGAATATTTCTCTGCTAATATGCAATATACAACTAGCGAAATGCATGCTCAACATATAATCTACTCGCGGAGGAAGGACGTCGAGTTGCTGCTGCTCTATTGCCATATAATCTTCGCTCATGGCACCCACAAAATCTTCCCAAATAAATCGTAACAGTGCTCCAATTTTCATATGTATCAAAGAAAATTCAAGGCGGCTACCAAGGTACCGGTAATGCAGAGACCATCGACAGACAGCAGTTTACAGATAACTAAGGGTGACAATTTATTTATGTATATGCTGTGTCCATTACTCTGGAGGGGCCTTGCGTTTCCCTTTGTTCACTGGCGAAGACGACATACTAGCATCCAAGGAGGGCGTTGCTTGAGAGCGAGTTCTTGGTTCTTCGTCTTCATCGTCCAGCAGAGATGGTTGCTCGACTTCGACGGGCAAAATATTGCCTACATCACGAACGGGACAAATATATTGATTTCCATTCGTACATGAGACACGTAGACACCAAGAGAAAATGAAGAAGCTGGATAAGGATGTGGAAAATGCTCACCATCTTCATCCTTGAATTGCAGATATAGCACCTCCCAGTTGGTTAGATTACTGACCGATTGCGAGGGCTGCAGCACTTCGTACTGCACCGTGGTCTTGCCCTTCTCTTTCACGGCGCGACAGAGCTCAAACTCCTCTTCTTTCGACACCCGCGGTACATCCTCGATCTCGGTTACATCTGCCGATAATGCTGATAGTGTCTCCTCTTTCAAAGATGCGATGGTATTGGAATGTGGCACAGTGAGAAAGATCGTAAGTTTGTGCGTTTTCACAAGGATCTGATATGATTTTGGCTGAGCTCTCGGGGGCTGCGAAATAACTGATAAGTATGGAGTATAAGACATTGCAGCTTTGAGTAAATACCATGCTTGCAATGGGTGATTTTATGTTTTGTTGGTGGTCGAGGAGGCGAGTCTGTACAAGTGCAAACTCCGCCACAGCGTTTCTTTACCACAACAGAAACCGAATCCCGAACTCGTCCGTTGACGATGAGCACCTATCAGAACAGTTCAACGGCCAGCCAGCCATACTCAGATCCGACACCATTGCCAGCAAATGTCCCAAAAGTAAACGAACTCGGCGTAACAAGTGCGCCGCTCAAGTCGGCGGCATTTTTCCTGGGGGCTTACTGCAAGGAATACAATGGTTTGTCTGTCAAAAACATATGATTGAAATTGGGTATACTTAAAATTTGGTGGGAATTTCAGAGGATTTCATGCTCTGCAAGCAAGAGAACAGAGATCCAGGACACTGTCTGAAGGAAGGTCGCCGGGTGACGCGCTGTGCAACAGAATTGTACGTGTATTATCCACTTTTTATCTATGTCTGTGCTGCAGAAAATGTGCATCGTAATAACATTTCCTCACGTATCACAGGATAACCAAGATGCGGGAAAACTGTCTAGAACAGTTTGACGCACACTGGAACTGCCTAGAGTTGAACAACCAGGTAAGTGAACTCAAATACGTTCTTGACATGTACCTGTACTGATATTGCTGGCAAGGAATACTATCCCTGTCGTAAGCCTGAACGCACTCTCAACAAGTGTATGTTCGAGAAGCTGGTACGTTTCGCCGTTCGCGTTATACATCAGTAGGCTTGCTGCTGACATGTATCCTGAAGGGCCTGACGAAAGCGATACCTGGCTCACCAAAGGGCCAGAAAGCTATACACGAGGTTGAGAAACCTGTGTTCACGACTGTCCAGCGGTGAAGATCGTTATTTAGGGAGCACGTGTATTCCCGTAGATATAATGCAATCGTTTATCCTGGACCGCTGTTTTATTAAAGTGCATGATAGATAGTTTATCATACTGACTGAACTGCAACCGATCTGCTTTCAAAAGTAAACTGGGTGTTTCACTTGTTCTACTGGTGTAATGTTCAGTCAAAGCAATACCTTGAAAATCTAAGGCGGGGTAATATGTCCTTGGGAAACGGACTAGTTTACTTCATATGTCCTCTCTTTCTCTTCTCCACCATGCAACCACGCGTCTTAGCAGCATTCACCGGTTCTCTAGAAGTCTCACCTCTACGATAACGCCTGCGCATTCAATATACGTTTCAAAGTCAACAAATCCCTATTTCAATCTTACTTTCGAAGACTGGTCCGTTCATTTATTCGCAAACTCACCCTCGACTGACTAAAAACTGTCACACTGTCCGGCTACTCCAGGTTGTTCAGACACAAACCACCCAAAGAACCTCTACTATTACTCTACCGTGACCATCCCTGCGTAGTCATAGGTCGCAATCAGAACCCATGGAAGGAGGTCAACTTTCGTGCTTTGCATAGGTCTGGGATACCTTTCGTTCGGAGACGGAGTGGCGGTGGGACTGTCTATCATGTTCGTTCCTACGGTTATTCAGCTGCATCCATACTCGTTCTTGAAACATGAATGACGAATTTGCAGGACCTTGGAAACACCAATTTCTCGATACATGTTCCTCGGACTACTTTCGACCGTAGCGCTACAGCCCAGATCATTCTGAGAGCTGTACGTTCACTTGATATAGACGCGCATGTTAACGACCGAAACGATATATGTGTTGGGAAGGAAAAGATACGCCCTTTTATTATTGCTACTTGTCCCTCAGACTCATGACGTGTCTCCCGTCATCACGTTTCAGGCTCAGCATACAAAATTGTGAACAATCGCGCGTATCATCATGGCACTATGTTGATTTCAACACGGCTTGATACGTTAGGAGACCTACTGCGTTCTAACAAGGTATGTATACCTTACCTTTAGGAGAACGCGTTCTTAACAATGCTTCTGATTAGGAATCTATGGTCACAAAGGGTGTAGCTTCGGTACGCTCCCCTGTCTGCAACCTGCAACAGTTTAGTTCGACTATCTCACATGACGCCTTCGTGGACGCCGTGGTCCATGAATTCCGGAATGAATTTGACATTAGCGAGCAGGTATGCATCCAGACACCATCGTGTGCGGTAAACTCATGGCATATCAGGCATGTATGATTGGCGAGACGGACGAGCTCATGGGTGATGATTATATCCACAAGGGGATGAAGGAGCTTCCCGTGAGCTACATTCTTATTCTGAGATTCACAGCTTTTGATTGACGTCTCTTATCTAGAGCTGGGAATGGGCGTACGGCCAGACCCCAGAATTTGAGTATAAGATCACGCGCTCGTTCGCTTGGGGTGACGTTGTAGGTGCCCCTCATTGATTTCCGAATGCTGCATACTGATGAATTGATACGAAGGCTGCAAGTATTCATTCAAAACATGGTATTATACTTTCATGTTCCATCGACGTGTTGAAGGGAGGTAATATAGTATTGAACCATGAGATGGGTGAGATAGGAAAGAGGTTGGAAGGAAAGCGGTATGGGCAGATAGAAGATTCTGAAGTGATAGGTGCACGAGGTCAGAGCGGCGATATCCTGCAATGGTTGCGGCAAGAGATGGAAGTCTAGGAGGTCTAGGTTCGCATGATCCCATATAATACCCGCTTTAGCTGGAATATTTCAGGCCTCATCTAATGAATTGAGTATATGGACTAATGCAATGCTGAAGACCCGAAAAATCTACTATTGTGCTTCTGGACAAATTCAATCTTTCCAACGATCAATTCTATGAAGTTGCGAAAGAAGGAGGGCGTCATCGCGTGCGCCAAACATTTGCATTATGAAGGGAGGAGGGAAAGATATGCACCGATTGTCCTCGTACATGTCCTGTTAACCGCTTGTCACGATCCATCATCATGTCGTCCCAGGTATCAATCTTATAGCGGACAGGCTAGATAGGCCCAAGTAGTTTATTATATTTTGTTTAGTCCTACTCAACCTAAAAAATGATACTAGTCATACCTTGCCCTGGTTCTGCGCTCTTTTAGAGGTATTCAGCAGCGTTCCGGCTGCTGCAAACATGGAAGTAAGCAGACCTAAATTCAGGATATGTTTACATCAGTCATTGTAGTTCGTGTAGCATTATTTTACATACCGAATGGTATGAGAGCCTCCCATGGCACAGGCATTATGTTCTCGTCGTCGACAACGGTGAGCAGCAGAGGAAGGTATTTGAGATTGTTTGTCTGTGAATCCCAGGTTGGATTCGTGCCACGGAGGTTGTCCCGGATTCCAGTGTCACGTGGTGTCGCTGGTTAGTCATGTGATGAGGGCCATAGGGAAATTTAGCGCGCGTCTCTGGGCTTTTCGAAGCACGTTTATAAACTGTTGCCAAAGGCATGGGATGAGCTCAAGCAACATGCCCGTGACAATAATCATTGTCAACCATAGCGAAACCTATAACTATGGACTACTCGTAGGTCATTTCACCGGTACACTATTGCTACCTGAACACTTGAAACCTCCCTTTTCAATTTACAACTTGAAAGTTTTCATTTGGTCCATAGTATAGCTTTCGGCTAATTAATTACAAGATCCGATAAAAGGACATTATGTGACCAAAATATAAAAAGGTCCGGGTCGTGCGGGCATTATACAATACGAAGGGGAAGGTTTGTGGCAAAAGATGAGGTATCGAAGTAAAGCATGACTTGGGGGTACGTAAACAGGAGGAACGAAGTATAACAGAAATGGGAGAAAGCAAATAGCAGTGCGACGAAGAACGAAACAGCATCGAGTGAACCCAGAGATGGATATCATCCATTAATATCATAATTTACACCATCCATATGGAAAATGCCATTGTCATCAGTATAGACATTGGGAAAGGAATGCAGCGAGTCCTCGCTGGGAGTGATTTGCTGTGACGAAGCTAAAGACGAGGTATCATTGTAATCCGACACGAGATGCGGGGTGTCGTAGAGGATAGATGTGGCACTGAGGTCATAGGGAAGGGAAAAATTATCGCGACCAGGAATGTTTTGACGAGAATGAGGCGCAGCCTGTTCATACAACGATAACGCTTGATTAAACGGCTCTGCAGAAGACATCAAAGACGATGATGAGCCGGAAAACGGGGAGGCAAAAAAGCCTTCCAAAGACGACGGGAAACCAGGGTTACACAAGGACGACGGATGACGCAAAAAGGTATCGCTATGCGGGAGCGGGCCACTATTCGTGCCACCTACCGGAATCATGTCCGGCGCTGTACAATCTGCAGGGGTCATGCCCCATGAAGAATGGGGTTCGGAATTGAACCTCTGGCTGAAGAGCACGTCATAGGGAAAAAACAAGTCGTAGTCGGATGTGAGAGGAGATGCGCTTAGAATAGGGTTTGTCAAAGAAAAGTCCATTAGGTTTGTCCACATCTCGTATGAATTTTCCGCCGCAACCAAGTTTGGGCGTGTCAGATTATGATGCTGCCATTGCTGAGCGTGTGGTGGTATCGATGGCTGCATCGCATCGAACATCACTGCATTAGATGAGGGTCCAGGCTGCTGTTGATTATAGTACGGTGATGTCGGAGAGGCGCCACTTGTATCGCTTGGATGATGAATCTCACCAAGCCTTGCAGAACCGGGTGAGGGATGGCATTCAGTCTCTCCGAAATTTGTCGAGATTGACATATCAAATGAAGGCTGCGAATAAGCAAGCCCTTGAGTGGATGACTGTAAATACTGGGTGGGTGGATGTAAAGTGCGGTTATTGGATGAATAAAGGGGAGCAGATGATGAACTCGGATATGTTGGAGGAGCACGCATATGTCGCATATCACCCGTTAGGTGGGTACCACCGCGCAAAGGAGAAACATGCGGCGTGGATGGTGGGGCAGAAGATGCCTCTTCGCCCTCGTCTTCATCTTCATCATCGAGATCTTCGTCGATGAGAAAAGGGCTGGAGAGTGTGAGGGCCGGTAGCGCTTCAGATGTTCCGTACCCTTGGAACTCGTTCAGGAACCATGTAGTCGGACCTTGAGCTGGGCGTGATGGGCACCATTTTTCTCCGTAGATAGGAAGCTGTGGATATGAGCGGATAGTTAGAAAGTGGCTCATGACGCCCCCGCCGCTACCACCTACCAAGTGCCGGATATGCCATAGCTCTGATCCTATGACTCGTCCATTAGGCATTCAGAATAATTTTGTCAGGGCGACGACCGCTGGTTGTTGTGAAACGCGGGGCTGAGCTGTGACTATCTGGAGGGTGAGCCACAAGTACAAGTCACTGTGTGATCAAGTTATAAACAATTTCAGGGGAGGAAGGCGGCGACAGCCAGGCATGCACTGTGTGTCCCATGTCGCCGTCATTTTTTCATAGCCTTGCGAGTCGGATTCTTGAGGGCCCACAGATAAACTTCTTCTGAGTAAACGACTGGAACTTTCATTGACGTCCGCAAGAAAAACGTGTTTATCAGTGCTATCGACAAACATCAGCTGCATCTTGGGATGGCCCATCGATAATATCGCTGTGCAATCCTGACCTGAATAGGTATATTCAGACTAATGAAAGTAGGCCGGCCTGTGCAGAATATCCCAGAGAAGCTGATGATAAATCCTTACATCACCCCGGCCAGTTAGACGCGGGTTACAGGCGCCCATCAGAGCGGGAGAAGCTGGGGTATTGGCACCAGAGTGACTTCCATTTTGAAGGCTCGGATGCCTCGAGGCTAACACGTTTCGGAGGCTGTGGCAGTGGTCGCAAGCATATCGTACCATACGGTGAAGCCGTACTTTCGTCTGCGAGAGAAAATACGCACCGTAGAACATTCGTACGATAACACAGCAATCGTGCCCAGAGCTTAAGCGCTGCACAAGGCCTGTACGGTTGGGAGAAAACGCGGCGCAAAAATAAGCAGGTTTTTCTCATCAAGAGCGCACCCACAAGAGCATAGTTTGGCCAAAGTCCAGATTTTGCATAGTACTTTTTGTTCCAAGTACCGGGCCGGCTTGACAGTTCCCAACCACCAACAAAAGGTGTAAAAGCCTGCAGGTGGGCTAGAATAAATCCGAGGAGAGGAGGGTCGTCGGGTTTAAAGATCGCTACGAGCTGGCTAGCATTGACATTGGACGTTTACCGGTGGGGGATGCGTTTTGGTGTGTTCGTACTCGACGGTAGTGAACGGGTGTAGATGAGCACCAATAACGAACTTGCATTCTCGTTGTAAAAGCACTGTAGAGTATTACAAGACTACAAAGTCCGGAGTAGAGAACTGAGAGGGACCTTTCAAGAAATTTGCTGCTATGCTACACGTGCAAGGTAGCATGCCGCGGTTAAGTGTCTAAACACGGACGCGCATGGATCTGCATCTGGCGCACTTGGTGGCAATGCATCAAGCAGTGCAGAATTAATTATCAACAGCTTCGAAAACAAGCAAATCCAACAAACACGACAGTCTAATTGAGAGGAAATAACAATGATAATTGTACAATGTGTACCGTGAATAGATACGAAGATGCAAGGTGTCGATGTGCTTTTTGTTAGTACAATGGATACAAATCTGAGTCTGAGTGGAGAAGAGCTGAAAGCAAGAAAACTGTACCAAACGTAAGACAAGAGCCATAGCAAATATTCGAATGGAAAGTTCATGCTTTTCCCCTAACGGTTCTTTCGCGTAAAACTCGGGGATTTGGCGCAGGAGGATCACCGGATCCCCGTCGAGGATGTTCAGACGGCGATCGGGGGGCAGGTACTACCTTAGTATTAGTTGCCCTGGACGAAGAACGAATCCGCGTATGCACGGCAGGTTTACCCCTCGCAATAACCGGAACATGTCTAGAGGTAACCGATGGCCTGCGGACTTCCCTGGCGTGGATTGCAGGTCGATGATGTCCTCTGCTGGCACCGGGGCTGGCTACCCTTCGTCTCTTCGCCCCAACAAATGCTGCAATGTCATGGATCCCATTTCCAACATTCGCACTCACACTAGAATCAGAATCCTCGTCGTCTCCATCCAAAGTTCCTCCGGATAACTGTGGCAAACGATAAGGCACAGCAGAAACACGCCTTCCTCTGATAGTAGCATTTCGTGCGTCGTCAGAAAACTCAGAGCTATCATATGCACTCGCTTTTTTCACTATATCAGTTAGGCCACGAGGGAAGGATCGTTTTTGGCCCGCCACCGACGACAGATCAGAAGTGGAGAACAGAGAATTTAAAGACGCGGAGGAAGTACGGCTGCGTAGCGAAGATGCGCCATCAGCGGTTGTCAGCGCAGTGGAACGGCTTGGGTGGCTTGAATTAGAATCATCGGACATCATTGTTTCCTCATGACCGTCCTCTTGTTTGTCCGCAATAGGTCGATACGGCGTCCGCAACGTTACGTCAAAGTCATCTTCACCTTCGTTCCCGTCATCACTTTCGCCCTCATCCTCATCCTCACCCTCATCCCCACCCTCACTTTTGCTCTCCTCCTCACTTTTCTTTGCGTCGTCCGCATCATCATCCATACGCTGCACTCTAACGTCATCCGCACTGGGTTTTTTGGACCCCGAAGAACTACTGGTTGTGTCGCTCGAGTGCCCGCTAGAGCTGGGATCCTCGTGCTTAGGCGGCTGCGGGAGCGACGGGCCAAAACCCTGTTCTTGGCTTCCCATGATGGTGTCCTCAGGGACAGTTGGGAATTGGATAGTATCAGGGACTCGAAAGGGGAGGCTTTGAGCCGAGGGTTCAACATGCTGGTCAGTGTTTCGAGCAAAAGGAAGTGATGGAGGCAGATCGGGAAGAGGAGTCAGAGGATACGCGGCAGGGAATGCGGGATAGCTCCTCCATTCCTCCATCTGCAATCCGGATAGGCTGAGCTGAATTGAAGAAGGTGGTGTTTGGGGCTGAACTGGTCCTAACTTGGATTCAGCGAGGATCGCACTTGGTCGTTTATTCTCCAAGTTCTCATTCTCGTCTTCATATGCAGACGGAGGAGGATACCAAACTTGGTGCGTGCTCTGAGGTTGTCCGTTATTGGTTTGACTACTGCCACGAGAGTGATTTCCGACTGCCTCTTTCGCCCCCGCAATCTTGAGAGGAAGTGCGATTACAGAGCCCGTTTCTGAGGGTCGGCGGATTGAACCACTATGGGAGTCACCAGAAGGCTGACGTCGTCCTGCAGTAGACCGGTCATCCGAAGAACTCCTAGCCGGATCTCTGCGCTTTTCTGATAAACGCCCATCAGACTGCAAACCGGGATTCAGTTTAGATACTGATTGTATGCTGAGATGGCTATTTGATCGAGAAGCGTCTATCGCTTTGTGGGCGTGGACATTGCCACTACTGGCACTAGCGTTATCGGCGGAGTCATCATCTGACTCGAGCATTTCTGTGTGCCAGAACATCCCTTTCCAACTATTCCAGTAAGGAAGTGCAAGTTCGACCGGCAATTGGACCAGAGCGAAGAATATATCGCCAAACATACAGGTCAGGTCGAGTAAAGTGTCCAAGGTCGTAGTATATGGCTTGACCATAGGCCGGATAACGTGTAAGAATAATGGCTCTGCACCCTAAGGCAAACAAACATTTAATATGACATATCATGGAAGAAGAGTGAACTTACTCGTGCGCGCGTCAACACAAGGAAGAGTAATAAAACTGATTTCATTTCTTCGTAAAAGGGCGTTACTAGACCGATTATGCCATCAATAGTTTTTTCGTAGATGGCAAAACAGCACTTCAAAGTTAAAAATATTCAGCTACATTCAAACAACGAATTCGTCTGTTTAGTATGAGCGCCTTACCCAGACAATCCAGATGGCCAAGCAACCCTTCAAGTTCCTCTTCCTCTGTGTCATAGCGCGTACGCTCGGTTTACCGCCTCTACGAGCCGAAGCCGGGGGCGTTTTGAGGGTCTTGAATGTTTCGTAAACATTGAGAAAGAGCATGAAGAGACGGAGGGCGGGAACCACGAGGGGCATTATTGCAGAATAGCCACAAAATCATCCAATGGAATGTTCGAAAAGACGAGAAAGGTTATATAGCGACGCAAAATGCAGTTTCAAGGCAGAAAAACGCGGCAACACGCTTGAAAGCACAGCTGTGGGCGTGTACAACGTCGATGAAGCAGTTCAAGAATGTTCAAATGAGCCAGCCGCATGTTTTTCGAGGGTATCCCATGCATAGCCTTATGTAATCGCTTGTGGCATCCATATGCAGTATGGGCCCCTGTGCTTTAGTTGGGATTCATCTCAAGAAAAAGGCTCAAGAAGCCATTGTAGAGTTTACAAGCTGAGATGCTAGTATAAACAGTGCTAACCGAGCTGCTCGGAGAATACAAGATGAAGGCAGTGGGCATAAATTGACAGGACAAAGTCGAGTACGTTCAATTTTAGCTACCATGCACGAAACTCGCGCTCACTGCGTAAAGAACATCATGATGGGTGGGGTTTTCTGTAGAACGTTCGACTCATGCCTAGCTACGGCACCTACCGAGACAGACAAGCCACAGTGACATCGCTCCAGTACGCCGTGAATGCGCAATCCAACGAGGTGAGTGATCCTTTGGTAAAGGGCTGATAATCAAACCCAAAAGCATCAGAGCAAATGTCCGTTGCACTGTTTTGGGAGATGATTGGGCGAGCAGCACTGCATTTAGTCCTCGTGTAAGAAAACTAGGATAGCACCTCATCATGATCATGTCCAAGCAGCGCCATTGGAGTTCTAAGACGGGACAAATGTCGGTTACTGTATGATAGCACCAGTGTTTTGAGTCATTGGCCTTGCAATGCAGTTTTAGTGGAGAATCGGCTCGTCTGGGCCTACTGAGATGCCGTTTGACGGAGAAATGAGCGCGTGAGCTTGGATGGGACATTTATCCGCCTGGTAATCAGCAACCTGACAATAGTGGATATTGACGCAGAACAAGGCCGCTCGGCTTTACCCAGTAGGTACAATCATGTGTCCTAGCACCTGGGATAAGCACAGTGATTCTACACCCTTGAACTTTATTGGACTGTAAATTGATAGCCTGTCCGAGTCGGGTTATGAGAATATTTGCGGATGCGAACAGCCGCAACAGCTTACCGAAATAATCTTATCCAGGCGACGGAAGTACACATCCTTGTATTTCAACACTGGCGTGAGACCGACCGTTGAAATGGGGTCCAAGGATCGAGCGATACAGCAAATGTGGGTCAAGATGAGGCCGTCTGCACTTGACGTGCTGATTGAATTATAATCACTAGGAGAGTAGTTATAAGTAGTGGCTGATTTTGATAGTGCGCTATGGTAAACCTACCATTGCCATCCTTGCTGATACGAAAAGGTAACTGCTAGATATCAGGACAGACTCGGAATAAAGCAAGTTCAAAGACAAAAGAGCCTAGAAAGGAAAGCTTAGTCAGTACACCTTGTTCTCGTTATTTTTCCCACAGTGTTTCCTTCTTTGACGCTTGCTTTACACCATGCCCAAAGTACGGACGACGAGAACTAAGAAACCACCAGAAGGCTTTGAGGATATCGAAACTGTAAGTACCGAGTATAGTTTCCAAAGTGCTGAATTAAATGGTGTTGCCTGTAGATTCTCGATGACTACACTAAGAAGATGAGAGACGCCGAGAACGAGTCGCATGAAGGAAAGCGCAAGGCAGAATCTCTCTGGCCTATCATGCGGATATCGCATACTCGTTCACGGTACATCTACGAGCTGTATTACAAACGTGAAGCAATCAGCAAAGAGCTATATGATTGGCTTTTGAAGGAAGGCTACGCGGACGCCAAGTAAGCACACGCTCGTTTGTTTCCAATTCGTCGTGTTGACTATTTACTTTCGTATAGCTTGATTGCGAAATGGAAAAAGACAGGCTATGAGAAGTTGTGTTGTCTAAGATGTATCCAGACAAAGGTGTGTTTCACGCATGCTTTTGGATATAATCAAACTTAGCAAGGTGCTGTAGGACATGAACTATCAAGGTTCAACTTGCATTTGTCGAGTACCCAAGGGCCAGGTACGTGCAGGGACAATCGTGGAATGTGTTCACTGTGGTAAGCCCGCTGCGCCCATGATTTGGTCGGGACCGCTCTATTAAATTTGAATCTTAGGCTGTCGCGGATGTAGTTCAGACTCGTGATAAATTCTAATTGGGTCGCTTATGAATGGCTTCATCCCCATTTCATTTGAAACCCGATAGTTGCAAACATGCTACAAAGGTTTGGCATTGACCTGTTCGGCTCTTATCTGCGCTCGTGCACATAATATATGCCAGGTTCTAAGGTCTTTCACTAGTCTCGCATTTTCTTGTTATTCACTTCCAAGCTGTACAGTAACGTTTTGACGGGAGCCAAGCAATACACTGCGGTTATGTCGCAAGATATTATATAAGCTGATGAAACCCCTGAGCCAAGAAGGTGAAATGTAAATTTGGTTGGAAATGATCAAAGATGCAGTAATCACTTACAATTAAGCGGTTCTCAAGTGTTACAAAATAACATGATGCCCTAATCCACAGAGACATCCTGTTTAGGTTGCTTACCACCCTCGTCCTCTCCCCGTTTTTGTGTGAGGACATTCTGCAGGATGGGCCACTTTTCAAAGCAGCTGGTCGAAGTACCGAGGAACTTACTACGACGGACAGCCCCAGAACAGGTGCGTGTGTTCTATTTCATTGGAAAGATAAAGAAAAATATGATTGTGCGCCCTGATCATAGGCAGGTCTCTTCGCTGGACTCAATCCTGTGGACTACAATCTCAAGGATCCTCTACCCCTATGGGTCATTCAAGTCGGTGTGTTTATTGTTTATCAACGTCAGCTGCAAGTCCTGAGCATATCCGCAGTCATCATCATTGCAATGACCCAGCTTCTTCATATGATTTTGGGCCGTATTCACCAGCCTCGAGTGATTGCAGAAATTATTGGGGGTATTCTTCTAGGCCCCTCAGTCATGGGTCGTATACCTGGGTTTCAGAATGCGATATTCCCATCCTCATCCTTTCCCGTGCTCATCCTCACCAGCACCATTGGTCTGGTCTTATTTCTTTTCATTGTAGGCATGGAAATAGACGCTCGTGTTGTCAGACACAACATGAAATCGTCCATGAGCATATCTGCTGCCGGCCTTATCGTTCCCCTAGGCCTGGGCGCAGCGCTGGGCATACCTCTGTATCATCAATTCGTTGATGAATCCGTCAACTTCGGGTATTTCCTCCTTTTTACCGCCGTTGCTGTCGGGATTACCGCATTTCCTGTCCTCTGCCGTATTCTCACAGAATGCAAGCTGCTTGATACTACGGTAGGCGCCGTGGTGCTTTCAGCTGGAGTTGGGAACGACGTGATTGGCTGGGTTCTGCTTGCTTTGGCCGTGGCCCTCGTCAATGCCTCCACTGGGCTTGAAGCACTCTACGTCTTGCTCACAGGTATAGGATATACGATCTTCCTCTTGTACCCTGTGAGATGGTGCTTCGTATGGCTTGCAAGGCGCACAGGAAGCTTGGAGACGGGCCAGCCGACCACCTCTATGATGACCGTCACCCTGCTTGTCGTATTTATTTCTGCTTTTTTCACGGACGTAATCGGTATCCATCCAATCTTTGGTAAGTCACTGTATTTATAACCGCGCTCCATGTATTTATTTCTCACAACAGGCGGTTTCCTCGCGGGCCTTATCATACCCCACGAGAATGGCTTCTCTATCGCCGTAGTCGAAAAATTGGAAGATCTCGTGTCTGTGTTATTACTCCCTTTGGTAAGACGCTTGTCGGGATCACTTCGTTATAGGGGCTGATATTGGATACACAGTATTTTGCGTTTTCAGGCCTACAAACAAATCTCGGTCTGCTCAATGATGGGATCACCTGGGGATATATGTTCCTTATATGCGTCGTCGCCTTCTTCTCTAAATTCCTGGCATGTGGACTTGCTGCCAAACTTACTGGGTTTAACAATCGCGAATCGAGCGCAATAGGTGCTTTGATGAGTTGCAAAGGGTTCGTATTATCTTCTTCATATCTAATTCAGAGTACCTGAGTTGATTCGGCAGACTGGTGGAATTGATCGTGTTGAACGTAGGACTTGAGGCTGGGATCCTTGATACACGCACTTTCTCCATGTTTGTTCTGCAAGCAGTAATTCTCACATTCATCACGACTCCTCTTACACTCCTTGCATATCCTGAGAGTGTTCGTGTACACACGGGGACTGTGACAGATAAACCTAAACGGAGCTTACAAGGAGGTGAGGAAAGCATGGTCGGAAGTGCCGCTCCCACTGGCAATGACGAGATCAAGTCGAGGTTTGCAGTCATTTTGGATAAATTCGAGCAACTCCCAGCTGCAATGACATTTACTCAGCTCATACAATCACCATCGCAAGCTACACCAACATCAAGTACTTCATCCGAAGAACAAAAGGCAGCAATTCGTCAGAGACCCTCACCAATCACCGTGGACGCACTTCGACTGATTGAACTGACGGACAGGACTTCAGCGGTACTCAAGTCACAAGCGGCTGATTTCCTCATCCACAATGATCCTATTCTTGGTGTTTTCCGTACCTTTGGACACTTGAGTCGGATTTCAGTCGCTACAGTTCTTGCTGTTGTCGGATATGATGACTTTTCATCCAGTATCTCGAAGCATGCGCTTGATTCACAGTCTCAAATGGTTGTTATCCCATGGTCTCGAATACCTGCCGGCACAACTCCAACAGAGGAATCAGGACAGTCGAATACAACCCATAATCCTTTCGATGGCATCTTCCACAAGTCGGGAAGTGATGATCTGACATCTTCTATCGTAACCTCTGACTACATCCGACGAGTGTTCGCGACTTCTCCTGTAGATGTCGCTTTGTTCGTCGACCGTGGTGTATCTGCCGCGGCAGCTTTCACACCCTCCGCAAGTCAGCATCTGTTCGTACCATTCTTTGGTGGTCCAGACGATCGATTAGCCTTGTCTTTCGTGGTGCAAGTCTGTATGAACCCAAACGTCACTGCAACAGTCATCAGAGTGACCGAGACCTCCTCAAACGATCTTTCACCATACACCTCCATCGACGAAATCAAAGCAGGTGCTTTAACGGATGTGCTGCATGACGCAAGTACCATTTCACTCATGCCCCTCCGCCAATTTGGTGCTGACCTTCCTGCCTGTTAGACTTTTGTAATTCCTGACACAATATATGGGGCGAACGATACACAGACTCGCCTGGCATCTGCCACTGTAGACAGTCTTGTCTGGGATCATTATACATCGAAAACCGATCATCCTGAGGGCATCGCATCCGCACTGAAGCGTATCTCCTTCCACGAAGAACGGACACCACACCCTCTGCATACAATCCTGGAACTCGCTTCCAACGAGACTCGCCGATGTTCCGTGTCTTCTCGTACGCTTATTGTAGCACTCGGTCGTTCAAGACGGATGGCAACGGACTCGCATCATGCAGAGCTGAGACAGATAGCAGCCGAGAATGGGTCACCGTTAAATGGAGAAGTTCCGAAGACTTTTGGAGATGTTGGGGCTGCGATGGTTACTGTAGGGATCAATGCGAGTTTGCTGGTCCTGCAGGCCAATATCCATTCATGATCGAAGGGTGAACACGACCTGGCTGGCGATATTACCATAATTTGTACATCCTTACGTTTCTTACTTGTTCACTTGTAGTAATTCTTGTTTTCCATGACTTGAGTGGTGAAAGTAAGAGTACAAGGGTGACCTTGTCTGATAGCCGTACTAGTAACGCGTCGCTGCAGCCACCGTCAGCCAACCGTGAAATGCTCTCATTTCCACCGCGACCCTTCAGACTGAATCCATGCCAGTCTTGTTCTAGCTTGGTGATAGCATTCTTCTCTCGACAAAGCCCCATCACAGTAAAGGATGTAGTCGTAACAAGACAGGGCGAGGTCGTATAAGAAAACGGTGGTCCAGAGCGGGAACACCCTCGCTGCACGCATTCCTCCAGAATAGCAGCCGGTGAGTGTCCACCCTTCTTTCCTCTTCAAATAACCTACTCAGTTATGTGTTTTCTAACTGACTTTACTCTACAATGCACGCAGAACAAACCCGTTCAATCGACCACCGATGTTAGCGAACCCGAGAAAACGACCGCAGTGCACAAAGTGCGGTATGCTCATGGCAGGACACAGGCGCAGAGGCGGCACCGTTCTCTGCCCCACGCCCTCTCTGTCGCCCGACCCAGAAGATCGCATGTGGTCCCATTCCCCCTCAGTCCCGTCAGCCTCGCTCCCATCCCCACCCGCCTCACCCCACGGCTCACGCGGCCCCTCACCCGGGTTCCAGCTCCCAGAAGGCAACAGATGGCACTGGCGCAATCCAAACTGGATGTCCCCCGCGCGCAAGCCGCTAGGCCGCACCCCGAGCGACGAGCACTCTCTCGTCCCGACAGAACCCCTGACAGAAACGAATGGCAGCAGCGAGAAGGAGAACTTGCCTGTGCACCGCATGAACCCTCAAATCGGCTACGATGGCGAAGGGTCTCCTCCGTATTATGCAGGTGATGGTGAGCGCTCGCCGTCGCCGCAGCTGTACGAGTCTCCGCTCGACGACGTACTCGGGAACAGCATACCCCTCGCCGCCGTCTTTTCCAGCCCACGAGCCGAGGTCCCCCTCATACGCCAAGTCGCCCGACGCGAAGGCGTGCACATCGGGTTCGCACAGGCCCCTTCGCACGACGAGATGGGACGCGCCGTGCCCGAGCTCGACGGTCACCATTCGTGCTGGGTCGTCGTGGGCAGCGACGAGTTTGCGGTGAAGCACATACTGGATCTGCAACGGAGCAAGATGCCGGGTATGTTGGTGACGAAGGAGGAAGCGTGGGCGCCGGTGGGGTTTTTTCATCTGGCTTTTGCTGGCGTTGTTGGTGGCCTCGTCGTCATCTTTGGGCTGTTCCTCTTGTAGCGATTCAGGGAACCAGTCACACCAGAGAATGTTTGCTGTCGTTGTATATGCATGTAATTTTGTTTCGTTGTATGTTCTATATACCTATGCCAATTATGCCTTTATGCCTTATTCACTAAGTATAAGCAGTCAGAAAATCAAGTGATATATAAAGTGAGTGATATATAAAAACACCAGTCAAGCTCGAGAATAGAGTCGTGATACACGCCATGAACAGTATTGAGACAGTAGTGGTGAGTATATATGAGCATCAGTCCAAGTAGATGAGCCAGCAAATCCAAAGTAGCACGAGTCAAGTGAATGAATGTTAGAAACAACGAGACAAAGTCGTAACGAGTCGTGATCAACAGTAGTAGTAGATATAAAAACAATAGATATCCTCCACCGAGGCTAGATGTATAGAACAACCAACCAAAGTTATAAGTTATCCAGCAGCAAGCTAACAATAGAAAACTCCCAAACCAGGCTAGACCGCCCAGTCATCCAGCGTCCCGAATCCTGGTCGATTCCCCCAACTCCTCGCTATCCGATCTTCCTGTTTTGATACAGTCATGCCCGTCGCAGCCCCTCCCAAAAGCCAACCGGAGAACCAACTGCCCGAATCAGACGATTCGTTCTCCTGATGACGGTCCCCCTTTCTCTTGCCTTTACTCTTTCTACTCTTGCTACGCGCCTTCTTATCGCTGAATTTAGAGGGAGCACCCTCTGGCCTTGACTTGGCATATGATTCAGGAAGCTCTGCGAAACTGATTCGTTTTGGAGTCGATACACCAGAGGACGGTGTACTACCCAATGCTTTGGCGACACCGTTTCCAAATATCTCTGGAAGACTCAATGCCGTGGGTGATGGCGCAGGAGTGGGGGGGACCGATCTCACTTTCAGAGAAGAATGAGCTGGCGGTGAGGGTGGACGTGTAGAAGATGAATGTCGACTTTTGGTAAAGAGCCGTGATACAGATGCTGTGGCAGTTGACGTGCCAGAAGATGGAGCAGGGGGAGGCGAACGGGGAAAGAAAGAAGGGGCACGGAGGTGCTTAGGTTTGCCTTTACTACTCGCCGAATTGGGTAGTGAGAGAGAAGAAGGCTGCTCATCAAGTATTTTTCGTAGCGATTGCACGGTGCGATAACCAGTGGGATGGCCTGACGAAGAGGTAGAATCGGAAGAAGAGGCTGACAGTTCTTCGATAGGAGGTGTCATTTGGCGGGGTATCGTGGGAGAGGTTAATGGTTTTGGAGTCACTGAACGGGATCTTCTGGACAAGCTGCTACCATCTGGGGATGATTGTGGCATGCGAAGTGTGGGAGGCGACCTCGAGAACTTCGACCCTCGCTCAGTGCTGGTCGTGCTGTTCGAACCACGTCTTGGCCTGAATGAGAACCCACGAGGAGAGGCCATAGCAAGAGGAGGAGGCGTCGCAGACCCTGAACGTTTTGCAAGCGTCGATAAGAGATTGTACGCTGGCGTAGTATGGTCAGAGGCTTGACCTGAGAGATGGGGGAGTGATTGCGAAGACCTCAAGTCCTGTTGGGAAGAAGCGGCTGACATCCTTCGTGACAACCCCTCTGAGGAATGCGAAGACGCAGAAGCACGTAATCCTAGGGTAGAGGGCAACGTGATCAGCTCGGGATCGGTTGTAGATGCGACGTAAAGAGTCACGGCTCGAGGGGCAGGAGCTATGAGGTCGGTGCGGTCTAAACGAGAGAGTTGCAGTTGAGGAGCCTCGTACATGGCTTTACGAAGGTCCAAGGACCGTCTCCTCCTATGACTCAGGTCTGACATGGTGGAGGTAGGAAGACTCCGGCTAACAGCATTGGCATTTTCATCATTCCCTGCCTGTTCTCCGTCCCGGAACAGCCCCTCGACACCTTCAGATATCTCCTCCAGATCATCCATCCAATTCTCATGCACGCTCCTGTTTCCCTTTATTCTCAAAGCATGGGTCTCAAGTAGACGTTCGGTCGCATTTTCTGGATCGAGGATGGTAGATAAGCTGGACTGCGTAGATATAGAGGTCTGGAGTAACGCATTGGACATCTCGAGGGCATGCACGCTGCGTTCCAGTAACGAGTCGAGATATGGATCAGACACGGAGTGTGCCTTTTTGCGGGAATGAAGCCGTCGAGCACGCTTTGGCGAAGCTTGGAGCGAGGAGGAATGTGCTTGCGGCACGTAAAGGACGTTTGCCTCGCTTTCGTCTGTGTCTGCGTCGCCTTCCTCTGCACTGTCTGGATAGTCTGGTGGCCTGTCCGACGGTGGGTCCTCGGTGGTTGCAGAAGACGGCTGTCGGGTGCTCCACGCACTGGAGGCAGGAAAAGAATACTCAGGAAGAGTCTGTATTGTGTCTGAAGAAAGTGTGAGTGCAGAAAAGCGTTTTCTGTGAGTGCGACGGGGATGATAATGAGCGTAATTCATGATTTGGGTAATTGGTGGATAAAAGGCGCGATAGCGCTCGAGTCAACGGCGGAACCGCCTGAGAAAGGTAACAGTTATAGACAAGGAAGAGATCGCAGTGCAAAAGCAAGAAGCAAGTGCGACCAGCTGAGCCTGCGCCACATGCTCTCTTCCACGCGGTCCGATATCATATCATTCCATCACAGAAAAATAGTCATTCATTGCAACATAAGACATAAGACCCAGAGAGAGAAAAATATCAGTGTATGATTCAAGAACAGCAAGGCGCAATATTTAATGGATATAAAAACACAATGCACAATTAGGAAAATCGTCTACGGCAGAAAATGATCTAGGTATCAGGGATGTGATAAAAAAGCTTCCCCAGCGCTCAAATAATGGTGGTTCCTGTTCCTCCGCTTCAGGCATGCATCACCTCTATTGGTGCTACATTGCCAAAGTCCGCAAATGGACCAGCAACACTCTCCAAATACAACTGGTTCGCCTTCGTCGCCGCACTGACACAAGGACTGTAAAACTTCCAAGTCGTCCACAAGAAAATACGCCCGTAGCGAGTGATCATGTCGTCATAGTCCACTAGATAGCGATAGCGGTGAGCATATCACACGGAAGCATCAAAAGGGTCATCCAATCACCTTGGAGAGCGGCACGCAATCCCAACCATCTTCTCGTGAAATCGGTGAGAATAACGTCAACGCCCCATCGGACGGCCTTTGCCTACGGTAAGTATTCGAGACGCCGGGTATAAATAGTTGTACCCACTTCCATCATATGTTCTGGATCATTGACCGTCCACACCATAACCTTCTTTCCAGCCGCCTTACAGTCACTCCGGAACCTGACATCATGATTAGTTCACACCCAGAAACTGGATAACGGACAACCCACTTTTGACCTTCCGCCGTGGTCAGCGCAGCGAAGGACATCGAAAAAACTTCCACGTCATCCCAAAAATACTGGCGCGCAAGCTGGATACTGTTGCCAATATGCGAACGGCGACAGTACGGTAGACGGTTTTTGGCAAAAGCCAAGAACCGCGGATGCCAAAGTCCGAGGAGGATCCGTGGTGCAAGCTTCGTTTCCCAGTCCTCCTGGGTCGAGATAATATCATGCATAAGAGAAAACAAACGATCAGGATCGTTTTGAACCTTGACGTCAACATTAAACTTGACGTGCTGGTTCTCGGGCTAATATCATGGAAAAGAGGGGTATATGGTGAGCGCACGGGAACGGAGAGGGGGATGGCTTACCTTCATGAGGAGCGTGACGGTTTCCGCAAATGTCGGTATTGCTTGTTTGGGTTCTTTGACAGTCCGGACGTGCTCCATTCCGTCTTTGCCGTGCCATGTACGCTCTCGGATCAACCCTGTCGAATCTGTGGTTCTGCCCAAAGCTGGAAGAAAGCATAGTCAGAAAACGAACGCTGCGAGCACGTCGTAGAACCGGAAGGGTCTTACCGGGATCGTGAAACATGAGGACGATATCATCCAGCGATACATGGACGTCTGGCGACTAAGGTTACGGAAAGTACAAACGCCAACATTGTCAAATACCGCTCTCGATGCCTTCTGCTCCATCCCGGATGGCAGCTTCAAAGCTTGCGAGCGTGTTTTCGGGGAATACTGATGAAGCCTGCGAGAAAAGGTGCCCCCGGTTAATGGGCTACGAGGGGTTGGGCGTTTGCCCAGGATTACTCACACCACGATGACCCCAGCAATCTGAAGATAGGATGAATACCAAATATTTTGAAAAAGAAAAGCAACAAGGATACCTGGCAAAGCTCTTGAAGACATGGCTGACGAGAAGAGGGGGGATGAGAAAATGTGGATAAAGGCGGGGAGAGATGAGGGGAATGTCGGACGGGGCATTGACAGGTTTTTATACGGTCGTGCCGAGTGGCTGAGAAATGGAGACCGGATAAGAGAGCAAAGCTTCTGCGAAACATAAGCGGGCCATTGACTCAGCGATTCTCAACATCTCCAAGGAACGTTTACGAAAATTCAAAATCACATCCTAGAACACCTGCACGTGTGATACAATGGACCGAGACCGTAGCCATCCTTTAGCCTCTTTTAGCTCCACCAGCTTACACCTCTGGATAACATATCATTATTTCTGGCTGTATTCTGCGGAGCGAATGGAGCGACGCATGTGTCAAGCTGCTTTAGAATTTTAGCATCAGCTCGCTGCCAAAATTACTCTACTGATTCCGCTCTCTTTGATCCGCCAATTATCTGATAGCCCGTCGTGCACGTTTCGATTGCGGGGAACAGCTACATTTCTCCATTTGATTGGCGTCTACAACCCACCCATTAATCACTATCTACACATCCAACCAAATAATGGTATCAATTGTCCTCACTTTCCGCTCAATTTCACTTTGGCCGCCCAACTAACACCATGCCCTCATCTTCGTCCGTCTCCGTTCCATGTTCACTCCCCTCTTTCCTTAGGCTGCGAGCGTCTCCGAATTGTGGGGTATTAGTCTTCGCTTCCTCATCGCGCTCTTCGCTTACTATTGGCGAGTCGGCCACTCCAGACACCCCCTCTGCCACGGTGCTCGGTCCACTTTCCGGCTGCTCAACAGCAGGCAAATCACTACTAGTTCCGGTCTGGTCAGCCGATTCATCCTGCTGGACGCCCGACGACACATCAATAGATATTTCACGTAACGCCGCGAGCATCTGATCTCTGACACGAGCTGCTAGCTCCGTCACGTCCTCCATAGTGAGCCCTGACGTCGGTATAGGTGGGAGAACTGTCAAGCACGCTTTAGTCACTTTGTACACGACGGCGAATAAAATTTTATAGACTGACCTCGGATCTTGAGTCGACTGCTTTCGAAGCAGCCCTTGTGATAGATTCTCCAGTAGTTCTCGCAAACGACCGGGGTAATGGGTATGCCAGCCTGGACAGCGAGATGGAAGGCGCCTTTCTTGAAGGGTAGCAGCGTTGGCTCTTCTTGGCTATGTCGAGTTCCTTCCGGGTACATCCACAACGACATGCCCTGCGACTTCATCGTCTCGCCTGCAGCTACCAGCGATTGCCTAGCTGCTGAGCCATTGCCGCGATCGACAAAGACGGCACCTGACATGAACATCCACGGGCCTAACGGTGACCATTGCAGCTCCTTCTTTGCCATGATCGACGCCTGATGCGGGAATATCCTACGTATCGCAATGAGAAGATCGCAGTGTGATGCACTCGTCAGTTTTTGGTATCAAGCGTGTGAGGATGAGTCTGACCTTCCGAGAAAGAGAATATCAAGCATGCTCTGGTGATTGCCTACCAGCACAGCTGGTCGTGACTGCAGGTGCTCCTTGCCCTCGACATCTATTTGTATATCCAATGCTCTACTCGCGACTGCGTAGAAACATCTGGCCACAATGAAGTTAACATCCTGTCTCCGTCCTATCAAAGTCATCCCCACTGCAATGACCACGCCCCATGTTGATACCACCACCAGACTGCCGAGGTACAACCCAAGCTTGTAGTAATATCGACCCACAGGCGACGTTTGAGCAAAAGAGCGAAGCAAAAGAACAGGAAGCGATAAGTAAGCCAAGGGTTTAACTAGGGAAAACAAGAAAGACATGATTGAGATATGCGTGCTCGCTGTGGAGGGCGATGGGAATGGGTGGGTGCGCAGTGTAGCGCTCGCTGCTGGCCTCAGCGGGCGTTACACGCGTTTATGGGTGAGTGTGCGGCGGATGGCCTGTGGGAAAATAACAGCCCTCGGAGCTGGAATTTCTCTCTTGTTAGAAACATACCTTTTCCGGTAAAGTGACATTGGCGCATGCAACCAGCCAAAGATCCACCTTCAGCAAAGCAAGCTCCAGTCCGTGGTATCTTGCTTTTCTTTTGCAGTGATATTATCATGCTGACGAGGGAACACAGGACGCGTCGTTTCGTCTAGATATCTGACCGCGACGACCGCATCTTCGCGGAACCATACCAAGTCTTCTATCCCTGTGCAAGATAACAAGTCTACCAATACCAGAAATCCTGCTTCTTCTTCTCTCAAAAAATCACAGAATGTATCCAGCATCAGCACATCGAAGAAGCCCGCAACGAGCGCTCTTGGAGCTGCCCCATCTTCTGCGGGAGCCGATCCAACACGCAGGGTGGTGAGCAAGCCTGTGAATGCGTCCACGGGTGCATCTTCAAGTGTCAGTGCATCACGATCTTCAGTTTGTCTCTTCCTTTGTTTTCATCCACCTCCAAAGGGCGCTGATGGCGTTGCTAAAAGGCCTCAACCGTTACTGTTACGAAAAAACAAGAACTACCATCAACCGCGTCAGATCCACTTCAGGTGGCGGCACAACTGCACGCATGGTCATACATGGCTTCCGAATTGGACGCCTCCCTGTACGATGCCAAATCAAAAGCCTCCGTGCGTAGTTCCACCGCTCACTGGCTCCAGATTCATGCTCACGACTTTCTAGATTGCCCTAGGCTCTCGCGAGAAAGAACTAGAGGCTGCGGAATCCGATATCGCTGACCAACGCATCCGCTTCGAAACAGAAAGGAGGCTTCAATTTCTGGATGAACTTGCAACAGACCCTGTGAGATGGCTTTTGCTATCATCCAACTATACCAGCCCCATTTATAATGCGTGAAACATTCATAGCTTGCTCGGGAACTTCCGCCCTTAATTCAACAATTCTTGAGGCACGGAGAAACTTGCAAGCGTGTTACTGCTGAGGCTCTACGTCTCGGGGCACATGGCGGTAGGAATGATGTGTGCGGTGACCAAACATCGCCCGTGTCGCGCTACAATGACATCAGCGATCAACTTCGTAAGTGTTTTTGTGGGGTTTTCATTTTCTCGACTAATAATTTGTGGAGATTGTTTGTATATAGAAGGCGTCACAATCGAGCGAAGTCTAGTTTGTTTGCTGGAAGCGAACTCCTTGGATGCACAATCTCTAGTACGTCCACCCCTAACCGCATGCTTGGCGCTCTTGCGCGCTCGAATGGCCAATATCACATCGGCCGGGAGTTTGGTACTCTCCTGCAAGGATAATATGGGACTGAATTTGCAGTTGGAAAGCCTCCGACTCCATCCGTAACACGATTGTTTTACCCTCCCCCTGAGTCCTACTTACGGCTTTTAATTTACTCACTCGACATGTAGCGCTACGCAGCCCGTTAATGTATACCCCTTTGTATGGATAGTTTCCTCTTTGCTCGCTTTACGATTGGCGCATATCCAGCATCGGTCAGGCCCAGCATCCGTGCTCCTCCCGAACAGCAAGTCTGCTGCGTGATCTCGAATGTCACCCGCTGTCCAAAATATGTCACGTGAACTTGCCGTTTAATGTACGCCGTTGCTACATTGTGAACGGAATGTTTAAAGGACTTGTATCACCGAACAAGACAGTTTACTTTTTGGTCCGTACAGATCGGCGCCGAGGGACAGCCTCAGACTCGCCGTCTTTTTCATCCAGCTGATTTCTCTTCCTTTTTCGACTTCCTTCTCCACTCTCTCCTTGCAAACTTACTTTTTGCCTTGCTCTCCGCGCCTTGGCTCTGCCAACACCTTGTCTTTGCTCATCTTCCGAGCTCGGAGCACTCTGCGCCTCAACTTGGTCATCGCTTTCGTCTTCATCTTCACTTGGTGTTTCTGCTTTTGCTTTCGCTTTTTTCCGTTTGTTTTGAACGGGCTTCTTCGCTGGCTTGGTACTCGCCGGGCTTGACTTTTTCTTCCCAAGCCCCATGTCGTCCCAGCCGCCTTTCTCCGCGAGTGTCTGGACAACTTCAAACGTCTTCTCGTCAACACTCTGTACGCTCAGACGGCCTCGATTGACAAGAGCCATATCTGAACAAATCAATAATGATTCTATTGGTACAGGTTCAAAGACCGCTTACTTTTGACAGCCTTGACGCCATCTGCCCCTATATAGTCCACCTCACTGGGTGCTTCTCCGCTCGCAAGAGCAGCTATATGCTTCAAGAGTGCAAGAGGAACAAGGTGTTTCGCCCGGGCGACGAAGGTGACCTCGACCATGAACCACTTTGGATCATCTTGTTTCGTTTTCTGCGATCGTTAATTTGGTCATATGAACCTTCCACGACCGAGAACGCCAGGGGGCCCCGATCGCTACACGGGATGGCATGTGACTTACTGGATCGAAATATGGGTGTGAACTATGCAGCAAGAATATCGGATGATATATGGTGCGAACAAGTCAGACAAGGTCAGATGGTCGTGGCTATGTTGAACAGCGGGTAGGCCATACCTGTCCCACGCGGTATCTATATTCGTAAGAATCTCTCAGGAGAAGAGTATTTAAAAGTGCAGTATAATGGCGCTCACAATCAGGGTATGCTTCTTTTGATACCTGAGTTGGATATGAATAGAATGATAGCAAATGGTGCGATATTGGGAACGAACCTCTGCAAAACCTGCGACGCCTTGCGAGACAACCCAAGCATCAGCACCGTGACAGGATTCAAATAAAGTAAAGATGCAATACGTCATACCTGGGACTTTGCAGTTTGAGTGGTAGAAAAGAACCTTCATGGGATCGCGTTACACTGAATGGTGCAAGAAATCAAGTCGAGCAAGATAGCTACTTTGTCACCAACGACCATCTGCTTCATGATGTTCCTCGCTTCGAAATTGCGGACACCTTCCCATGGTGTCGTCTTTACGGACTCGAAATCGTCCACGCTAAACTGAGTGGCATGCACGAGAATAGGACATCGCTATATTGAATCTCGATATGCAGAGCATGTGGTGGTTCTCACCTTGACGTCTTTGCCTTTCTGGATACGCGAGTCAGGCTCTGCTTTCATGAGCCAGCATTTCGTCATGTTGTGCTGTATAGCACTGGTGTAACGCGTCGCGTTATTGACCTGAGTGTCGCGTTTGGGGTGGTAGTTTGATTGAAGGAGACGTGCGGTCGGTTACTGACAGTAGTCTGACTTTGAACTCGGTTGTCCATTCTTTACTACATCACACGTCGACTAGAACTGCTACACTGTGCTCTGGTTACAACATCTGATTCGATATTCGCCAACCTACAACCCCCGTTCTGATGTGCAACTCCACCAGTTCTTGTGAGGTCAGACGGAGAGACACGGAGCCACTGCAACACAGCCTGTCAGTCAAGCGCAGTCAGAATATTCTTTATTCTTTGATTCTACACCCGCAGCAGGGTGACCATATGCCAAGATGCACGGGACTATGAGTTATATGCGCTTTATTCGCTGTGACATTCTCTTCAGAAAGATGCGTTTCTGACCGCCATTAGCAGTGCTGTGCTGTAGGTATGTCACACTAAATTTTGTACTGCCTTGAAGCGCCTAATTGAGAGGGTATTTTGTGTCTCTGCAGCGTTTCTCTCAATCCTGCAGTGGTCCAGTGCACATTCGATGCCTTTTGTCTATGACGAGCGGTTACATTTGCTACGATTTGATCCCCAGGCAAGACCGATGCAAAATTACAGCGAAGGCGGGGAAAGTTGCGTGGCTCGCGGAGCTTGAAGTAAATACAGATACAGGGCGCCCCGATTTGAACTCAATGCCGATCCGGCTGGTGCACCAATGCTATGCTGCGGAAGTGGTCGCGCCATATATCTACCGTGCAAACAGCGTTCTCAGACTCTCCAGATTCCCTCGTGAACGTCTTTCTCTGCCATTTAAAAAGTTCACCGTTCAGCTATTTGACTTTTATTCTTCCCAATGGCAACCAACGGAATGCAAGCTGTCGACCGCAAGGATCGTGTTCCTTCACCCAGCGGTTCCGGATCGTCTCGTGGAAACGTGGTAGACCATGATTCTCCGCACGGTAAGATATCCGACTAGGCACTGTGGTCATCTCGTCTTACACTATGTCTCAAGTCACAGACGATCCTGCCCTTGGTGCGAGGAGAGCAGCAGCAGAGGGCAAGTCGCACATGATCAATGTGCAGCCTTTGAAGCGTAGTGAAATGCAGGTGAGAGCTTCTTTGATGACCTGCCCAACATGTCGTATTGATACTCGTTTAGCCTTCATACGCACAAGATCTCGGAACCTCAGAGGTTAGTATATCGTTTCATATACTTATGTCCTCATCCTGACATTCGTATACCAGGTCACTCACGGGGTCTATGGTTCTCTTTTGCAATCATTGGGTGCTTGCGTTGGTCTCTGTGGTGCCATCCCCTGTTGCCCATTCCCCAACCCCTTCCGGAATGTTCACCAAGGTAAGTTTGGTTCCAGCCTAGAGCAACACAGACGATCCTCACACTCTCTTCCTCCAAGGCTCTGTTGGTCTCGTCTCACGATTCGGTCAGTTCTACAAGTCCGTGGATCCCGGTCTTGTACAAGTCAATGTCTGCACTGAAAGTCTCCGCGTCGTCGACGTCAAAATTCAAATCAGCCCGATTGGAAGGCAAACAGTGATCACTCGTGACAATGTTAATGTTGAAATGTGTGTTATTGAGGTCCCATTACTTCTCTCACACTCCAAACTTACATGATCACTTCTTAGTGACTCTGTCATCTACTTCCAAATTGTCAACCCATATCGTGCTGCTTTTGGTATCACCGACCTGCGTCAAGCCCTCATTGAGCGTGCCCAGACGACCCTCCGTCACGTTGTCGGTGCACGAGCCGTACAAAGCGTAGTCACCGAGCGTGAAGCCATCGCTTTCGAGATCGCTGAGATCGTAGGAGACGTCGCCGACAAATGGGGTGTCGCCATCGAGGGTATCCTCATCAAAGATATCATCTTCAGCCCCGAAGTATCCGCATCCCTCTCCTCTGCCGCTCAGCAGAAGCGTATCGGAGAATCCAAAGTCATCGCCGCCCGTGCAGAAGTCGACTCCGCCCGGCTCATGCGTCAAGCCGCCGATATCCTTGCATCGCCCGCTGCTATGCAAATCCGACAGCTCGAGGCTCTGCAGCAGATGGCCAAATCAGCGAACAGCAAGGTGGTGTTCGTGCCCATGCAGCTCCAGAGCGATGTCGCTTCACAGCTGAACAACGGAAACAACCAGTACGCGTCTGGCTCTGGTGTCGGTGCCTCTATCCGTGAAGAGACTGGTGAGAGCATAGGCCCAGCAGGCCGCATGGGCTTGTTGAATAGCGTATCAGAAGTATAGGTTGTTCGACTCGACTCGTCGACTGACTGATTCGTTTATGCTGTGATATTGTGTTTTCCTTCACTGCTTCTCGTTGCGTTTTGCGCGTGCTTCTTTCTTGATGTCTCGATTGTATCATACCATCCCCTTATGCTAGTATCATCGTACGTCTTACTGTCCTACTTTTACGGTGCTACCTACTCCTCTGTACGTCTTGCCTGGCCCATTGATTTCGAGGCCAGAAGCAAGTGTAGTTTTATAATGTGCCTCACGACTACTGTCCCATATGTCCTCAATGTCATCACGTTCCCTTTGTTGGAGTCATAAAATGATTGGATCGAGAACTGCATTTCATTGTTGTTAAATATATACCAGGCCGAACATGAAAATCAAATCAATCGAGCTACGAGCTCAAATGAAAAAAACACAGTAATCCAAAAGTTTTACAAATTCTTTCAAATCATACAATTTTCGATTGCGATGTTGACATGACGACGTAAAAAGGAAAACAAATAAGTAAAGACTCAGATAGGTAATACTATAGTAGTATCGAGATTGGAGGGAGGACAGAAAGACGACCGATGGTAACAAACATTATGCGATATGATGCAGACTCTGAACCAAGTTCTGACAGGCACGAAAAAAAAAGAGGTTTCACATGTAAAAGGATGACAAAACAAGCAGAAAAAGGAAAGATAATAAAATAAAAAGACAGGACAAAACGTTATATAGGAACGCACATGTCGAGAGCAAGGGGTAACTGATAAATCAAGAACGTCAAAGCCCGAGAGATAATCCAGTAATACTAGAGTGTGTGATTCATGAGACGGAAGTTTTCGCCGTCGTATTGGGCGGCAAAGAATAATTAAGACAGCGACACACAAAAAAAAGGGGGGAATCAAAGGCAAAAACCTCAAAATGGAAAGAGAAAAATATAAAACATAACGGTCCGAAGAAGTTCGAGCATTTGTTGATGAGACAACGATGCACGCCTAAGAGGAGGATCTCGTCGCGGTCATCTTGCCCGCGCCATTGTCTGCGCCCTCTTTAGATGACTTCCATGGTCCATGCTGATCCAGATCAAGGCTGGCTAGTGTCCCATTGAGATCGTGAATGGAATCGTGCTCTTCCTGCGAGTCGTAGTGACTAGAACGTCCTTGTGATGACGTTTGGCTCGAGTTGGGTCGAGAGATAGGTTCCTGGCGAGCAGCACGGCTGGCCTCGAATGACCTAACAGAATTGTCAAGGAATGCCCCATAGCGTTGCGATCCGCTAGAGGATCCGACTGTCTTGTCATTTCCAATCACATTCTGTGCCTTCATGTCGATCCCCTGTGCGACTAATGATCCATATGCGGAGGCGAAATTCTTAGAAAGAAGATCGGACCGCAAGTACGATTCAGAATTTCTTCTGTCTTCAGTTGCATACAGGTTGGGGTCTGGCGAGAATGGGGAGAAGCTCGATAAAGCCTGGGTGCGACTCTGGGGATGTTGCTCGGATGTGTTTCCATTCGAGGAAGGACGGCCACCGAATGCGCTGGAATACACGTCATACAATTGCGCACTGGCACTATCAGTTTGCTGCGAGGTCATAAAGAGCGATCGCAACTTTTCGTCAGAGACGACATTGCTGATATTGAGGTCAGAGTAGCCGCCATTGTTGGTCTCGTTAGGATGCTGAGGGGGAGCTCCACTTAAGCCTAGTTTCTGCAATAATTGCAAGGCCTGATCAGGAGTCATCTGAGAAAGAGGCGTTGCAGCTATTTGTGCCTGGAACTGCGCTTGGACAGCCGCAGCTTGAGCGGCTTGGGCTGCAGCTTGAGCAGCCTTGTCTGTAAAACAAGATGTCTCAGTTATCGGTTATAGTCGGATATGCAAAGTACTGACATTGACTCCTGCCCCAGCTCAGTCGGATTCGACTTCCACCAATCGGGAAACCTTGCATCTTCTCGATAGCCCGTTCAGCATCGGCCTTGCGTACGAACTGCACAAAACCACAGTGCTTTCCAACAGGGACTTTCACCTGACAAAGGATTCCAGTCGTCAGATGACATGCCTATTGTAGCAGACAATGAGAGACGTACATAATGGATGTCACCGAAAGGCGCAAAGAAAGTCCTCAAAGTCTCTTCGGATATAAGCGGCGAGAGACCTCCAACAAACACAGTAGTATTGTACGGATCCGTTGATGTCAATTGCTCCCCGTTAGGTCCAATCAAATTGCCAAGGATAGCGCGTGCCTGTGCGTGGTGTTTCCAAGATTCCTCTGAGATCATGTACCGAGGTGCACCGTTCTGATCTTGTCCATCAGGCGCAAATGTCGCGCCTGCTGGGTTTGTTGTAACACCTCCGACCTTGATAGCAGCATTGGTACTCGAGTACTGCTGCGCAGCTTGTGCAAGGACGCTGGGCGGAATATTGAGCATTTCATCAGACGACGTTGATGCAAGTGTGTTTGAAGATATGCTGCCACTCGAACCGGAGCTAAGGGAAGGGATCGAGCCCGAACCGGCCAGGGATGATGCAGAACCAGAAGCGACAGGCGTGGTGTTACTGCCAGAAGACGAGCTTCCTGAAGTCGAAGCTGCCGCTATAGGGGCAGAAACGCTCTTTGCCTGGGTTCCATTGGGTAATGGGAGAGCAATAGTGACAGGATTTGGGAGCTGCTCAGGAGCATGGGAACCAGAGTACTGATATTGTGGAAGATCCAACGTTGGAGCACTGGGCGGTGGCTTGAATTTCGCTGTAGCGGGGGATATGCGCACTGAAACTTTAATCAGTGTCTGATTTGATACTATGAACGAGAGCTGACGTACTTGGACGAGATAGACAATAAAGTCCATGCATTTCAATCAAGGCGCGCTGTTGATCCGCTTCTTCTGTGAACCTATGCACGCAGCGAGGAACATGAGCGCCACATCAGTGTACAGTGATAAACATATACCGTACCTGACAAATCCATATCCTCTTGATACACCGGTCACGGGGTCCAACATTATCTTGGCGCTCTTGCAGCTTAAGAATGGACGGATGAACTTGGGCTCTCTATCGTTCCGAAGCCCCAGCACGGGGTTACGAAACACAGCGACCAAGTCAGAATTGGACGTTTCAGGGGCTAGATCGCCAACAAATATGCTGTACTCCCTAGGATATTGTTGCTGGGCGCTTGACATAACTACATTAGCTGCAGGGAATGACGACGACATGGGCGTGTTAGGAACGGACGATGCCCAGTTTAGAACAAACGGTTTGCTTGAGTTTGGCATAGTGACTGGCTGCCCGCTGCCATTATTAGCGACTTGTGCAAGAACGGACTGTGCAAGGGAAGGTGAAGGGAACGTCAGAAAGCAATAACCAGGATTGTTGGCCTGTTGGCCGCTAGCAGGATCAGGGCCAGGACTCGGGACTTTGATATTGACCGGATCCCAACCCATGAGGCCGCAAACTTGTTTAGCATATTCTTCGTCCATCCAAGGTTCCAAATCGCCCCACCACAAAGTAGAGCGTAACGCGTTTGAATTAGTGTTCACCGGCGGGGTGTGCGCAGTCGATGCAGAGAACTGATTAGATGTAGGGGGTTGAAGCACCTGGCGGAAGAAATAGTTCTCGCGCTCGACGTCGGAAGGGTTGTAGTAAGGGGGATTAGCGACGTTGACGGTGGTACCGTTGTGGGGGGGAGGAGGAGAGGGGCGATGGTGGTTGGAAGACGAAAAATGTTGAATTTGAGGGCCCGAGTTGGCGGGTGTGTGTCTGTTTGTTGCAGCTGGCCAACCGTCTGGTAAACCGCCGTATTCCTTCTCCTGTATTCCAATCGATCGGGGTAGTGCCGAGTGTGCGGGTGAGAACGAGGAGAATCCCATTCCATAGGACATGCGTCTGTCTTGCTGGCCCGATGCATTATTCTGCGAGGTCGACGAGACAGAATGGTGGTAATTGCTCAAGTGGTCGCGATCTGAGTTAGCGATTGTACGAGTATAACCCAGTCCTGGAGGGCAATCATAATCGTGATGGTCGAGACGAGACATGTCTGCGAGTATGAGAGCGATGACTTTGGTTTCAAAGGGGGAGAGTTGACGGGATTGACCACAGAAACGTGATGTGGATCAAAGACTAGAAAGCGGTCGAAAACAGGTGAATTTTGTGGTTCTTTCTTTTCTCGTGAAATCGCAAAACCTTACGTGTGGAAAGGGGGCAGGAAAGAAGAGGGGGAAAGCGACGATACGGGGCAAAGGGGATTTTTTAAAAAAAGATCAGGAAAAAGCGACAGAAAAACAAGCGATGAACTACTGCAGCTGAAACAACGAGTATGAGAGCGATGCGAGGAGGCAGACAGAGAAAAATGAGACAAGATGGGATGTCTTTAGACGCTTGTAAGATAAAGGACAGGGCTCTGGGATATGGACTACAGCCAAGGATTGCTGGCTCGACGTGGAACGAAAACAAGAGGGATATGGCAGCAAAGATTGCGGAGTCGGGTGGTCGGAGTTACTAACCGCCTCCAATGCCCGGCTCTTAGAGATTGATTTTTATAGGATTTTGAGCGATGCGCCATGAGGATACGAAATTGGATACGCTAGCAATCTAGGGCATCATCATGGCTCAGACAAATTAGCCAAATGCTGCCTATCGATGGGATCAAGCCAAATTAGCCTTTCATGGACTGGTTTCAGACTCACATCAACCACAATGGCGTTCCCAGTCCTATCCTCGACGCTCGATATGTCGAACAATGAAGGCATAACGCTCGGAAGCACTCGATTCCGTCACTGCCAACGCCGCTTTTCTCTCCAGGCACTTATTAAGCGTTAACTGCTTGTGGGTCCATATTGGTCCAGTGGCAGTGTTATTTCGTGATTGTTGCTCTATCCCGGCTTCTTCCAGTCATTCCCAGCCTTGACATCCATTGTCCAACGCGTGCTGCCGTATTCGCTTTGCCCCTTCCAGTCTCCTTCGCTCTCCTGGCGATGGCGTGTACACCATGTACTTTTCCAGCTACTCTCTGTGAGGCTGAAACCTTACGTGCTACACACGCGCTTCTTCACTTTCTCCATTGTCCTTTTCCACACACACCCACATAATGTCACCCATATTCGACAAGTTGGTTTCATAGACCTTGTCCGAGCTTGATGAGGTTTGAAACCCGCGCTAATCGGTCGACTGCAGTACTAGGACGCCGGCTCGAGTCAAGCTATAAGTAGCGCTTCGTCCACGATATATCCTCCGAGCTTATTCCCACTCTCTATCCTCTATTGCTCGAAAGACGCCCAGCATCTGCATCATAACACACGGCGCCTCTTAGACAAGCAATCATACTGGCAATCAACAACGAGCCCATTGATGACAGCTGAGCCACTAGTCTGACAGCGCTGCCTGTATTTTGTCATGACATCCTTCATTCTTCACAGGAAACAAACGGGCTGGCGGATTCATGATAATTTATATAACTGCCACCATACCACAAAAGGCTCAGAGCGCTGCATTGACATGAAGCTTGGTACACTATGAGTCAGAACCTGCCGAATCTCCAAAATCACCGTGACGTGAAACTGTAGTAACGAATTACTGTAACAGTAGCGTGGAATGTATTCTTCATTTACAATTTATCACTTCATAGCAACATAGTGTGAGTCGACAACTCGACGATTATTAGCGAACCGTGAACACACGGCTTACATAAGCCTAAGGCTGTTATTTGTTCTCTGTAAGGTTTGAGTTCCCTATAACGCTCTTTCTCGTGTCCTCGTATTTCCTAGTATCTCTCTTTAAAAACTTAGTTGGCTAGCTGGCTTTTCAAGCCATGCCTATCCGTCGTCCTTCTGCTTCAGCAGGACACGCAAATCCACCAACAAACTTGCCAAAGTCGCACAGGAGCAACGATTCCCATCATGCTTTCGTGGGTCCATCACAACCACCTTCAATAGCGTATTCAGCCGCGTCTGCAACACCGCAACAGAAAATCGTACAGGCCTTGATAAACAGAATAAAGAACAAGGTAAAATCTCATCTCATAGCGCATATACGTTGCTCTGATATCCCAGCGTGCATTCATCAGCTCCCATGCAACTCCGGGCTTGCCTTAGACATTGTAGAGTCAGACGGCGCGACACAAAGAGCAGTTGAGGCTTTGGTAGAACTTGCGCATGATTCTTTGGATATCATATCATGGTCGCTGAGCGAGTTACTCGAAAGACTGGCAAAGGTGGGCGATGCAGATATTTATATCTACATATGGACACTGACGCTGGCGTAAATGTCTGGATGCTGTAATAGCAAACTGATGCAGATGGACACTTGACCGTAGAAGTGCTGCAATCTCAACTGTTCATATTAAAAATATTGTCGGTATCCATGGCGTCGCGGTGGAATTTACGTCAAGACGACAACCCTCGATCGAGTTCTCGTGCAAGTAAAGGAGGATCAAGTCACACAGCAATTGAAGCTCCTGTGCCTCTCATGTATGCGAATAATAACCAAAGTAAAAGGAGTAGGCAGGCTCCATCAGAATACTCGTGCTCTACGCCGCCGCCATGGGCTGAACCATTCCCTTTGGACGACAATTGTGCACGATATATACTTAGTGTTATGGTCTTGTACCTCCGCCAGACAGCGCCGCCTGAAAGCAGGCTCATGTCTTCTTCAAATCTGGCTCCTGATGCATCTTTACACGACTTCGAGTCAGTGGACTTGCCAACCACATCTAGGGCATTTGACGAGTATACTGGCATGAGGGGGCCACCACTACCAGCTCATATCTCCGAGGCACCAAAACCAGTGCTCAGACTAAAGAGTTCCACCTCGTCTTTCCAGTCCGCATCTGCGAGCATGAATCCGGGATTCCCAGGGTTGGGTCGCACGTTCCAATTTGAGAAAACTCACATGACGTTGGTCAAGTCGACGCTCTCGTTAAATGTTCTTATTGGTAAGTTCGCAGGACGAATTGTATATCATCTATCTGCGTCCAATTGGATGGTGGTCTTCTATCGCATACGGACGAAGATACATTTTCTGGCGAACACGGCGGAAGATAATCCGGATACAATCGATCTCTTACTCATGACGCATAGTGCCTTGGATAGGACAAGGCTAGTACAAGTTTTACACGAACTATCGTCCTTGCTCGTGAATATGAAGAGAGAAGCTCAGGCGGCAGTAGCAATGCCCCTGCGAGTGGGAATGTGGAACTGGGTCGATTTGTTTCCCCAGGAGTTCAATGACGCCATGCGGTCCAGAGGAAGGCTTGAAGGTGCCCCAGAACGCGTTTTCGACTTGTTGTATGCGGCAAACGTGCCTGGCATGGAACGAGCGATATGGCCAACTCTGACAATTTTGAATTGTCTGTCCTCTGAGCGTATGACCGCAGATCTTCAAGTCGATTTGCACACGCGTTCTACCACTTCAGGTGTCCAGAAACTCACGCACTCTCAGAAGCTTACTCACAGAAAGGTTTGTGGGAAATCTGTAGACTGATTTTGGCTTTTTGTTAATATATCTTGTAGGACGCTCGATTTGTGGAAGACCTTGTTAAACATGCAAATAACGGCTCCAAATTAACAGATGTGTCATTTGTCTGTGCAATCGATATATGCAGGGCAGGGTACCGCCTTTCTCCTGAAGGGGATCTGCCGCTCAGAGCTCTTGCTGCGGATATCGCCCATGAAGTCAAGGTACGTCGAATTCGCCTGATGTGTGGGAAATTACACTTAAACAATGCATATAGGTCTCATTGTTGAAGAGTGCAAAGCAGAGGCCTTTTTGGGATTCTTATGAAGAAATTGATGTAGCGACATACGCTGAGGCCTTGGCAGCGACCTTTAGGTTTTTATCGGAAGAAGAGTCCATCCCCATCTTTCTCGCGAGCCTCGAGCCCGAACGTTCAGATGCTGTAAAGATTTGCGCCGTTAAGGCTGCAACCACTTTGACAACAGAGGTTTGTCCCCCCTTGCGCCTTTGGATGGTTCGTCAACTGATGCATGTGCAGGCTTCTCGTTTACCTTGGCAGCCATCTTTGGAGCGTCTCCAGGCGTCCATCGCCAACCGACTGCGTGCCATATACAAGGTAATATTTAACCTTGAGTGTGGTCGGCCTCTCAATACTCAATTTGTATATTAGACATCTTCTTTGCGGCGTAGTGAAATTGATCAGTACGGCAACGTCAAGCGGGCAGCCGCTCGACCAAAGGCCAAGCGTTTCACATCAGAGACACTGGTGGAAAAAGACCTCCTGTTGCTGGCCATTTTGACTTTATGGCGCGCCGATCCCAACTATTATATAACGCATATAGGACAAGCAGAGATTGACGACTTGATGCCGGCTGCTGCGAAAATATGGGAGTCGCCAGTGGATACGGCTGTAAAAATATCGGCAGCGACCTCTTTCCAGCATATGACAGACATTTTCTTCAAAATGCATCCCACAGACGCTTTTTACGACACGATCCAGGCTTGGTTGAAGAGTTCTATGTTTGTTTATTTATCATGTTACGCTCCTTCTTGCCTCACTAATATGTTTTGTAGCGCGTCTACTCTTACCAGCACTGTGAAGAAATTGTTACTGAGTAGGATAGAGCCAGAGGCTCAACGGTTGTGGATCAGTATTGCCCACGAAATTATTGAGACTTATCATCGAAAGAGCGAGGTATGTCATGTCACTTCGTAGATATGGGGTGCCCATTCAAATTGAGCGGTGAAGGGAGACCATGCTCGAGGTCTACAGCTTAGTGAGGATCGAGTTTCGGCATTTGCCATGGCGGAAATTGCTTTCCTCGTGTCATTGACGTCCACAAGCAACGATGTATCGCAACTAGCAGCTCAGAGTCTACGCCTTATTGCTCAAGCTGAACGCCAACCTGGCGCCCCTGTGAATCGCGGTTTAACGGAAGAAGATCGATCTAAGCGTAACCCCATATATGAACAATTAGGCGACCCAAGTGTTGTCGTTGTTGGTATGTTAATGTTTCTCCCTCAGAAGTATGGCACTGACTTAGAATCACAGGACGCGTTGGACAGCAGAGGCGCGTGAGAAAGCTGCTTCGTCTAGTGTCGTATCCTTCTCCAATCAACGTTGCTGTGTGGCAAGAATGCTACTTCAGATGGAGTGCCCTCTCAGAATTTGTGGTTCAATCTCCCATAGCCGCTATCGCAGCTTCAAATGATGCTCACCTTAGCCCAGACGAGAAAAACATTTCGCAAGAGGTATTGTCAATCTCACTTCTAATGCTGACATTGCATATTAAATTCTCTACCAGGAAAAATTCTATCAGTGGCGAAATTTAACACTCTTCTTGGCTGCTTTCGGTGGTGCATGCGTGCAAGAGGAGCACGACGTATCTTCTTTGACATCTGTCATACCTCCCGAGTTCCTTCCAGATGAGATGCGTGCACTGCCAGATCCCAGTTATCTGGTCACCTCTTTCATAGAGTTCCTCACGAATGAGCTTATTGACGATGACCTCCGCATTCGTGAAGTGGCTAGAGAGGCCCTTGGATCCGAGCTGAGTCCACGTCTCTTCGCCAAATTATTCAAGCACCTGGACGAGTGAGTAGTATTCTGTGGATGTATTTTACATGCTGCTTACAGAGATCTAGAATCACTCGCAATATTACTGAAGGAGCCGGCTTAGAGTTCAAGGAAGAGTACAGCTTGTTTTTGGACCAGGTACATCTTTTGACATTATATCCATCTTGACATAAATAAACCTTTTTCTAGTTGATCTCTGTTCTGAAATCGCTAGTGGATAACGCTCAAATGCCCCCTGATGAAGCGCTTAGCATCGATCTCGGTTCTATTCTGCATGTACTTGTCGGATTCATCTCCCGATTCCATGACCCGGCATCTTATCGCATACGGATTAAATTTTGCGCCCTGTGCGATAGCATATGTGACCGAACTGATACTTTGACTTTGCGTAAAGATGATCTTGCAAGAAATCGTATTCTGGACATAGTCATGGAGTGGCTCCAGGATCCAGCAACCGTACGAGTTTCACTACTTATCCTACTTATCATATAGTTCCACTCCTCATTACATATTTGCAGAGTTTTGATCCCCCTACGGTCCAGATACAATTCGATCTAAACCTGGCGTCTCTGCGAACTGCTGTTAAACTTCTTGATCACTTGAAGTTGCAACCTATAGACAGCAGCGCAAATGAATCCGACGATACAGGACATGCAGTCTCGCGCCTATTCATACGTTATTCACACATATTGATGAAAGCGTTAGATATCTGTCAGGCTGATGTTACCGTGAGTCTAATTCCTGTCTTTTTTCGCATTCGTTGACAGTTCGCATTTAGGTTTCCGACAGCGTTTCAGATGTCCCTTCATTACAGAAGGTAGGTAATCCTATTACCAGTCAACGAAGCTCACGTCTAGAACTATTTAACAGAAAATCATGGCTTCTCAAAGAGAGGCTGATGTCCGTGATTTGGTTATAGCGGGTCTATCCAACCTTGTATCAGCAAATTCGGAAAATGGTTTCAAGCATTGCATCGCTCTGGCTTACGAATCTGACATGAGAAAAAGAACAATGTTTGTTCACGTTTTTGCGCGAGTTTTAGGCCAAGGTGCGAAGTTCGAACCTCAGGGTAATGCAGAGCTACAAGCTCGCAGAAACCATCTTTGCGAGGTGAGCACATTCATTTACAACCAGTAATCCATTGTCTCAGTGTTTGCTGTCCATAAGCTGGTGAAAGGTTCTGATGTAAGTTATTCGTACTCCAATTATGAGAATGTTCCTGAATTCGGTATAGATGATTCTTGCCCTGGTGATTTGTGAATGTTGTCCCGCATCTGAGGTTGATATTATGATATCTGTTCTCATGAATTTGTTCGACACTCGTACATCCTTGATGGCCCTACTAAAGACCATGATAGACCGAGAGATTGCTCATACTGGTAAGGTTAACGAAGATTTTATATATTTTATTCTGATCTTTCTTACTTAGATAATGAAACCGCATTATTCCGCAGCAATTCGACTTGCACGCGGTTCCTGTCAGCATTTGCCAAGATTCATGGTTACAGCTATCTCCGGAGTCTGATTATCCCCCTCATCAAGACTATGACATCCATGCCTCCAGGTCATGGATATGAGCTTGACCCTGCTAAAGCTGGCGAACAAGATGTTAAACAGAATCAGCATAATGTTGAGATAGTAGCCTCCTCTTTCTTGGAGATTATCACTTCCTCGGTCCCTGCTTTGCCTCCGTGAGCTTAAGCGAATAACTTTGTTTATAGATTCACGCTAATGATTGTCTTTTTAGTATGTTCCGCGAAGTTTGCGCACATCTGGCAAAATCTGTGTAAGTGCATCATATTTTGTTGAATACTACCATCTAAGATATGCCTTGGATAGCAATCAAGTATGGCCTGACGCCAAGTTTGCGGCGCTCGGCGCTTTCATCTTTTTACGGTAGGCTCATGTCACAATTTGATATATTTTGAGACTCATTTGTTATCTCCAGTTTCATTTCGCCTGCAATCGTTGCTCCAGAGATTGTGGATGTAGAAGTACCCAAAGGAGACGCTGGTATGGTCATTCGACGTGGACTCATGGTTATTGCAAAAGTGATGCAGAACCTCGCCAACAATATCTTCTTCGGAAAAGAAGCACATATGATGGGACTCAACGATTTCCTGAAAGCAAATATTGTTAACGTCACCCGATACTTGAGCGAAGTTAATGTAAGATATTCGGGTTTCTGGTTGAGATGATGATACTAAATATATTCTTTAGAAATATTCGGCAGCCACCGCTGATGAAGAATCTGACGAGTGGCTTGGTACAACCACTGACGATTCAGACACCATCGTACTTCACCGCTTCTTAGACAAGCATGCAGATAAAATAGGGAAGGAGCTCCTCAGTTGGATTAAACCCAGCGCAGAAGACGATACTGCCTCGATTAGCGCTAAACGTGCGTGGGAGAACCTTTGCGCGACGCTCGTGGAACTACAGAATGCTCCAGAGGTGCCGAAGCTTTCTCCCTATGCAAGTTATGAGCATAGGGACTATCTGGACCTGATGAATCGTTGTGCACATCGCAACATTGACGCAGTTCGTGATATATTTGTGGAAGCCTTCATGGATCCTTCTTCTGTGAGTATATTATATTTAAGTATTGTTCATCGAACTGGCTGACCTGTAAACTGAGAATGCGCCTGTCATCTTCGTACTGCGCGTATGCAAGATCGACGTGGAGGCTCTGGATATAGAATTGTTGATGTATCACGCCCTTAAAGTGTGTCGTTTATTATCCAAGCCAACAATCATACTCACTCATAAGTTCTAGACTTTGAATTCGCCGCAGTACGAAAATCGCCATTACGAGATAATCCTCGACTGTACATCATTTACGTCGACTTCGGAAATACCTGTGCAGTGGCTCAAGATTTGCACTGAGTTAATTCCGTCGGACATTCGAAATAGGTTCACATATGCTTACATTCTGAACCCAAATCAATTGACACAGAGATATCTTCGTCGCATGTATAACGTGTCTGCTGGTACATACCATTCATCTATCCTGTCGTCTATACTTATTCTCTATGTTCAGGCACAACACTTTCCAGTGGGATCAAAGCGTGTTCATCCGTCGCAGAGCTTTTGGAACATGTACCGGATTCCTGCATGAGTGCACTTGAGTACCCGAGTAAGCTGCTGTAGACTTTTCGGTCTTTTAATTTGCTAACCACCACTTCTAGCGAACCTCGAAGATGAGGTCAGGTCACCATTTGCGGATGTAAACTTGAGACAAACACCTCAATTACGTATGCCCGTTGTAATGGAGGTTGGACTGACACATATTCGGATCACCTCTGTAAGTATCAGATGCCTAGCTTCATTCTGCTTGAGGTTGAGTATATGTATATAGGTCAGGGCCCAAGTTATATCTCATTCATTGTCATGCCGATCTACTGAGATCATTTCTCTCGCTGACGTGAGCGATGCATACAACGTATCCACAGGGCGTGATCCACACGAGTTCATCATCCGTAGAAGTAGGCAAGGAGTGACTTCGTATTTCTCATCGCCTGCTCGTGATGTCATTGTCAAGGCAAGATACATCATTTCATTGCCCATATCTGAGATTCTAATTATTGACATGTAGACGATAAGAGCGGCAAAGAGCCAGTTGAGGGATATTCAGCACCCAGGGACCGAAAGGTTCCCCATGTTCACGAATATTTCTGCTACACTATTACATGTCGGCATGATTAACATTGGCTCTGAAGAAGAAGAGCTCCGTGGTGCAGCATACAATCTCCTCGGTGCTGTCTGCTCCTATCTGGATTACGAGAAAAATCCTATAATTGCGTCTAAAGGTATGCTCTTTTTTTCCACAGAGACCTGATGTGCTAATCTTATACTTGTTGTGCAGCTGGCATCATCCCAGGCGATATATCGACCTTCGTGATCAGCTTAAGCGATCGTCTAGCCAATTTTGCGCCCAAACTTACGTTAGACTTCATGTCAGTCATCTCTGCTGGTATGGATAAGGCGACTCCAGCACAGCGTATAAATTGTTTACAATATATGAGTCCATGGGTAAGGAACCTCGCTATGTTTTGCAATCCCTCGAATGCTCTATACGAGCATTCTGGAGCGAGATTACGCGACTGTATCCGTTCCCTGATTGATCTGACTATATCGGACCTCGAAGTGCGTTTCTTCCTTTGTGCTAATAATTCCTAGCATTCACGCCTGACTAGATATCGTCTATGATACACAAATATATATGGGTACAAATCGGCAATCTCGACACGACAGTGGTTAACATAGTCCTCGACGAACTTATCCGCGCAGCCACTGATGGAGGAATTGGTTCGCGACGATGTGAGACCATTGCACGCACAGCGGCCGCTTTGTCTTCTGTCAATGTGAGGGGACGAATATTTACCAAATTACGCAAGGTATGTTAAGCAGATTTAATGTCTCTGTAGTTTGCTGAGGCTGTGCAAAGGTCCTTGGGAAAACTTCACTGAAGCCTTCCAGAACTTTGGCTGAGAATCAGCATTGGAATGAGATCGCAACGTTAGCTCGTTTCGCACTTGTCGCAAGCAATCACTCCAAGCAGGCGCAGTACGATCAGCTCTACCTTCCCGATATCTGTCATGTCGTCACATTGGTCGCAGGCACGGGGCAAACACTTATCAGGAAATCTGTCTATGGCATTATCATGAATTTCCTCCAATCTCTATTTCTTGCTCGAGCTGACGATGCGACTGGCCCTGATCTCCGAGTCTTGATTGATGAATTAACGAGGCTCGAAAATCTCCAATTGTTTGGCCTTGGTCGCCAATCCACCACAAGCGAGTATACGAACTACGACCCACAAAATGATAAGGTTTGTATCGACAATCAAGAAGGCCTTACTCATCTTCTTCTACGTATAATGGAGGTCACGGCAGGTTCTAAAGGTGATCTTTACTTAAACTCACGTGCAGGACATCACTAATTCGCAAATAAAGAATTACTCAACGTTTGGCGCGCTAGGTGGATGAGTTTGGCGACTTCTACAGCTTTCCAGTTACCCGCTGCTATTCAGTCCCGTGCCTACATTGTCCTCGGAACTCTTGCCACTTCCGATGTCGATGATGACCTCGTCTACCAGATGCTTGTCGCCTTCAAATCTGCTTTGCTTCAACCCTCCGAGATGGACACAATGACGGTAGTCAGCATGCTCCGATGCATCTGCAAGGTTGTACCATCGTTAGCCGAAGGATCTAGGTACCTCCCTCAGCTTTTCTGGCTCGCTGTCGCCCTCCTGCAGTCTAGCTATACTGCGTTCTATGCAGAGGCAGCTGAACTATTGCGCGCCACTTTAGAAACTTTGGAGTCGCATGACGCATTCGAAGGAGGTTCGATATCAAGCGTACTTCTAGAAAGTCGTTCCCCGTTGGAGGAGACCATCAGCCAATTAGACCGAATTTTTTTCTTGTCATTCGACGTGAACTTTTCATTCTCGCTTTCCGCCACCATTTTCAAAGGTATCCGCCATTCTCACCTCAGATCGTCTGCGGAAACTGTTCTCAGAAGTTTGTTATCGGTTACCGTGCGGTCCTACGAGAACGCAGTCGACGGGCCTATAACGTCGCTTTGTCCTGATGCTTTGGGCTATTTCATTGCCTTGATTCCGTTTTCCACCACGCGAGCGTCGTACGTCCGCCTTCTGAAAGAGTCTCGCTTGGACGAATTCTTACCAACGTCGGGACCCATGGAGGACGACTTTGTCCCTCGTATTTCCATTGACCTTCTTCCAGTAAATGACGGCACTTTGGCGCTCTTCTTAGTTTCCTTTATTGGGGCCATGTTAACCACCGCTCAAGGAGATGACGCAGAGACGGAGATACTGTATCATCTTCTGTCAGACGTAGGATGTCTGTATCCTGACTTGCTTTCGATGTCGTACGTGATACTTTCGATTTTCCGACTAATTCACACCTAATATACTTTTTCTACACAGGTACGAGAATCTACAAGATAGGATCAAAGATACATTTGCACTATCGTCGAATCCAGCCATTATCCGGGCTGTTTCAAGCATATTCCGAGTAGCGCAGTCGGATCCTCTTCGCCTGGGTCCATTACGTTCCGGCTCCATGTCCACGCTTACCGCTGTTGATGAGAACAATCTGTCTCAAAGGTTAACCAAGCGTTTGGATGAGCTGGGCATGCAAGGATTGGCGACGAGTTTCCAGTTCTTGTCTCCTAATCATGGACAATGGCCTAACATTTCGGGATGGATATCAGAGCTTGTGATGAAAATTGTGGGCCTGGAAGTGACTTGAATATTTGGTCTTTTGCACGGGGGATAATCAACATCAATGTAAATTATCTAGCCATTTCTACACTGTATAATTTGCTCGCATACTATATTGTTTTTTGGCCATACCTAATTTTGCTAAAATAATAACTATCTTGTTTTTCCCTGGTGGATGATATAACTTGGCGTGTTGTTTAAGGCAGATAATTGAGATCGTCTCTGCTGGACTGATTTGGCAGGTTCTGTAAATGAAACCAAGGTAAAGACAGCGTGAGAAGACCGTCCAATCGCAGGACGCTTGTAGTAACTGGGCCGAACTACACACCTTTCTAATATCCTGCAGCAGCACCTAACGTTTATATATTCTGCACAGTCTTTCTCTCTTCTCTGGACCCCATTCTTTTCTACACCATCATTCACTATGCAAGACGAGGAAACCGCATATTCTCGCCCAGCCACCCCAGACTCGCCGCTGGCCAGCAGTCTTTACCACGCAACGAGCACAATTGACGAACTCACACTCGCACTCACAAACTTTTCCAGGGTACCTTCTCCGGAACCTCAAGCAATACTGTGTTGTTGCTGTGGCAAAGAGGATTGCGAGAACATAAAGAACTGGCACGCAATCAAGACAAAGCTAGAGAGCCGTCTCATTCTCAGTGCCGGTGCGTCGTCCAACCTGTTCTCAGCCTCGCATTCTGATCATCCCTTGCAGAGGTCGGTCAAGCCCTTCTACAAAGACACGAAGCATACGTCCGTCGCCATGAGGCATGTGAAATTGCTTTCATAAGTCACATTCTCTTACCGTGCGCATACAGTCAGGACACCATACACCGCGCAACAAATCGGAGGGTAGCGTGGATGGACGCGCTTATACTCCACCGATCGACTCTCGGGTGGCAGAGCTTAACAAAGAGAATGCACTGTTGGAGAAGGTCCGTCCGAAACTATTCGTCGCCCGGAATACATCTTCATGCAGTGTTCATAGCGGTTGACCCAAGCCCTGTTGAACAACGAGGTCTCCGAGGCTTCCAACAAGACTGTACTCCATGAACTCGAAGAAGCACGCTCCGCAGTTTCACGACTGACTGCTCACCATGCACGTGCAGTGGGTCTCGATTCGCGACTAACGTCCGTTCTTCAGGAGAAGGACGATATCCAACAGGAACGCGATAGTCAAACGCAAAGGGCTAAGATCGCGGAGTCGCGCTTAGTCGGGTTAAGGGATCGCGCATGTATGCTTCTCTTGATATCACTGCTAAGTACATTATTTTATTCGTCACATATTTACAGCCCAACTACAGGCTGAAGTGCGTCGACTGCAAGAGGAATTGGAGCAAAGGCGGTTCCAACGTATGGAATCATCAGAATCGTTGTTACAAGACGCTCGCTCTCGCCTTGAAGCACTTCAGCAATCGGTGGGTGTGTTGTCTATTCTCAATGAAGGGTATTTCCAGACCTTCTCTTTGCAGCATGTAGGGAAGACCGCTATTGCAGATGACTCTGAGGTTATGCAAGTTCTGGAGTCTCTTGTTTCTGACAATGAAATCTTGAAGCGTGACAACGAAGAATTACAACAACTTCTGACAGAGTCGAGAGAGGATGCTCACGTCTTGCAGACTGAAATAGAGGAACATCGTGTGACGCTTCCTCCTCCTATAAGAGGTGAGGTACAATTATTGTTTTATATTGAAACGCCTTAGTTACTTTTCACTCAGTCGAGACACCACATTCAAGGCAGTCACGCAGTGGCCCTTCATCTTTCATCAAAGATTCTGTATGTTCCCGTCCTTGGTCTTATAAACTTAGGCTTTGTTCTCTTTTTTCATTCATTCTCTGACATCGTGTACATTTTTAGATACTTAGTCCTAGCAGACGTCAAGGAAGCATGGAACCCAAATCACGACGTGCATTCGTATGTTTGTTTCTGCTGCTTGATGCTTTATATACTCAAAGTATCGTAGGAACCTCTGACTCCTGAGACCGATAGGCGGCCACTTTCACCAGCAGATTCGCTGATAGCATCTGAGACAAAGTATACTAGTTTTATCCACCCACAGCCTAGATACCCACCCTCTCATCTCAGCTTCGACTTAGAGAATGAACTTGACAACTCTTTCCCACCTACGCAATCTCGAGGGGTGCAGACAGACCGGTGGCTAGGTATCCTATCAAATCCTCAGCTAACCCCATCGTCCTTCGATCATATTTCCAGCTCCCCAAATGACGGGCGATCCGAATCATCATCTCTAACCGACGGCCATGGATCTCCTTTATCGAGTCTGTTGGAGCGTGTCGTTTCCTTACTTCACCGGTTGTCACAAGCAGACGCTCTTACTCTCACCAATAGACTTAAACGCCAGCATCTGAGAGGTGCTGATGTCAGACATCTTTCACGTTCCACTGTGGGCAACATTCTATCCGAAGTCAATCATTTAAGGACCCAATACCGCATGCTTCTCGAAGATGAAAAGACGATTGTGATGTGCACGCGTAAAGACTTGCGTGGGCTATTCAAATTCTTTAGAGACGTTTTCGAGGAGCTTGGACAAACAAGAGTGACACTCAACGACGTCATATTAGACCCTTCCATTGCGACGAAAGTCAGCGAAGCGGCATTGGATCCAGTCAAGGCAGAAGCGATGGAGAGAGAAAGACGGTCCAATAACCATACTCTCGCCTCAGCGTGGATGGCTCCACTCTCAAAGCTATTCGGCACTTCCTATGAAACGCCCCCTCCTAACCGTAATCCTTCCCCTAGACCTGTAAGCAGAGGTCGTGGTAGTGTTCGACCTCCGCGCCCCGTTCCCAAACTCGGTCCAGCCCTTTCTGCGTCTACAACTACGGTCAATGTCGAATTCTCGGGCACGGTAGTGGGCAGGTCGGTCACAAGCACATCTTCCGTATATCCTAACGCTGGTGAAGGTTCTGCCGGACGCCTCCCAGATTCACAACCTTCGTCTTCATCTATGGGCACGTCAAGGAGTGTCATGGGCATTTTTGCTGGAGCACCTCACGTGGAGCCCGACCCATGGGTTGTACTAGGAAGGAGTCCTCGTAGAGTTCAATCTAGCTTCTTAAAGGCTGGTTCTGGAACTGCCACCATCGGCAGATCAATGACGAGAAACCGCCACACGAATCAGCTATCGCGAGCTGTAGATGCAGTAGTTGACGCGAACTCACCCATCCTTCACGAGGAGGAAGATGACGTCCCCGGTCCTCTTCTCGAGCGTACTCTCAGACGGCGTGGACTGTCAGATTCGTCTATTCACTCAACTTTCATGAGTCATTCTGAAGATGCCCCGTCTACACCTTTGCATGATCGTTCTCCGTCCAATGAGCCGTGGCCTGAGCGAGGGTCGTCCGTCTTTCAAACGCTCAGTAGAACGATGAATAATTTTAGGATAGCTGCATCCCATACCATCTCGAATGCTGCAAGCCCTGCTGCGGCTTCATCGCCGTCTTCCACGTCACAGGTCTCAGGGCAGAAAGGCTCCAGCGAAGTTGTCAACATCCCACGTCCGCGCCCACCTCGCGCTTCATCACCGGCGTTCTCGTCGTTTATTCCTAACCTGACATCATGGGCAGCAGCTGGCGCAGCCCTAGAACCTCATGCACATGGGCAACCTGGGCATGTGGGGAGTCTTCATGATGACTCTATGATTCATCGTAACTGGACACGCGATGCAATGTCGAGAGAATGTTAGCAAGGGAATTTTCTTGGTTAATGTGTTCAAGTTTTGAACTGGGTTTTGAGTCTACTTTTTGTGAATGTAATATTTGTTATATATAGCCATGACACTTGTATCTATTGTTTCTGCAATATGAATTACCACCAGACATTTCAGAACTTATATCCATTCCTACAATGTTACGGATGTGCTTATGTATCAGACTCGCGATGACATATTAACGTTCAACACACTGTTCTCACATAATACCGATCTATACAACGCTGGTTGGAGTGTTGGCAAAAGAAATAGTGATACAAATGGCAAGGATGACGATGATTACAGTAACACTGAGAGCACACAATTAAGCTAGTTTTACTTATTACACCTTGTTACACCGGATAACAGAAATGACGCTCGCCCGGATTATGGTCATCGACCTACATTGGTCCAGGAACCTCAAGGGTGCTCCAAGAGGTAGCCACCGTCGATGGCAATGGTCTAAAACAGGTTTAGTTTTCTGCTGTGAGTGACGATGATAATCCGCTAACCTGTCCATAAGCATATTGGTTGCAAGCCAGGAGGAGGGCAGCTTGAGCAATATCCTCATCACGTCCTGGACGGCCAGCCGGAATACCTTTCTTCTGCCCATAATCCTCTCCGGTTGGAATTTGTGACTTGTTCACTTCATCGGATCCTCCAGCTAAAATGAGATAATCAGGGGATGAGAGGAGGAAACATCAGATGGGTATGGACCAACCTGTCATCTCCGACGGGAATATCCCAGGAGCGATACTGTTGACTCTGACTTGAACGGCTTTCTTCCTAAATTCCTGGGCGAGGAGTGTGTTTAGATGAATGGTAGCAGCCTTTGACACATTGTATTTAAAGTGATGCTGAGTCGTGCGAGTTATTCCAGATATGGAGGAAATATTGATAACAGAGCCTGTGTGCTGACTGTGACTTTTAGTTGCTGCGTTCAAAAGAGGAAGGAATGCGGCTGTCAAGAAATAATATCTGTCGAAATGAAATGTTAGTACCTCGAACATTATCAGGGATATGAATAATAGTACCCAATGACGTTGGTTCTATAAACATTCTCCCAGCTAGTAATATCTTCGCTAAATAGCTCTTGAGAGAGCTCCTTAGCACTTTCCTCTGCTTTGTCGGTATCACTACTACCCTGACTGATACCGGCATTGTTCACCAAGCAGTCGATATGGTTTTCCTTTTTCGAGATCTCTGAGACAAGGCTTTGAATGGACTGTTTGGAGGTAATGTCGCACTGAAGAGGGATAATCTCCCCTCGTTCATGAGCGAGTGATGAACCCCATTGTTTCGCAGTGTGTGACAGAACATCCTGACGACGACTAGTGATGTAAACTTTTGCGCCATTGTTTGCAAACGCCTGAGCGAGCATGAGGCCTATACCTGTGCCTCCGCCTGTGACGACACAGACCCAGCCTTCGACATTGAACAAATTTTGGACGGAGAATTTCGCGTTATGGGATGCTTCAGCCATGATTCGGGTGTAGTTTCTGGAAATAATGGTAAGAGGGAGGTAACGTCGGAAGATGGGGAACATGGACTATATGCACGACCAAGTGCCCTTTATATGAATTTCAGGCATTGTCGGCAGTGATCTCATCGACGGTCAACGATGACAATATGAGGTCAACAGGGATTAGGGGTAAAAAAGCTTCATAACTAATTCCCCAACCTGGCAATGATCGGTGCTGTCAGGTGCCGCGTTGTGGTGGCTGTGTATGAAGCTTTCCATCTTTCTGCTCTTGTCACCGACAGTGACGATGACGACGACCTTCACAGTGGCTTCAACGATGGTATTCCCTAACAAACCATCGCCCACCTTGTCCGTTTTGGACGTTGTCCTTTCCTGAACCCCAAGGCTTTCGGTCAAGATTGCTCGCAGCAATCGCGAAATACAGAATATAGGTTGTATAGAATCCAGTCCTAATACATACAATCCATGGGTACTTGATGTGTAAGAAGTGGCGCCGCCACATGCACACTACGAAGTAGGTACAGGAGGAATGCGTCTGATTATGAAAATGACACGACGCGTCCAGTGAGCAATGTTGCTGAAGAGACCACTGGTTTCATCATCTTCTCTGTCAATGACTCGGGAGCGTAATTTCCATGTACTGAGGTCCTTGCGAAGTATATTGAAGCGAGCTACCACTTCATCCATAGAAGGCCGTTTAACTGGGTCGTCCTGGACCATATCAGCTACTAGCGGTATCATGAATTCAAATCCAGATTTCCCCTGCAGTCACACACATACACCATCAGTCCTAATTTTAAAATGACTCAGCAGTTTGTGGAGCTCACCTGTATAAAATCTTCTCTGATGACATTACCAATGTAGTATATATCGGTATAGAAAGGATTTTGAGGTTCAATTGACCTTTGAAATTCTGGTACCGTCTTATCGCCACCCCATATAGGATCTTCGAGAGGTGCTTCATCGCCAGGATCATAACGACGAGATATACCAAAGTCGATGAAAAAATATTTAGGTGGGCACTGCGTGCGACTGCGATGTCTCGCTTCACCCTTAAAGTCGCGCCTCATATCAGGATCATAAGGATGAAAGGCATCAATGTAAAGTGAGGACGCGTCCATCATGATATTCAAGTTCATGCAGTCACTGTGTAAAACTCATGAAAAATACGATGATACTAGGAGCAAATTAACTTACCGATGGGCAACGCGGTGTTTATGCATAAATTGAAGGCCCTGGCCAAGGATAAGATAATATAATTGTTTGATCATAACGTACGGATACCTCGAATAGCTGCCGAAAGCATTCCACAGCTTCCCCAAATGTGTCGAAGTGTGGATCGTCGTACAGTCGCAATAAAGGCATGACCATTATTATTTTGTCCACTTCTCCTGGTACTTCGATAAATTCATATATGGGGACGCAGTGATTAGCAGGGTCGTCCGCTATGGGTCCAGACGAGAAATAACGTCCGATGTCGGCCTCGAAAGGGTGACGTGACTGTTTGATAACTTTCAGAGTCACGTATGAACCATCCGCTATCCGAGTTGCGTCCAATAAATGTGGGTACTGTACAAAATAGTTCCAGTCCCAATAAGTAGCAATAGTGACGAAGGCACTAAACTTACCCAAGGTATTTGTGCATCTTCGCAGTGATACCACCTTTTTTTTAGTATTCTGCCAAGACGGCACCCAGCCAGGAGCGTATCTTGGGCGAAGGAGATATCCAAGTTCCTTTAGCCACTGAAAATGATCACACCACCAGAGTTCATCTTTAGCGAGCGCTGCCACAGGATTAGCTTCAGTTGGTTTGTTGGAAGCCAAAACATCTTCCACCCTAGAACTAGCTTTACTGTCCTTTGCCTTGGTGTTGTTCAAATTGGGTACCCTAGCCTGGCGCTTTCCGAACGGCGATAACATGATGCAACGTCGAACGCCTTACTGAGACCAGTAAATAAGACAACGGTCAACGCACGAAGCAAACGCCAAAGTGCACGTTGACAGCCAACACATTGCAAACGCTGGTTAACAAATATACCCAAGCAAAATTAAATAAGGACCCACAAATGTTGTTTGGTTTTCCGTCATGATGGCACTGCCATATATGTCACGGCAACAAATCTGGGGCTTTTTGTTTCCCAGTCGCAACGCTCCTAGTCTCCTAGGCTCGTCCCCAACCTGCTCGGCTAGCTCGCGCTTATCATATTTGCCGATATGAATTTGCGAGCTTGCGAGCAGGCTGGGACCACTCGTCGCCATTTTGTGAGGAGGATGAATTCCTCACCAAAGATGAGGTGGGGACTTCGTCGTAGGGACTCAGAAGTCAGAAAAAAATGTCACAAACTTGGTATACAAAAAAGCATTTTTGTAACCAGTAGATCACTTTTTGTTATTAGATATTTTTTGGAAAAATTTGAGGTGAGGTTGTTGTTGCTGTCACTACCATTTTCTGGCAAAGTTCACTTGCAAAAAAAGTTGCAAAAATTTCCTATATTCAATGTGTTCTACGAGTTACAAAATCACTTTTTTGTATAGTAACTTGGGGGAAAATGTTTTATGGCTTTCAAGTCCCTACAATTAAGTCCCCACCTCATATTTGGTGAGGAACTCATCCTCCTCACAAAATGGCGACGAGCGGTCCCAGCCGTTCACTGGGTGTGCTCGAAGACAATTTCGGCTAGTAACTGAGATTAAACCCAGTGATCTGGCTGGTGTGAGGGATCAATTTTTCTTATCGCATTCCCGTCATGTCGTGGTTAGCAGACTCGATCCCTGTCACTCCTCTTGCCCTTGGACTAGAGATTACAGCAGGTGTCTTATTACTTTTATCCTTTTTCTTCTTATTCTCTATTCACACTCACGTCCTATCGTACCTACGACGAAGTAGACTTGTTGTCGACCCTCGAGAAGATATCCAGATGACATAGCCACAATCCAGTGCTATGTCTGGGAATACTTCGGAGGAATATTGATAAGCAAAGAAGGTTGTGAGTCAGCGCCTTCTCATGGGCTTACTGATACCAATACGTTTTCTCATACGATTAGTAAATACGATAGATCGGACCACTTTCTCCTTTTTTTCTTATTGGTTAGCTGACTGGTCAGACCACTTTCTCAGTTCTTCCCTTTCTCGGTCTGACCATCGCCGTTCACTATATAAAGAAGTACATACTCGATGTACTGTTCTCTAGTTCAATATTAGTTTGGATTTGCGCTTATACCGATACTCTTCATCCTCATACCCTGATTCACCACCTTCCAGCAAGGACTTGACCAGGCATTGAGCTTTGTTATATAGCTTCGTATTTGTTGCCTGACAGCTGGGTACGAGCCTACTAGTCTCCCATAGACAGACCTGATTGGAGAAAGAAAGTTGTTTCTTCCAAAGGAAGGTCTGCTGTTATTGGTGAGGCTATACCGTTGCTAAGGCATTCAGTGCCAACATTCAGTGATAAGAATTTACCACACCTCTTTTGTAATTAGTAAGCTGGCAACTGCAGTGCCAGAGCATCAATGTACCAATCCTAAGTGCCAGGATTGACTGCAAAAAAAACAACAATGAGTGAAGAAACCCATCCTAAGGCTCCAGTTCACAACAATGTATACAGAACACCTAGGGGAATGAACCAACATAAAGCCATCTCTATACAGCCCTCCAAAATATGTTCACTGGCCGCACAGTGGGGGATGGGGTAATAGTACTTGAATTTTCGGATATTGCAATTAGGATTAGCATGTACATATAAAAGTACGCTGTCTTTCCACCTCCTGTCGGAACTATAGCCAGGAGGTCCTTGCCATCTAGGCATTGACACACTCCTTCAATCTGGTAGTTGTGTGGTTCAAATGGCAATGTTTTCGCAAGTATTTGGCATGCAAGAGTATGATCGGTGGGTGTACTGAATTGGAATGGTTTGGATGTGCCGACTGGGGTCAGCATTGACAGAATCTAGCAACAAAATGCTGCTTGGACACCGTTCAGATGTGTTTTCTACCGACAGAATCCTTGTTTATTTCATATGTACGCTACTGGTTGACGGGCAACTCCGCCATTTGAAGGCAGGTTCAAAATCGGTCAATCAAAATTGATTGACTGTTTGATCAATTTTGACCATGTGACCTGATCATTTGGTTTTTACCCCAGGCTGCGAAAGTCGCAGCCTGGGGGACTTGGTCGCTTTTGCGGGATTCCTGGCATAGCTTGTAGGTTAGTATGTATCATGCTAGACAAGTATGTTTGTAATACCACTGCACATGTGTTTTCAGCTGCTACTTCAGTTCATGGTATTCCATCTTTGCTTCCTTTCCAGGGGGTGCTGTGTGCTGTAGTTGCAAAAGCACAACAAACAAAAAATTCAACAAAGACCTGAACGGCAGTGTAGCCCTTGGACTCCGGTAATGCGTCTATGAGATCGGTGGTGATAATCTGCCAAGGCCGATCTGGTATCGGGTTTGGGTGTAGAGGGGCGTTAGGCTTTGTCCGATGTGCCTTGGTGCGTTGACAATTCTCGCACCCTTGTACATATCGTCTGATATCTGTACGAAGACTCGGCCACCAGAGCTCTCAGTTTACTCGTTCAAACATTGTTCTTTCTCCTGGGTGTCCAGCCAGAACTTTGTCATGATAATCTTTCAATATTCGCGCCCGTAATTCGTGGTTTCGGGGAACGTATACACGGTCAGCTAATGGGATCGGGTAGGAACTCGTCGCGGATTCTCTTTTGATCCAGACGATCCTATCCTTCATCTTCCAGGTATCCGGCTTCTCTTTCAAGTTCTTCTTTACTACGTCGTCTTGTTTCTGGAAGCTTCGACGTATATCCGGTAGATATCCTTCGTTGGTGTCAAGTATTTCAAAATGTACATCTGGGAGAAGTGTCTGATTCTTGTTATCGTTTGTGCCTCTAGGATGATCGATTCGTCTGCTCAACAGGTCAGCCTTTGTATTTTGATTTCCTTTGACGTGTTCCATTTTGAAATTATAATCTGCAAGCTGAGACGACCATTGAGCTTGGCGTCGATTGTATTTCTGAGGTTGACGGAAGTAAAGGAGGTTTTGGTGATCTGTGAAGATAGTGAAGGGGTGTTTCGATCCTACAAGGTGATGTTGTCATTCATCTAGCGCCGTCATGACTGCGAGCATCTCTTTATCGTAAATTTCATAGTTTCGTTCTGCAGGGGTAAGAGCTTTCGAGAGGAATGCTATGGGTCTGAATTTATCATTTTGCTTCTGGGACAGGACGGCTCCTACAGCGAAGTCAGAGGCGTCGGTTTCTAGTTTGAACGGGTCGTCATCGTTTGGTATAGCGAGGGTGGGAGCAGTAGTAAGTGTTTTCTTCAATGTTTCGAAGGATGTCTCTTGTTCGTCTTTCCAGGTCCAGTCAACTTTTCCGGTGAGCACAGTGAGTGGTTTTGCAATTCGTCCGTAGTCTTTGACAAATCGTCGATAGAAGTTAGAGAACCCTAAGAATGATTGGAGTTCTCTTTTATTCTTTGGTGCAGGCCAGTCAGTGACCGCTGCAACTTTTAACGGATCCATACGGATAGTGTCTTTGGAGATGATCATGCCTAAGTACTCGACTTCCTGTTTCTCGAATTCGCATTTTTCCGGTTTAAGATACAACTGGTTTTGTTGCAGGATATGGGACTTTGGTGACTATTTGGCGATGTTCCTCAAGTGTTTCCGTGAAGATCATGATATCGTCTAAATATACAATAACTTTTCCTTCCGTGATTAGTTCTCTTAGGAGGTGATCCATCATGGTTTGGAAGGTCGCTGGCGAGTTGGTAAGTCCAAAAAACATAACAAGGGGTTCAAACAGGCCGTGATTGGTCCTGAAAGCGGCCTTGTGTTCGTCTCCTTCTTGGATTCGGACGTTGTTGTATCCCCATCGTACGTCTAGTTTCGTGAAGTAGTTGGCACCTTTGAGTTTATCGATGAGTTTGGATATGAGGGGGAGGGTGTAGCGATTCTTTATGGTAAGCTCATTCAGCTTGCAATAGTCTTGGACAGGGCGTAGTGAACCATCTTTCTTTTTGATAAAGAAGAATGGTGATGCGTAGGGTGATTTAGATACTCGAATCCGTCCACTTGTTAGGTTTTCGTTAAGGAATTTGTCTAGATGGTGTAACGACCAAGAGTTAGTTACTCTGGCGCACACAAGAACACACTATAAAGAAGATGTTGAGGGAGTGGTTACCCCTTAAGCTGCAGAGAGTTTGTTGGTATACAACAGGAGGACTCGCTGAGGAGTCTCCTGGATTTATTGGGGTATATATACTACTACAGGTTTGTTTGTACATGTGTACTATACAGCTGATGAAGGCAGTGGCTGATGATGTCATAGGGCCTAGCCCGTATGGCCAGCTCCACTGCGTGAGAGAGTTAAGTCTAAAAGTAAAAGAAAGGCAATGCAGCGCGAGAAAGGGAAATGCCGCGTGGCACTTAAAGTATATAAAGTTAAAGCGGAGAATAAAAGGAAAGGAGATGTCCGGAAATTGTGTTATCGTAACAGATGGTGTTGTTCGTCTCGGCTAAGAGGGTACATTTTGCAGTCAAGACCATTAGCCTTGGGTACTAACTCAATTGCATGGTCCCAAGGACGTTTGGGGGGAAGTTTGTCAAATGATTCTTTGGTGAAAACGGGTTCAAATTCATGGTAGATTGGGGGCACGACATCTCGGAAGGTGAGTTTTGACTTTGCCTTTTCGGAGGATTCAGCAATTTGTTGACTTTTAGTGGCAAAAGCATTCAATTCTAGCTGTGTTATCTCCATGATTTGTGTTTCAAGATCGATGGCTAGGATTTTATCCCCTTCTTTAGGATGATACTCTGGATCATTGGCAGGGAAGGTAATCTTGTTGGCCCGCCAATCAATTGTTGGATTAGTAAGTATTAACCAGTCGTATCCAAGCAGTATGCGCGGTGAAAGTAGGGATGCTACAATGACATCTATCAAATGTTCTTTCCCTTTCACATTGATGTGAAGAGTGACATAGTGCGTTACTTTCTGGGATCAACCATCGCCTCCTGCGGCGTCAAGAGGGATGGGCAGGGGCGTAGTATTGAGAGTGTACTTGTCAATCAGGCTTCAATCAATAACTGAGTTGGTGCAACCAGAGTCGATAAGGGTTGGTACGGTGAATGTCTGTCTGTCATCTGTGGTAGTGACTTGAGAAATGACATGGAGGCTTTGTTTTGGCATGGGGTTGTGCGGTGAGGTATAAGCATGGATGCGTTCTACAATATTCTCTTCGTCGTGGTTCTTGAGCTTCTGTATCGCTTGCAGGGTGATATGCTCGTAGTGATCTTTATGGGCCCAGTTTTGTAACAGAGCACTTGCTCTTTCTGGTTTCTGGTCTTTGATCCGTTTGGCCAACCATTCCGGTGAATGTGGCTTTGCGTAGGTTTCGGTTACAGCACGTAGATGTTGATCAACTCGTTTTATTGCAGTCGTTGGTATCATACGAGGGTTAAGTACAACATTACAGGTCAGAGAGTCTGTGCTTACTCCTGACCTTTCTGAAAATCCTTCGGAGGCGCTTCAATTTCTTTTAATGACAATGCAGTGGGAGTGTCTCTGGTTTCCTCCGTTTCCATATATCGTATTGCCATCTTTCCATGTGGGCAATTTCTAGCAATGTGGCCTTGTTCGCCACAATTGTAACAAGTAACATTCGGGTTGGGCCGACATTGTCTCTGCGTGTTGGAACTCCCAATCTCCATAGGTACACCTGATCCTCCAAATGTTCCTGCTGTGTTTGGGTGGATTGCATTCTGGGGCGGTGGTCTTTGTGATGGAGTATAATACGGTCGTTGTTGGATATACCGTGGTCTTCGCGTCTCTGTTCGCGGTACTGTTTGTCGATGCTGTGGTGGGGGGTAGTTTTGGTTCTGTTGATAATGCGGTTGATATCGTTGGTACTGAGATGGCAGCCTCTGTTGAGGGGGTTTATCTCTCCTCCTTTCCAGATTAAGTACTTCGTTTTGCTGTTCCCATTTCCTCACTGCTGCCTTCCATTCTAAGTACGTGGTGGGTAGGTTTTCCTGCTGCGAGATATGATCACGAAGGAATTGAGAGAGGTTGCGGCGAAGGATACTGTGAATGAACGGATAACTTTCATCTGCGTCTGGTGGTAATCCTGCTTCCATAAGTTTGGATTCGAGTCCTCCAAAATATGCGTCTACCGTCATTTCTCGTTGTTCGTAATTATGAAGGGCAATTTCTGCTTGTAACTTGAGATGGGGATCTAGGAATTTGTTATCTAATTCCTTGATGAATTCCGAGATAGTTCCCCAATTCCGTGGTGCAAATAGGTCTCCTAGCACTGCGGTTTTGTTGTTGAAATTTGCCTTCCATGTGTGACAGGCGTCATTGGCTTTATTGGACGGGATTCGGGATAATGCGAAGAGGATTTTGGAGGAGTTGGTTTGGAAACTTCTGGGATAGGCGAAAAAGTAGTTTGCTAAGGCGTTCTTCCAGTCCACGTACATTTCCTTTTTACCGATGAATTCGAACGGAGGAGTGGCAAGGACAGCCTTGCTACCTTGATTTGTTTCGTCGGTCATCGCTGTAAGGACCATTTCATTATTTTCTTATCTTCGCTATGTCTTGGTTCTCGAACGCTTTTCCCATTACACCTCTGGCTCTAGGGCTAGAGGTATCCTTTGCCGTTTTACTTCTCATAGCCCTCACAGGCTTTCTTAACCATCGCTACCATTTTATATCACAGATCAGAGACTGGGTATCGCTCCCAGCCAGCCAGCACACTGGGTAGGGACTGGTAGTAGGCATCTCGCCAACCAGCTCCAAGCCCCAGTAAAGCCTGGTTATACTAATAACGCCTTATTCAGGATCGTACCTCATTATGAGGATACGGTTCCTGAACACACGTGACAATCCTCTATTATTAGTACAAGTCTCTCACCTGCTGATTAATCAAGTCAAAAGTCGTACGATAGTTACTTCCCCTTTTTCTTATTGGTTGATTAATTCCTCAGACCACTTTTCGTATATTCTCCTTTCGGTCTGAGGAACGAACAGTTCACTATATAAAGCCTTACCTATTCATGTATGGCTCCTTAGTTTTCTATTACTGAATTTACCCGCTTTACTCCTCAACAAGAACCTTTGAAGCTTACCTCTCAAAGTCCTCTACTCGCTATATTTACTAGCGTCTGTCGACCTCAAGCTCATCGAACCCCTTACTCCCTGCAAGTGCAGAAGGAGACAGGTTTCGTTTTTGTTATAGTTTATCGTTGCCTCACAATCGCTGCTGCTGGATCAGGTTCAAGGTCTAAAGATTCCTGATCGAACCAATCGTCGGGTTGGTTTTCGGGTTCTGGAGTCAGAGGTGGGGGAGGAAGGTTTTCCAGTCCTGCTGATTGATACAGATCGTTGGTGTTGATGATGAGAACTGTTGTTAGAAAACCACACACAAAAACAAACTAACAAACAATCCTCCCAGATTCCACGGAACTTGTTTATGGGCTTTGCCTCCTAGAACAGTGGGTGCTCTGGTTGTTCGTGGGGTGGTATGTATGAAGATCCTTCAAAGTAATACCCAGAGATGTATGGGTGTGGGTTTTGAGGAGGAGGGATAGTTGAATTTATAGATGATAGGGGCTTAGTGACGAGTATAGATGAGCACTACCTTGCTAATTGTAGCACAAGGTAGGTTTGAGAACGACAAGGATGAAGAGGTGACGAGGTTCCCAGTGATAGCAGGCTCCTGACGCACAAACTGTAGTGCTCAGAAGGACTCTAATCGAAAGGGATAATAATGACTTCAAAAGTGGGACGATGACAGCAGTTAACAGTGTTAACAGTGGGAAGTGTTGTGACCACACTGGATCACAAGTAGCAGTAAGAAGTGGACTTAAGATTGGAGAAGAAGTCTGGAATCGAGTGCTTTTTTTTTCTACAAGGTAAAATACAGGGGTTTATATAGTAAAAGAAAAGTAGGCTATGCACAGTATAGCTGTGCAAAAAGAATGAGAAAGAATATGAAGGAAGGAATGTACGCTGACAAATCCTGCATAGGTAGTACAGGATAAGATTGTCAAAAAAAGGAAAAGAAAGGGATAGAACAATGAATGTTGTGAGTAATGTCACAGGTTTGTACAGCCATAATGTAAAGTCCAATAGCAAAAAGAGAGCAGGAAAATCATGATGTCATGGGAAGATGCAGTAAAAAAAGGGCAAGGCAAAAACTATCAGTATCAACACAGTTCCTTTATTGTCAGTCAGGCATTCTAAAAAAATATGTGTCCATAAAAATGATTCAAAAATCAAAAATAATCGCACTGTAAATGAATGTTCTGCTGAAGAAAAAGAAACTGGAGCCACCGGTCCACCACCTAGTCCAAATCCGACAGTTCCATGGCCTTACCAATGGACTGGTTGTGTTGGACCACCTGATCAAATGAGGGAGGGAGAGGAGTAGTTCCAATTTGGAACAAGTGAGTCCCAGGCAGCGTGTGATAGGTGTAGCTGTAGCGAAGACAATGGACAAAAGATAAGTGTACCCAAGTGAATGGGACAGCGATGAACATGGGCAACGCAAGGGGATGAACCTTCTCCAGCTCAAAAACTACCCACCCACGCTCCAACCAGGCAAGACGAGCGACCAATGTTTTGATAGTATATGATGGTAGATCAACGTCATAAAGATGGACCTGTTGCCCTATTTGAACCGGCCGCCGGGGCTTTGCTGATATCAGCAGTGGCACGTGGTAGTCTACGGATTGGCGACGGAAGCGGATAGGAAGTGGTGACATCAGAAATGGTGGGGGTGCAAATAAGATGAGGAGGAGGGTGGAGGTGACGAAAAAGTGGATTAGAATGGGGACCCAGAAACGACCGTCAGGTGAGAATAAAAAGGAGAGGAAGGGGCCCATGGTGGGGCTAGGCAAAGGAAGGGGAGTAAGGGAAACGACAAAAGCGAGGGCGCAATGCAATGTGTAGCCAGTGGCGACGTGAAAATTTGCCGAAATGCCGAAATGCGGAAAGTACCGAATGGAAAAGCAAAGGTGAGCGTGACTGGATTGCCTAATAGAGGTGGTGCTGATCAGCCACAAGTTCGAAACAGGCAATATTAATTACTATTCCACGTGGCACTGTGCCTGTGTGGCGCAAAGGCAAGTCTTTTTGAATATTCGCTTTGTTATTGACACCTGTCCATGCTACCAATCAACTTTGGTGCATGACATCGGGTTCTAGAGCTTCCGCAGCAGCTCCTAGAGATTGTGGGGGAGGTGTGTCAGGAGTGACCAGAGGACGGGGTTCTCGATAGGGCTCCAGTTTTTTAATGGGTTAGATAACGAGTCTTTAGATAACGAGTCTTTTTTATTTAATTAAAGTCCGGGTCAAACTCAAAGTTACTAGGGAAATCTCCTCCTTCTGCTTCCTGGGGCTTCCAGTACTCTATGCTTTGAGTAGACTCTTCGCTTTCCGACTCTGTTTCGTCGCTAGATTCTCCTCCAACTATATCTGTTAACAAACTTCCCGTTTCTCGTTCTATCCTTTCTGTGCAGGGTGCAAAAAGCTGTTCAACTGTCGGAATGAGTGATGCTTCTCCTCTTCGACCTTGGTAGGTATACGAGTACTGTGAATAGATACGAGTTCGTGAGCTATGATTAACAACGGCCCAGAAATCGCTTTGGAGGACTGTAACAATAAAACGTTCGGGATGATCAGATTGTTGGTTGATGACAAATGGTGTGAGGATTTCTAAGATCCAGTAATATTCGTCGACGTATTCTGAAACGTGTCGGATATTGTCGATTTCGGTCGTGTAATCTTCTCCGTCATGGGATTTCCTCTGAGCGGTTGCGATGAGCTGATCAAATTGTGCTAACGCAGCGACAACTCGTCGAATATGATCTTTGGTAGAGGGCGTGACGATTACGATAGAAGTGCTGTGTTGAAGACCAAACTGTGGTCCGAATGCGTCAAGATCTTGGATTTCGGGGAGGTAGAGAGTTCGGCGAAGTCGTGTCAGATATTGGACAATGAAAAGGTGGTCCAGATGATTGCCGATGCAGAAGTATTGGATCGGTTGGTAACTGACAGGAGAGGCGGAGTAGGTGTCGTAGTAGTCGGATGTAAAAAATGAGGATGGGATATCGTAGGTGTGAGGAATCAATTCTTCTTATCGCATTCCCGTCATGTCGTGGTTAGCAGACTCGATCCCCATCACTCCTCTTGCCCTTGGACTAGAGATTACAGCAGGTGTCTTATTACTTTTATCATTTTTCTTCTTATTCTCTCTTCACACTCACGTTCTATCGTACCTACAACAAGGTAGACTTGTTGTCGACCCTCGAGAAGATATCCAGATGACATAGCTACGATCCAGTGCTATGTCTGGGAATACTTTGGAGGAATATTGATAAGCGAAGAAGGTTGTGAGTCAGCGCCTTCTCATGGGCTTACTGATACAGCCAATTGCACATCCCTTACCAATACGTTTTCTCATACGATTAGTAAATACGATAGATCGGACCACTTTCTCTTTTTTTTCTTATTGGTTAGCTAGCTGGTCAGACCACTTTCTCAGTACTTCCCTTTCTCGGTCTGACCATCGCCGTTCACTATATAAAGAAGTACATACTCGATGTATCATTCTCTAGTTCAATATTAGTTTGGATTTGCGCTCATACTGATACTCTTCATTCTCATACCCTGATTCACCGCCTTCCAGCAAGGACTTGACCAGGCATTGAGCTTTGTTATATAGCTTCGTATTTGTTGCCTGACAGTAGGTGGGTTCTTCGTGAGGCCTCTTTCTTAACACAATGCTGCAAAGCAAGGTGTGTTGGAAGTCGTAGGGGAGGAGGTGGCTGGGTATGTCAGGGAAAGAAAGAGGGCGAATTTGATAAAGGTCGAGGAGGTCCGGAATATGGCTCTGCAAAATAAGTTGCAGGTTTCGCTCTTGTACGTTGGCTACTCCCTTCAAAAGCTTAACGCTCTGAGTATTCTCGTAACTCGGGCGTACTAGGCTCTCGAAGTAGTTGATCAACAGAATTTGTTCGTGCCGCAGGGATATGAAGATTAAAAGTTATCTCCATGCTCTGTCGGAGACGTTGGAGTACCTCCTCGAGACTGCGAGAATTTCTCCTACAGATGGTGGAATGGTAAAAAATAGACTGGGTGAGAGCGAGGGCATCGTTTATGTCAAGGATGATTTCCTCGATCGGATCGATCGGAGAAGACGAAGCAGAGGAGTCTTGATACAACTCAGTGATCTGTTCGACCGTTCCTTCCGCATCTGGAGTACGGGCTTCGGTAGGGACGGGGAGGACCGGGAGCAGTTTGTTGAGGGCTGCGAGGAAATCTCTCTGGTGTCTGCAGTCCGCATCTGATACCCACTCTTCTGAGAGCTGTTGGGATGTAGACACGATGGAAGTATACAACGTTGCTGACGAGTCTGGTTTGTAGGTATTTGATGATGGCAAAGAATGCAAAGAATTGGACGAGAGTGGTGATGGTAGAGAAGGCGTCCAATTTGAGAAGACTGAACGACAATAGGTGTAGTGGTGTGGATAGTGAGGGGTCAATGACAATAGTGAGGAGAGGGATAGGGATGATAGAGATGTGGAGAAGGTGATGATGAAGGTTTAGACCGGTGCAGTGGCAACGACAGTCTTTTTCAGGGTGTAAGGAAACAGTTTTCCAAAGAGTGGCTCTGGAAAAGGATTCGAAGAATGGTGAGTTCAATATTTTGTCAGGAAACAAATACAAAGCTATATAACAAAGCACAATGCCCGGTCAAGTCCTTACTGGAAGGCGGTGAATCAGGGTATGAGGATGAAGAGTATCGGTATGAGCGCAAATCAAACTAATATTGAACTAGAGAACAGTACATCAAGTATGTACTTCTTTATATAGTAAATGGCAATGGTCAGACCGATAAAGGGAAAAATGGAGAAAGTGGTCTGACCAGTCAGCTAACCAATAAGAAAAAAGGAGAAGGTGGTCCGATCTATCGTATTTACTAATCGTATGAGAAAATGTATTGGTAAGGGATGTGCAATTGGCTGTATCAGTAAGCCCATGAGAAGGCGCTGACTCACAACCTTCTTCGCTTATCAATATTCCTCCAAAGTATTCCCAGACATAGCACTGGATCATTACTATGTCATTTGGATATCTTCTTGAGGGTCTACAACAAGTCTCCTTCGTTGTAGGTACGATAGGATGTGAGTGTGAATAGAGAATAAGAAGAAAAAGGATAAAAGTAATAAGACACCTGCTGTAATCTCTAGTCCAAGGGCAAGAGGAGTGACGGGGATCGAGTCTGCTAACCACGACATGACGGGAATGCGATAAGAAAAATCAATTCCTCACACACAGCACCGGCTGCAAGTTTGAGGCTTCCTCTGTAAGGGGGAAACAAATCAGGTAGGTTTAGTCTCAAGGTCTCGGGCTTGACAACTCACAATCTTTCCATTTGCACCGTATCCTTCTGCCTTGATGAGTAGGACAGCACCACAGTGCTTCCTCCAAAAATTTTTGTCCTTGTTTCTCTTAGCTAAAATAATCAGATTAGTCTCCTGTGTAAACTATAAGGTAAAATAACACTTACAGATGTAGTTATTGGTACTCATCCTTTCAATAATTGCTGTTTCCACATCCCCGAGTTTATCAAAGAGTGCTCGGGGATTCTTTCTCACAATATCAATGCCTTCTCTAGTGCACAGCTCCTCAAGTGCTACATTGTACATCTCTGTAGCATCAACCCATTTTTGGGCACTCATGGAGAATGACACCCACTTGTGTTGGTACCGCATGTCCATAAAGAGATAGAATTCTCTGTCAGTCAAGATGACAAGAGAACGTGGGTCAATGCCAGTGAAGATTGAAAAGATACGCTGAGAGTGAGAGATGCTGGGCATGTTGTGAGGCGGAACAGGTTGAAAGAGGGAGTTGGCTTTGGTTGACATTACACCAGACTCAGTATGTTCCCTGTCCCGCTTTTCCTTGATGGCGTCTTTGTCTTTGGAACCGTGCATGTTGAAAAATGAGGCCAAGGTTTTTTTGCCAGGATTATTGTCTGGTGTGGCTTGAGATGTTGAAGGGGCAGATGTCGAAGAGGAAGCCTATGATTTTTTTCATACATTGAATCAAGAATAAAATGGTGTGGTTTTTCATTATACTCTTACCTGTGTTGGCATTGGAACCTCTGATTCATTCAAATGACTCTTCTTTGGTGTTGAACTTGAGTATTTCCTTCGGCAGTAACAAATTCAATTGCTTTACGCTTTCCTGACTTTTGTGAAGGTCCATGGACATGGTATGAATCTTGAGGAATAAGAAGGAGCATAGGGTCAATGTCGAGGTCTTGTAGAACAGTGGCTGGTTTTATCTCATTATTGTAGTCAAGAGCTTGCTCAAGGGAGCCATGTGGCTCATGTCCATTGAGTTTGTCAGCTCCTTCAATCTTCACATCTAGGAAACCACCAAACATTGTAGCGTTGTTAGATGGAACAAGGCCAAAATTCTTGCCACTGTTGACAAGCAATAAGACTGGCCAAAGATTCAATATCTGGCCATCCTTGCGTGTGGCTTTTTTTCCAGCCAAGAAGTTCCAAAGGCGAGCAATTTGATCAACAAAATGTATGTGGTGTGAACCATGAGTGGATGAGACAAAATTAGATGGATTTGCTGAGTGGTAGTTGATGCAGATATTTCAACAAAGGACATGGTCATGTCCTAGAGCAACGAACATTTCAATCCCGCTGGCAAAGGACCACATAATTGCATTCCAACCTTTGTGTGACCCCTTGATTCTGCTGCCATCAGCACGGATGTCCTGTCTTGTTCATGTGAGACAGCCTTTCTTAACATGTGCAAGCTGATCAGCGTGTACCTAGAACAATATATGTAACAGCAGCCAATCTAGGGAAGATTTTATGGGCTTACCTTGTTTGATGCAGCCGTCCATACACCATCCACTTGCGACCACTTCTCAAAGCTCTCTGCAGCTGAACTTCCTGGTCGTCTTTCTCTCGATACTCAGCACCTTTCCCATCAGCCGCTCGACTCTTGAGAACTGCATTGCTAATATCTTTGGATACTTCTGTGCGGTAGCTGTTCTTTGATCCACCTGCTAATGTAGCAAGGTACCTGGAAACAGAATGATGTGTAATGTCATGCACCAAAGTTGATTGGTAGCATGGACAGGTGTTAATAACAAAGCAAATATTCAAAAAGACTCGCCTTTGCGCCACACAGGCACACTGCCACGTGGAATAGTAATTAATATTGCCTTTTTCAATCTTGTGGCTGATCAGCACCACCTCTATTAAGCAATCCAGTTGCGCTCACCTTTGCTTTCCATTCGGTACTTTCCGTGTTTTGGCATTTCGGCAAATTTTTGCGTCGCCACTGGCTACATGTTGCATTGCGCCCTCGCCTTCATTGTTTCCCTTACTCCCCTTCCTCTCCTTTTTATTCTCACCCGACGGTCGTTTCTGGATCCCCATTCTAATCCACCTCTTTGTCACCTCCAACCTCCTCCTCCTCATCTTCTTTGCACCCCCACCATTTCTGATGTCACCACTTCCTATCTGCTTCCGTTGCCAATCTGTCGACTACCATGTGCCACTGCTGATATCAGCAAAGCCCCGGCGGCCGGTCCAAATTGGGCAAAAGGTCCATCTTCATGATGACAATCTGCCATCATATACTATCAAAACATCAGTCGCTCGTCTCGCCTGGTTGGAGCGTGGGTGGGTAGTTTTTGAGCTGGAGAAGGTTCATCCCCTTGCATTGCCCATGTACATTGCCGTCCCATTCACTTGGGTACACTTATCTTTCGTCCATCGTCTTCGCTACAGCTACACCTGACAAATTAGGACATTTGTTTATAGTATGAGAAAACATGCATTGGCCAGGGCTTGAACCTGGGACTCCAGCTTTCATGGTCTGGTGCTTTACCAACTAAGCTACCAAGGCGTACTTGGAAAGCATACTGATTGGTTGCATGCCCAGAAGGTCCAGAATCACTGTACACAGGTGCAGATCCCATTGTGTTGTGATAACACCTACCACACGCTGCCTGGGACTCACTGGTTCCAAATTGGAACTACTCCCCTCCCTCCCTCGTTTGACCAGGTGGTCCAGTACAACCAGTCCATTGGTAAGGCCATGGAACTGTCAGATTTGGACTAGGTGGTGGACTGGTGGTTCCAGTTTCTTTCTTTCAGCAGAACATTCATTTGCAGTGCAATTATTTTTGATTTTTGAATCATTTTTATGGACACATATTTTTTAGAATGCCTGACTGACAATAAAGGAACTGTGTTGATACTGATAGTTTTTGCCTTGCCCTTTTTTTTTACTGCATCTTCCCATGACATCATGATTTTCCTGCTCTCTTTTTGCTATTTGACTTTACTTTATGGCTGTACAAACCTGTGACATTACTCACAGCATTCATTTTTCTATCCCTTTCTTTTCCTTTTTTTGACAATCTTATCCTGTACTACCTATGCAGGATTCGTCAGCATACATTCCTTCCTTCATGTTCCTTCTCATTCTTTTTGCACAGCTATACTGTGCATAGCCTACTTTTCTTTTACCATATAAATCCCTGTATTCTACCTTGTAAAAACAAAAGAACAAGAACTCCAATCCAGACTTCTTCTCTACTCTGAAGTTCACTACTCTGCTACTTGTGATCCAGTGTGGTCACAACACTTCCCACTTCTACCACTGTTAACTGCTGTCATCGTCACTCATCACTTTTTGAAAGTGATTGTCATCCCCTTCGATTAGAGTCCTTCTGAGCACTACAGTTTTTGCGTCAGGAGCCTGCTATCACTGGGAACCTCATTATCTCGTCATTCTCAAACCTACCTTGTGCTACGATTAGCAAGGTAGTGCTCGTCTATACTCGTCACAAAGCCCCTATCCTTCTATAAATTCAACTATCCCTCCTCCTCAAACCTGTCACGACCTGAACAAGAGCGCTAGTTTCTTTTTCATTTTTCTTTAATATCTAATCACATGACAGATATAATATGTTAAGCTGCTGCTATTAGCGCGGATAACATAATACTTAGTTATATCAGATCACGTGACCATCACGTGACAAAGAGCCTAGAACTATTACAAAGAACAGCAGTCAGCGCCTCATGGCTACTGCATGTTGTATCAGTCAGCGCCTCATGGCTGACTTTCAGAAACGTATATATAGTGAACACCCATGTACATATTTTCCTTAGTTGTTGATTACTTCTCAATCGATTACTTGTGACGCTACTTGTCGATTTAAGGTCTTCATCCCTCCGTTAGTTCGGTATAGGGGATAAGGCTTTTACACAATCAACAACTCCCACGAGTACCGTCCATGAACGTAACAGCAACAATCCTAACCACCATCACCATCATCATCATCATCATCTTCCTCATCCTAGCCCTACTCAAACGTTCAAACCAAACTACCACTACCCTCCCACTTCATCACATCCCCACTCGCCCCAACACCATTTTATCCTTCTTTCCCGCCAACGTATCACCCTCATCCTCCCAAGACTCTTTTGTCACCATCCCCCTCTAGTTACACTTTTATATCATCATAATCTCTTTGGTGTGGAACCACTGGGATTTTCTCGGTTTTACGTAGTTTCATCCTTCAAATTCCTCTGACCAGGCCGCACATTTGCGTCCGCCAGTCGGGAGAAGAACTGACAGCTTAATAAGCGGGTTACATTGGGACAACCATTCGGACCCCAATTTATTATGATACTTTTTACATAAAATTCATAAAATACAAAAATAGTTACCTTACATACATAGTCAGTGGTGGACAGAAGAGGACCACCTTGACTCAAAGAGAAAAGATAGACTACTTAGATCTTAGAAAGCGGTGTATCGATCCAGCTTATCACTGGTGAACTCCTTTCTATGCTTAGTAGAGAATTATACATTTGGATAGGAGAGCAACGCGTCTACTCCCAAGATTACGTATTCAGAGGACAATTTCCTCTACCAGAAATAACAACAATCAGAATCCCATCCCCCGTGATTAAATCCAAAACTCCCCCTCCTCCCCAACTCAAATTCGATGTCAAACCTAGAATATTGAGATCTGCCCGAACCATCCAACTGTAACAACCAAGAGTTAGTTACTCTGGCGCACACAGGTACACACTATAAAGGTAGTGGAAGACGGGGAGTGGATACCCCTTGGGCTGCAGTGAGTTAGTTGGTATACAACAGGAGGACTCGCTGAGGAGTCTCCTGGATCTATTGGGGTTTATATACTACTACAGGTTGTTTGTACATGTGTACTATACAGTTGATGAAGGCAGTGGCTGATGATGTCATAGGGCCTAGCCCGTATGGCCAGCTCCACTGCGTGAGAGAGTTAAGTCTAAAAGTAAAAGAAAGGCAACGCGGCGCGAGAAAGGGAAATGCCGCGTGGCAATTTAAAGTATAAAGTTAAAACGGAGAAATAAAAGGAAAGGAGATGTCCGGAAATTGTGTTATCGTAACACTACCCCCCTTCTAAGGCTCGACTTCCAGGCGAGACCAAATACCGGAGGTAGTGGTAAAATTTTCGGGCATAGGTTGAAAAAGGGAATTAAAAAGGTTTGAATCCATGCCTCTAAGCTTCCTGGGAGCTGAGGGATTCTTAGAATAAAATTCGCGAACAGCGTCGCGGGAGTTTTCCAGATGGGATTCTGGTTCCCACGTTCTGTCCTCGTCTCCATAGCCCTTCCATAGGACCAGGAATTCTAATTTTCCACGCTTCAAGCGTGCATCTACCACCCGTTCGACTTCGAACTCTTCTTCACCTTCCTGGGTGACTACTACCGGACCGGGCCGGTCTACGCGCTGTCCCGGCAGCGGTCCTTTGTAGGGTTTCACACGGCTAATGTTAACCGTGGGTACCACCCTCATTCGTTTTGGGAGTTCCAGCTCCACCGCATTAGGTTTGACTTCCTTAATCCGGTAAGGGCCAATCCACTTTTCGGTCAGTTTTCTAGACTGCCGGTCTTTTAATTTTAAGTGGTCGGTATCTAACCAGACCAGGTCGCCGACCTTGTAGTCAGGGGCCTTAGAGCGTCTACGCTCTGCCCTGTCTTTCATCTGCTCTGCAGTTCTAAATAGCGCCTTGCGCGTTTCGTCCAAGACAGACTTCATGTCTTTTGCCATGTTCCCAGCAGCCTCGTTTTTGCTCTTGCCAGGTTCTACACCCATTCTGGGGAGGTACGATCTAGTAACCTCGAATGGTGCTTTGCCTGTAGCCGACGACTGTTTAATATTGTACGAGAACTGGGCTATCTTTAGCCACTTGGCCCAATCTGTCTGTCTGTCGTTAATAAATATCCGGAGATACTGTTTCAACTCCTGTTTGAGTCTCTCCGTTTGTCCATCGGTTTGCGGATGGAACGCCGTGGATAATTTAGGTTTGATGCCCAGCATCCGGCATAATTCTTTCGTAAATTCGCTAGCAAATTGCGGTCCCCTATCGGAGATTACCGTTTCTGGTAACCCATGGATTGACCATACGAAATCTTTAAATAAGTCTGCCGTACCGGCGGCGGTGATGGTTTTGTTGGTGGGTATGAATACCACTTCTTTGGAGAAGCGATCTACTACCACCATTACTGAATCGTACCCGTTTGACTCGGGCAGATCCATCATGAAGTCCACCGATATATCCTGCCAGGGGCCAGCTGGTATCGGGTTCGGCATGAGTTTACCGGCCGGCGGTTGATGGGAATTTTTAGCCATGGCGCATCTCAGACAGGATTTTACATATTCCTGTATGTCTTTGACCATGCCAGGCCACATGTAGTTTCTGGAGATCAACTCCATCGTTCGTTGCCATCCAGGGTGCCCCGCCACTGGAGTATCATGATGTCTATCTATTGCCTTGATCCTTGCGGACTCAGGCACATAGATTTTGTTTTTAAAATGAAAGAGCTCGTCTTTCCATAAATAGTTTTCATTGCCGTCAAGGCGCGCCTTTTCCTCTGGGGAGATGTCTTTCCTGAAGATTTCTAGGAGATTGGAATCTTGCCCGATTCTAACATTGGCGACCCT